CGAGATGAGTATATCCAGCTGCCCGCTGAGATCGATGAAGCATCTTCATTGGCATCATCCCTTCGTCAACCTCCGGAGGATGCTCCGCGATCTCTAAGCGCGTCCGTTGAGAGCGCGAAGCAGGACGCTGCAGTTGTCAGTACGTCGACCCCCGAGCTGCCTTCTCAGACCAGCAACGGTACTTCAATGGTCACCGCCGAAGGCACCGTATCAACCGAACAGACTGAGGAGCCATCCGTGGAAGAGAGGCCCCCTCTTGTGTCCTTGCACGCATCTCACGTCCCGCCTACGTCCCCCGAATCTCAAGTGCCCGAAGACGTGCCGATGCCAACGTACTACAGCGACATGGTTGCTAGATATGAGACGAAGATTCTTTCTGCTTCACCATTTGTTAAATTTGCACAGCCTTATCTGCTCATGAAAGCTCGCGAGCAAGAACGACGTCTGGTTTACCTGAAACGATTGAGAGATCAGGACGTTATAGAGGAACAGACAGATGCCGAAAAGTCCAAGTCGCAAAAGTTCCAACTGATCAAGCCCGAGATGGTCCATGCGATTGGACAGCAGGCCCCGCGGCAGATCATGGAAGTACTCCACGCCGTCCACGACGCTGAGTATGACAAGGCGCTTTACAACTATCAGACTCAGACAAGACAGTGGGAGAACTATATTCAGGGCAACCTGGATCTCTTCGATCCTTACTCGCATCAGAACATTGTTGTGCTGTACTCGGAAATATGCACAGAGACCAAGATCCCATGCTCGGAACCTGGGTTGATCGCGATCGGATTCTACGACGAGCATGTCGATGACAGCGGAAGCATGGACCCTGACTGCACTTTGGGCCAGTACATTGAAGATCTCTGTCTCAACAAGGATTCAATATGTACAGCAAATGGCTGTGACCGGAAGATGACTGAACATCACCGTACATACGTGCATGATGAGTCACGTGTCACCATCTTCGTTGAGCCAGCGGCTCCCAAACAGCGCCGTTTAGTAGACGGTATATCCATGTGGAGCTACTGCAAGATTTGCAAAAAGGACTCTCCAGAAATGGCCATGTCAGACAGCACCTGGAAATATTCCTTCGGAAAGTATCTTGAGCTTCTCTTTTGGAGTAGGGGGCTGCGACTTCACGATCAGAGGGGCTGTGCCCACGACCATCATCGAGATCACATCCGCTACTTTCAGCACCGTGATACGTGGATCAGAATTCACCACGATCCCATTGATCTCCTCGAGATCATTGTACCCAGAGCTCGGATCACATGGAAGGTCGAGAATGACTTGAAGCTCAAGAACGAGATTTTTAATAAAATCGAAGAAAGATGGGTGCGCTTCGTCAACTCCGTCAAACTTCGGATCAAGAGCATTCGCATCGACAGTGTTCTCCCTGAGAAAGCAGATGCTTGTAAGGCAGAAGTCGACAGGCTGGCCAAGAAAGCACAGGAGGACCAGATAGCTTTGATCCGCCGACTTCAGGAGACCTACGTTAACTCCAAGTACTACGAGGTTATTCCCTTCAACGCAATCGTCAGGGAGATGCTGGAAAAAGCTGGCGACTGGGATGCTGCATTCTCCAAATTCGAGATCGATTTCCTTCCTGACAAGGATTTGCGGCAGCTGACAATGATTCAACTCAAAAAGATTTTCACGGACAACGAGTCTCGAGAATCGCTGCCTTCAACTGACGGCACGGCATCGACCGTTGATACTGGAGAGCCCCCCTCACAGACGTTCTCGGATGTTGATGAGAAGGCTTCGACACAACCTACGGATGCGAGTGAACCCAGCGGTGATGGAAACACAGATGCAGCAAAAGCCGAAGAGCAAGGAGCAGAGGAGACGAAGGAGCAAGAACAGGAGTCGCTGGCAGAAAAGCAGCCCGAGATCGATTCAGTCACGACTTCTGCTCCTGCTGCTGTGCCAGAGGCAGGGGAGCAAATGGAGCAGAACAAAGAGATTGCCACTGAGGAGTCTACGTCCGAAGACAGCAAGATTAGCACACCTGCAGAAGTTGTGCTGGAGCGGGTAGAACCTCTCGACCTTGCCACACCTGGGTCGCCCACCGTCAAACCGCCCTTCTCTATCGCTATAACCGAAGAGAACGAACAAATATCAGGATCTCCCAGCACGGCAGAACCGACCTCTCCCGGGTCCAGGCCCCCGCTCACGACTGTTTCGACTGGAATATCTCTGTCTGAAAAGGTTGAGCAGATTCGTCGTGAGCAACAAGCCATGGGCGCCGGAACGCCATCAACGGGGGAGCCGGTCGAGGCACCGCCGAAACCGAACCCAGAGCGAGTTGTCGCCCGCAGGAACCCGATGCTTAGAACTCTTTCACAACCTGCCTCGACACTGCCAAGATCCCAACCAAGCTTTGCGAAGTCAATAGTGCCGAAGGATGTCAGCGATACCGCAACCGAATCGTCTTTCAAGATAGACAAGAAGCCGTTCGACCGCCTCACATTGGGAATGAAAAGCCATAGGAAAGCTGGTCCCTCTTCGATTCCTCGGCTGATTACCAAGAAGAAGGATTCACATGTGTCGTCACAGGTGTCTAGAATTGCCCGACACTTTGAACAATTGAGCCGCGAATTCGAGAAGGAGAGGCAACGCGAAGATCGTCGCAAACGTCTGGCGAAGGGGACTCAACCTCGTGCGGGATTGCCACGGTCTGCAACTAAGGCCATTGTCGAAGTCTACCACAACATCGACAATGCTGTCCAGGAGCCTGGGCCTTCGACAACTGATCACAATAACGACATCAAGATTCTTGAGCCTAAGACGGCACCTGTTACTCCGGCACCCAACACGGTCCACACTGAGCCGACACCTGACCCACCGGCCGAAGAGGCACAACTTGCGCCAGAAGTCGCCCCTCCGTCGGAAGAGCAACACGTGGGTGGCGAAACCGACGATACTGCAACTGTCACGGCCAGTCACGGTGGTTCTGATGACGAAGGGCAGAGTGATACTGAACAGTCAATTCTAGACGACTTGCTGCCCGATGTCAAGGAACTAGCCGACTCCCTGGAGCCAAGCACGGAAATCCCTCTCGAACTGCCAAAACACCAGAAGACCAGTCTCATGAAGATGCTTACGAATTTCTGGGCTGAAAGATCGGCAAGCGGCTGGCCTCAGCTTGATTATCCAGTCAACGCCAGCGATCATATTTTCCTAGACTCCGATGTCATTGTAAGAGAGGACGAACCAAGTTCTGTCATTGCGTTCGCTCTAAGCTCAGATGACTACCGCACTAAATTGGCCGATATTCGTCGACAAGAACGTATCGCAATTCAGAGAGACTACGAGGCTTCTAACATGGATGGCAAGTCATCAGGCATGTCGGACACTGGCGGTGAGTTCGTCATGGAAGAGGGCGAGTTGGAGAAGAGCCTACTCAGGGCCACGGGAACCCATCTCAAATACCAATTCAAGGAAGGGTCCGCAACAATGCTCTGCAAGATCTTCTACGCGGAGCAGTTCGATGCATTGCGTAGAAAGTGTGGTGTTGCGGATCGCATTGTCGAATCCCTCTCTCGTTGCCTGAAGTGGGACTCGAAGGGAGGCAAGACCAAGTCGGTATTTCTCAAGACTCTCGACGATCGCCTCGTGCTGAAGGGGTTGTCTCCCATTGAGACATCCGCCTTCCTCAGATTCGCGCCAGCTTACTTCGGCATCATGGCAGAGGCTCTCTTCCACGATCTACCCTCCGTGATCGCAAAGATGCTGGGATTTTTTCAACTCATTATCAAGAACCCTGTCACAGGTATCGAGATCAAGCTGGATCTGCTGCTCATGGAAAATTTGTTTTACGATCGCGGCCCAACTCGTCTTTTCGATCTGAAAGGCTCCATGCGAAACCGAAAGATTCAGTCTACAGGCGAACAGAACGAAGTCCTTTTGGACGAAAACATGGTAGAATTCATATATGAGTCCCCCTTGTTTGCGCGAGAGCATTCCAAGAAACTCCTAAGAGCATCGGTAAGTTTAAACCCATTTTTGTTGCAAAGCACTGCTAACAGTCCAGGTCTGGAATGACACTCTGTTCCTTGCACGCCAGAACGTTATGGACTATTCGTTGATGATTGCAGTCGACGAGGCTAAGAGAGAGCTAGTCGTCGGCATCATCGATTGCATTCGTACGTATACATGGGACAAGAAACTCGAAAGTTGGATCAAGGACCGCGGGTTCGCGGGTGGTGGCAGAAATCGCCCGACAGTCACCAGTCCGAAGGAGTACAAGTCTCGCTTCCGAGAGGCTATGGCTAGGTACGTCTCTTCTAATTATTGTTGCCATCATATAAACTAACGTATCACATAGATACATTCTTCAGGCTCCAAACTGCTGGCATCAATTTGGCGCGCCTCAGATGGCCAACACCATGAGGCCGCGTTTTGAATCTGATGTCAAGCTTGAGTGAGTTGGCTGCTTCGATCCCAGTCTTCAACGATCTTTTATAAGAGTCCCGTCATTCGAAAAGTCGCAACGGATTACTGCATTGGAGGCGTTTACTTGAACATGGAAAGCAATAAGGAGAACATGGAGTCCAATGTTAGCATGGGATAGTGTGCTGTAGCAAGGGAGGAGCTGACATGGCGTTGATGATATACGGCCTTGAAATTCAGATACCCAGTAATGACATCAATGACCCCAAGGTATCTTTACATGAATAGTCTCGGCATGAGGTGGTGCATTTCTTGAATTGACGTGATGTGGAACAAGCCGTGTAATTCTCGGGTGGATGCAGTAGCGTGGTTCTCTTGATTCACAGGCACCATTTAGGGCCGCTGAGCTGCTGCGTAGGTCACTAAACGCTTTCAGCGGCGTTAGCAAGGCACCCTGGCATGTACCTAGCCTAGGTAGAGAGCTCAAACCCTGTTCAACTCAAACAACAACGTCGATTCATCTCACTTCGTGAGCCTGGTTCTACAAAGTCGCAAACATTTCAAATTTGCTTATCACACAAAAAAAACGGCACGGCACACCTCTAATGTCAATAGATCTAAACTGGGAGACGCTCACCACGGGCCCCGATGGCGAGGCGCTGGCCCTCCGGATCCGCGACTTCATCCACACAAAGTTTCAGGCGGTTCCACTGCCGCGCTTCATCAAATCCGTAAAGGTACACGACTTTGAATTCGGCGCCATCGCGCCCGAGCTGGAGCTCAAGGACATCACGGACCCTCTGCCGGATTTCTACGAAGAGAACCCAGACATTGAGGACGACGAGGAAGAAGATGAGGACGTCCCCGAGCCAACGCCGCCGACACCGCAGCAGGTGCCCAGCGAGCTGAGGGCGGCTGAGAGGAGGAGGCAGATGGAGGATATCTCGGTGCCGCCGAGACTGAGAACGCATCCGCTCCGCGGCCAGTCTGGCGACTTTCCGAGCCCGTTCTTGGGGGTGTCAACGCCGGGGATTCTGGGCGGGACGTCGAATTTGCATTATTTTCAGTCCCATCTCGGGACGGGGTGGTCCGGCACGCAGACGCCTCTCGCGGCGGTAGCTGGCGCGCATATGGGTAACAGGCTGGACACCTCGGCCGTCGTGTCGCCCGTGAGCTCGCCGCTGCTCAATGGCTACTCGCCGAGCCACAGCCGTCATGCCTCGTTGAGCTCGATATCGCCCAGTGACTTCAACCCGGCGGCGTTTGCCCAGCAACAGCAGCTGCAAGACCTGCGGGAGAAGGCGAGCGTATCGACGTTGGCACCCACATCCGCCGGGGCGTCGCGGCCGCCGACAAGGGATACACACGTCCCTACCGATTCTGCGCCGATTCAGGAGGAAGACGACGAGGAACAGGACGAAAACGCGCCGCGGTTCCGGGAGCCCAGGCCAGAGGATCTGCAGGCCGTCTTCAGGATCCGGTACGCGGGCGACGTGCGGCTGCGGCTGACGGCCGAGATCCTGCTCGACTACCCGATGCCCAGCTTTGTGGGGATTCCCGTGCAGCTGAGCGTGACAGGTCTCACGTTTGACGGGATCGGCGTGATGGCGCATATCCGTAAGAGGGTGCACTTTTGCTTCTTGAACCCCGAGGACGCTGCGACTGCGGTTGGTGTGGACGAGGCGGGACCCACGGAGCCTGGGAAGAGGTTTGGCGGGCTGTTGCAGGAGATCCAGGTCGAGAGCGAGATTGGGTTGAGGGACGGCGGGAAGCAGAGCCTCAAGAACGTGGGCAAGGTGGAGAGGTTCGTGCTGGAGCAGGTGAGGAGGATATTCGAGAACGAGTTTGTGTATCCCAGCTTCTGGACGTTTTTGGTGTAGACGTCGGCGTTTGGGTTCGTTGTTTGTTAACATGGCATCAAAAGTAAGGTCACTGGGCAGCGCAACGGTTGGAGCTGAGAAGGCACATGCATGATTGCTCTACAATGGTATCTACTTGCAAAGAGAAGAACTATCACCTCTCTCGAAACCCGGGAAAGATCATCAAGTGAGAGTGCTCTTGAATCCTTGGTAGGCTTGCTGGATGTCCATCTCCAGCTCACGGGCCTGCTGCTCGCTCAACTCATCTGTAGCCTTCATCTGGTTCAAAGTAATGAGCCACTGTACAATCTTGCCCCTGCTGTCGAAGTCGCGGTCTGTGACCTTGTTGACGGACTGGATGACGTCGGAGAGCAAGGGGTGCAGCTGGTCCTTGGAAAGGAGGCCTAGCTTGACGGCGTCGAGGAAGGTAATGAACTCCTGAGTGGCCTCTAAAATCAAGGCGCCACTGGTATTACCGGCAGCAGCGGGAGCTGGGGCGGCGCTGGAGGAGGCGTTTACGGTTGTTGAGGGCATGCCGACGCGGATGCGCTCCGTTGCGCGGGGGACCTCGAGCTGGTGGAATCACGTTGTCAGCATTGGTTTCATGAACAAGATAGTAGCCGTTCGGTGCATGTGGAATGACACGTACATCCCATTCCGCCTTGAACTCCTCCAGGCCTCCAAAGGCCTTCGCGACGGTTTCGTCGGCCAGGATGGACTTGTATTGCTTCAGAGAGCGCTCGCAGATCTCGGTGTAGTCGGCCTCGGGGATAGCGTCCTTCAGGAAAGCCTTTTCGAGCTCGTCGAGAGTGACGATTATGCTGAAGATCTCGGCGAGCGAGTCCTGCAGGTCGCGCTCGGCGCGGGTGTCGGCCAGCTTCACCTCCTGTTGCGAGGCATCGTCATGTTAGCATGGCTGCGTTGCGCTGCGGGGGGCGGGGCAGATGACATGGTCGCTCGCTGGGCGGTGGAAGAACAAGAGAACGGGCACGGTACCTCATCGAGATTGATTGTTGCTGACAAGGTCGTATTTGGGATATAGCTATGCGGCGTAGGCGCATAGGACTGCCGGGGCATCATCTTTGCGGCTGGGTTCGAATCGTCGCCGGCTTCATGGTCGATCAGCGGTCGTCAGGCACAGCTTCGCGGGAGCTGTTGAGCTGCAATGAGTGTTGCAGTGGCCAGGCACACCTCCAAGACAAAGTCAGACATGGGTGTCCAGGTTCCATTCCGCAGCAGGAGCCTGAGCGTTAGACGTGGGGCAGCAGGTGGCGCTAAGGCCATAGATGGCTTAGCGGGACTCGCCGATAAGATAAGCTCCTCCAAAAATTTTGCTGAGCGTTCTGCCATTGAAGTTCCCGTTCCACGGTCCCTGCAGGCGCTTCCTTCCTTTCCCACCACTCCCCAATAGCAGGATCCCAATTGACCGGCCCCGTCCGAACCGTTCACCATGGGTTCCTCCAAGAAGAACCTCAAGGCCACGAAGAAGTTCGAGAAGAAGCACCTGAAGGGTGTCCTCGACAAGAGGAAGGAGACGGCGAAGATCAAGCAGCGCGCGCAGGTCAAGGCCAAGAAGCAGTCGAAGCGGCCCAAGGATGAAGAGTTCTTCAAGGGCGACCCTGCGGCGAAAAAGCCAAAGGGCAACCAGAAGGATGCTACCGTGAGCGCCATGAGCGTCGACGAATTTTTCCAGGGCGGCTTCGAGGACATCATCGACAAGAAGAAGGGCAAAAAGCAGACTGGCAAGCGGAAGCGCGATGCGCCGGAGGGAGACGACGACGACTCGGACGCAGGCAGCGGCTCCGAATTTTCTGTCGAGGACCAACCCGTTGGCAGCGACAGCGAGGACGATGCCCAAGACGACGACGATGTGGACGACGAGAACCTCGGCATGACGCAGGCGGCTATGGACAAGCTCGCTACCGACGACCCCGAGTTCTATAAGTTCCTGAAGGAGAACGACCCCGAAGCCCTCGACTTCGACGAGAACGCCGACATGGCCGAGATCGATGAGCTCAGTGCCGGCAGCGACCAGTCCGACGACGAGCAACCGAAGAAGAAGCAGAAGAAGGCCAAGAAGGAGGCCGAAGAGGAGGTCCTGCTCGACAACGAGCTCACACGCGAGATGGTCGCCAAGTGGAAGAAGTTGATTGTGGAGAAGCAGAGCTTGCGCGCTGCGAGACAGATCGTGCTGGCGTTCCGCTGCGCTGCCCATCTCAACGAGGACGACGCCGAGGAGAGCTCCGCAGCAGCGCAAAGATACAGCATCAACAGCCCTGAGGTATTTCACGACGTCTTGATCGTCGCCCTGAAGCAGATTCCCGCTGTCGTTTCCCACCACCTTCCCATCAAGGAGTCTGCCTCTGGCAAGATCTACGTGCCCACCGACTCCAAGAAGTTCCACACACTCTCGATCATGATCAAGACGTTCACTGCATCCATCATCCACCTACTCGGCACACTGTCCGACGACGCCACCCTCAAGCTTACCATCGGATCATTAGAGCCGCTCGTGCCCTACCTGCTTTCCTTCCGAAAGCTCCTCAAGGTCCTTATCAAGACGGTAGTCAACTACTGGGCCAGACCGGCCAGTTCAGAACCCACAAAGATCACTGCTTTCCTCGTTTTGAGGAAACTGGTCGTCATTGGGGACAAGGGTGTTCGTGAGACTGTTCTCAAGGCGGTGTACCAGGGACTCGTGTCAGCATCCAGGGCAACAAACATCAACACCATTCAGGGCATCAATCTGATGAAGAACTCTGCCGCAGAACTTTGGGGCATCGACCAAAACGTCGGCTACACGACGGCCTTCACTTTCATCCGCCAATTGGCCATCCATCTGAGGAACAGCATCGTGAAGAAGGAAAAGAACTCGCACAAGATCATCTACAACTGGCAATATACCCACTCGCTCGACTTCTGGTCATGTGTACTTGCCGAGCACTGCAGTCCCCTGAAGGAGGCGGAAGCAGGCAAGGAGGGCCAGTTGAAGCTTTTGATTTACCCCCTCGTGCAGGTGACCATGGGTGCCATGCGCCTCGTCCCCTCCTCCACGTTCTTCCCCCAACGTTTCCACCTGGTTCGCTCCATCCTGCGCCTGTCTCGCGCAACAGACACCTACATTCCCCTCGCCTCCGCGCTCCTCGAGGTTCTCGACTCGGCCGATATGAAGCGTTTCCCCAAGGCGTCATCCATCAAGCCGCTCGACTTCAACCTCGCTTACAAGGCGGCCAAGTCCTACCACCGCACGAGAGTCTACCAGGATGGCGTTGGAGAGCAGCTCGTTGAGCTCTTCAGCGAGTACTTCACCATCTGGGCGAAGAACGTCGCCTTCCCCGAGTTCTCCCTGCCTGTCATTATTCAGCTGAAGCGCTGGGTCAAGCAGGCGCGTAAGATCAGCACGGGCAACAAGAACAATAAGGTCATCTCCATGATCGTTCTCCTGGTGCAGAAGCTGGAGGCCAACGCCAAGTTCATCGAGGAGAAGCGGTCAAAGGTCGAATTCGCACCCAAGGATCGCGCTCAGGTGGATGCCTTCCTCCGCGACTTTGACTGGGAGAAGACGCCACTCGGTGCTTACGTCGTCGTGCAGCGCAAGATGCGCGAGCAGAAGGCCAAGGCTCTGGAAGAAGCGAGAAAAGAGGATGAGAAGAAGCGCAAGGAGGAGGAGAAGGAGGCTCTCGCTGCCAATGCCGAGGGTGATGATTCCGAGGAAGAGTACGGTGACGAGCTCATGGACGGTGAGGATGGCGAGGATGCCGATGACATGGATGAGGATGAGGATGAAGAGGACAATGTCATGGAGGATGACAGTGAGTAGACAGTTGTCGAGTGAGGTGTGTAGTAAAAGTGTTTTGCGGCGCCGAACAGGACGCTGGTGTTTGGGAATATCATGGAGGCATATGCAAATAATTTAAGAGGCTACAACTCATTCCAAGCGGCATTTTCACTTCCCCTTTACGTCGTTAAAAGTCTTAAAACAATGTGAATAGCGTCGTCGATGTGGCTTGAGCTATTGCGTTGATCTGCAGCAGGCAGTCCCTCCTTGCCCAAGCATGATGCAGAGGTGGAGGCGGTGGTGGAAATTAGCACGGACGACGGAGCACGGGCAACCAAACCCGCTTTGCAGCGGTAAGACTGGGGCGGTTTTCACCGCCCGTACTGCAACTGCACCGCTGTAGCGTGGCACAGGGCCGGAATAGGCAATGGAAGCAGCGAGGCGAGGGGGCCTGTTGATCCATTCTCCTGATGGACAGACGTCTGCCTAGATCGCCAACGGAACCTAAGGTACATCTAAGTTGACTTCATCCCTCTTCCCACCTGTCCTCTTCTCACAGTCTTCAGCTCTGTTTTCCCGTAAACTTATGACAAGACTGCGATTTGCAACAACTTTACAAACCGAGAACCTTACACTACAAATTCACCTGCATGAAGTGAGCGGTGATTGCAACCATGGCTCCCCTTGCTGCGGACCCCCGCCAGCTAATGGTGGTCCTCAACCCGGCCCGTCGCCGAGTATTCTACACGCTGCTCTTTGATATTACTGGCTACATGCGCACGCAGCTCGAGCTCAAAGACGGCGAATACAACGTCCCAGCAGCCGCCAGCCCTTCACCTCAGGACCGCAATGCGGCACCCCTCTTCGTCCCGGACGCGGCGGGTCAAGGCGGTCGGAGCAGCCCAAGCCATCCAGACCGCGGAGGCTCCGGCGTGCACAGTGCCCAGCTTGTGGCTCTTCGTAAAGCGGCGTTGAAGCACTTCGATGAGTGGCGCAAGGATCTTCTGGACAAGGTCAAGGAGATTGCATCTGCCAAGGATGATGACAAGATCCTCGCTGCCCGTAAGAAGCGTCTCGACGAGATGGAGAAGCTTAGGCGGGAGTCTCCTAGTGCCGGGGAGGACTTGATGAACTTTGGGAATGCGACACCTGTGAACCCTGGGGCGAAAGAGGTTGACAAGGAGGTTGCTATCCTGCAAGAGCACTACCACCCTATCCCGAACCGTTTCACTACGATCCCGCTTGAAGATCGAAAGGAGATTCTCAGCTGTCTTTTGCTTCTCATTCTCTCGACTGGCTGCTACTCTGCTCATTCCAGAGTTCTGGCCCTGTACCTGTGTTCCGCCTTCGAGCTTCCCATCGCAGCTCTCATCCAGGAGGAGACAGAGATTGCCAAGTCCTTAGTCGAATCTTCGACTGCGGCCGAAAATCAGAAGGCGGGCATGTCAGCAGAGGCTGAAGCCGCAAAGCGACGTGAAGAAAACAAGCAGAGCCGCTTCTGGAAGGTCGGTTTGGCATCCGTGGCTGGCGCAGCCGTGATCGGAATCACTGGTGGTCTGGCAGCGCCGGTCGTTGCTGGTGCAATCGGCGGTCTCATGGGTAGTGTTGGCCTAGGAGGCGTCGCCAGTTTCCTCGGTATCTTTTGGATGAATGGCGCGCTTGTCGGCACGCTTTTTGGAGCCTACGGCGCCAAAATGACGGGCGAGATGATGGACACTTACGCCAAAGAGGTCGAGGACTTTCGCTTCCTCCCACTCAAGGACGAATGGGGTCAGGACTACAAACGAGCAGATCCGGATGGAAAGCAAGGGGCACGGCTCCGTGTCACCATCGGCATTAACGGATGGCTTACGGACGAGAGCGACATTACGAAGCCCTGGAGGAGTTTAGGCGACGAGTCAGAGGTGTTCGCATTGCGGTACGAAATGAAAGCCCTCCTTGCTCTCGGCGCCGAGCTGGAGAACATGGTGTCGTCTTACGCCTGGAACTTTGTCAAGGTTGAGATCCTCAAGCGGACAGTTCTGGCTTCCCTCTGGGCCGCCTTGTGGCCTGCCTACCTCATCAGCGCCGCGACCAAAATCGACAACCCGTTCAACCTCGCGCGGAACCGTTCAGACAAAGCTGGCCGTGTTCTTGCCGACGCTCTCATTGCCAAAGTTCAGGGGGAACGGCCGGTGACTTTGGTTGGGTACTCCCTGGGTGCTCGAGTGATTTACTCGTGCCTCAAGTCACTTGCTGAACGAAAGGCCTTTGGGCTGGTCGATACTGTGGTTCTGATCGGAGCACCGGTTCCATCTAATCGAGAACACTGGCAAGTCCTCCGATCGGTAGTGTCTGGACGTATCGTGAACGTCTACTCTGAGACCGACTACATTCTCGGCTTTCTGTATCGTACGACGTCACTCCAGCTGGGTATCGCTGGTCTTCAGGAGGTGAAGGACATTGATAGGGTCGAGAACCTCAACCTGAGTGCGGAGGTCAGCGGGCACTTGCGGTATCCCAGCCTGATCGCCAAGATCCTGACTCGATGCGGTTTCCCCAGCGTTAAGGGCGGCGAAGGAGCGATCGAAAAGGACGAGGACATCAAAATCACGGATGAAGAGGCGGGTTCTCAGATGGGGGAGCTTATCCAGCTTGAAGCACAGCCCGATCCCGCCTCGGAGCCGCAGCCAATCCGGTCGAAGCAGACCGCCAGGTTTCCCAACGAATTGCGCCACCCTCTTCACCCTGATCCGCCGGTGCAGAAGAAGAAGAATCCCAGCCGCAACAAGGTGTCAAGAACTGGAGGCTCTTCAGTCTCAGAGGCTTTTGATCCGCTTGGTGATCAAGGCAGTGACCCTTTGAACCTGGCTTCCCTCAGCCAGGGCAGGAAAAAGCCAACGTCACCCAACCATGAAGATCTCATGAGTCTAGATCCTCAGTCACAAGCCAAGCAGTCAAATAGCTCGAGAGCTGCTGATCCCCTCAATCTTGGCTCGCTCGGCCATAATAGCGAGCAGACCACGCCCGCCAGAGCCCTTGAGAAGACGGTTGAACCGAGGAAGGAGATTGCTCTTTCGTCAAGACCTGCCCTTGGCCACTCATTCCAGAGCGACGGTGCGATAAAGTCGCACGCTCGTCCTGAGTTGCCTGTGAGGCCAAAGACGCTTCCTGTTCCAGCACAGGAGGACTCGGATGACGACGACGAGAGCTTCAAGGGCATTCAGATGGTGGACAATGACGGGGACATGACGACGTTTTCGGAGCCGTTGAGGGCTGATTAGCTTAGAACGCCAGGGTGAATTCTGGTAGAAGAACACGCATGGGACAACAGTACCCTTATGAAATATACGCCGTGTTTCGATCTTTAGTGCTGAGTTATGTGATCGCAAGCCGCACCCTTCCACCCACGTAATGAGATGATCACCGACGGTATTGGTAACTTGACTTTTCAATATTCTAAAAGTCAGTTGCAGGTTCCCGCTGTACTTACACCGAGTAGGAAGAAAAATTCATCAAGTGGCAATAGCAATTTGATTAATACTTGAAGCCAAGTTGTGTCGTTGTGTACTTGACCTCTGACATCCACGTGCTGCAAATGAAGTATATCGGCGTAATGGACAGATGGAAAAGCCACCTCAAAATAGGTCAGATGGCATGAGTGACAATGTTTCTCCCGAGTTAAGTGCTTTAAACCTTGATTTCTCGCGCACTAGCCACCGACTGAACCGACCCTATACTTTTGTGTTGTTCCCTATTTCTTTTCATGTATTTTATAGCGATGTATCACTCGCATGCACTTGTGTAGAAAAGCATCATCAACTACGGAATGCGATTTACGCAAGACGAACGAGATTCACGGCCGTAGTAGCCAGTATAGATGGCGGGGCCGAGGCGCTGTTAGACAGCTTGCGGTTCAAGTGCTGCGAGCTGTGTTGAAGTTAGACGGCGATCAATCATCCAACTTGCCACACAAATTTACTCTTGAATTCATTCCCCCCGAAGTTCCGACGAAGGTACGTAATACAACAGATGCAAGTCGGCGAGTTGAGAGAATTTTCTTTCGGTTTTTTCCAGACTGAAGGGTTCTGCCAAACGTCATGGGCGTCCGCCCCTCAAACTTTATGCTTGGATCAGGGATGAACGATGCTGGCAGGGTAGATGCTGCTTGAAAGGAAGCGATTGCCTCGCCCCCGAGACTCATCCTGAGCTTAGTTCGGTCTGATGTTTTTAAAAGAGAAGTCTGATGATGAAAGAGGCTGAAATGTCATCTGCATGGCATATGATGTGGTCTGAAAAGAAAAGAGAGGCTCCGCTGACGCTGACGGGCAGGATCTCATCCGGAGATGGAGCGTAATGCACCTGTCCGCAATGGCATGCGCTCCGACGGGTCTGGATCCACGGTGTGGTCTTTGACGCAGATTCAAATCTGATTCTGAAGTCTCGCATCCATACATATGTAAGTATGTAAGTGGTGGCGCAGGTGTGTGGTTTGAGCTGCACAGAATATCGTTCAAGGCTCCGGAGCGTTGGAGGAGAATGGAACCAGTGAGATTGCGGATGGTCATGAAGGGGGGCAGGAGGAGAAGATTTTGGCCCTCGTGCATGAAGCAGAGGCAGGGAAGGGCGGGATGTTCGCAGGGATGGCGGATCCAGCAGTATGATTGGCCCCGACGAAAGGGATCCCTGTGCCTGAGACGGACAGGGGACGGGGTTGTAGGGCGGCTGTCGGGGTTCAGCGGCGGACCAACAAGGCGGTCAGTCGAGGTCAGATGAGCGTGGGCCACGGTCGGAGGGGTTTCCGACCAGCGAAGCAGGCGGCATTGCAGGGAGGACAGTGGAAGGCCGGCTTGTGAGTTGTGAGTTGTGCGTTGTTGTTGTTGTTGTTGTTGTAGTCGGCTGGGTCGATGAGTGGCCGGTCATGTTTGCGAAAGGCAATCGTGGGGGAGCGCCGTTGGCTCGGGTTCCGTCTGGCCGTGGCTCCTCGTTGCGAAGCGAGGTCAGGCTGCCGCGGGTCTCAGTTATGGCCTCTGTTCTCGGCGCCCACAATCCTTGTGCGATAGAGAGGAGGGGAAATAGCCGAGCATCGTGGTGCAATGGATAATGGGCGGTGGTGCGGTCGTGATAGGAGCGAGAGCAGACTGCAAGTGAAATTGATAGGCGCCGCGCGGAGGCCTGTGTGTCCCGTTATTTCGATTTCAGGCACAGTCATGCCCCGGCGTCAGCAAAGAAGAGTGAAGACGATGCGTATGTCATCATCCCAGACTGGTCGCTGAAGCGTGGAATCAGACTGACTCGGGTTGCCCCTGTTCCACGGGTCATGGTTTTTGACAAAAATTGTTCTGACTTCCTGTCGAGCTTCCTGACGAGAGATAAGAGCAACGCGCAAATCTCAGGATGAGCAGTGAGGGATACGATACGGCAGAGACGACAGCCTCAAGAGACGAACATCGCTGGTAGTCGTTAGGTTGGCGACGATCTGGGCGTTCCAGGCCATGCAAGGCGGGTGGATTCAGTGGTGGTTTTGGGCGTGCAGATGACTGTCCAAGACCTTCCGGGTTAGCCTGGGCAGAGGGACTCCGGCATATCCAGTCCGGTGGATGAGAATAAGGAACGCTACCGCCGTAGCCAGCACCCGACTGGTATCCGTGGATGGCAATTCGCCTTGTCTGGATCGGTACCCGTTGCCCGTGTAAGACGACCACGGAGACTTGTTAGGGGTCCAACCTTGGAAGTACCGAGCGCACAGCGCAGAGTGCGGGGCGACATGCCGCGATAGTTGCCTCTACTGAGGTGCATAGGAGGAAGGTTCACACCTTCCCGACAGTCCAGTGTTCGTAGACGGGAAACTCAATCCATGGAGCCGCCGGCTGGGGGACCATTTGGGAATGAGGAGTACTTAGTAGTGATTCAGGAACGTGCGTCGAGGCCTGTTGGTGATGATGATGGTCCTTTTGACTTTTTCTTAGGCAGACCAGCCGATACGGCCAAGGCAGGAAGCCACCTGGTTCGAGAGGCACGGAAGGCAGGCACCACCACCAATTGGCAATCTGAACTGCCTGCCTGCCTGCCTTACTGGTGCGGCCCAGTGATAGGTAGATACCAAGGTACCTTACCGCGAGAATCCATCCATTGGCACGGTACTTCCGTAAGGTAGAAGGTGCTGGTATCTTAGGTTCCCTTTTTTTTCTCCTACTTTTCGGGACCTTGCTGTCTTGTCTTGATGGTGGTGGTGGGCGGTGCTCGCTGTTTTATTTTTGTCAGCTAAGGCATTCCCAGCCCCGGCCACCAAATCCTGGTCGTTGTGTGTTTACGGTGGCCAGTCCTTAAGGCAATCCACGCCCGAATCCCCGTTCCACGTCCACGTCTTCCAGGCCGTCCACTTTCACGTCCCACGACTGCGTCCCACCAGTGACCCGACAGGCCCACGATCAAGTCTTCAGTGTCCAGTGCCCTGTGTCCGGCGTCCAACATTCAATACCTGACCCGCATCCACACCCTGCATCCTCATCCCCGTCTTCGCTCCCAACTCAGCCCGCAACTCACGCAACACACCTCCCACCCGCCTCTCGCCGTTGCCTTCCGACTTCTCCCCGGCCACACTCTTACCTTTTCACGCAATTCTCCTCCACCGACACCTCTTCAACCACATTGTTGGCCTTCAACTCTCCAGAACCCGTGCGCACAAAACCCAACAAAGGACCGCCCAAACACCCGATACCGTTCTTGTCTTTCAAAACCTCCTTCTTCGGACGACCTAGCGACGCCGCTGCGACCCTAGCTCCCTCCCGAACCCCCTCCTAACACGACCTGACGCACGACCGGACCGACGACAACAGGGAATCAAAACCGTTTTACGCCCTGCAGTTCCCAACCGAAAGTCTTTGCGTCCTGCTACGAACATACTCTGCGTCTTCACGCCAGTTTACGACGACAAGACGACAAGACGTCAATACAGACCGTATCAGCGACTCATTCCTAAGATTCCCACCAAGCTCTGTCGCCCTTAAACCCTGCGCCCCGATTTCAGCCATAACTACGGTCCTCCTCTCGCCACAGCCGGCGCAACCTCAAGATGAAGGGACGCCCAGTCGACCAGCTCGTTTACGAGCACATGTTTCCGAAGCCACGCGCGAGCGATCCCCAGAACTTCCATGCCCTTTTGCAGCGCAGCCTCATCCTGGAGGTTCGTCAAGAGGTCCACTCATTCTACGGTCACCTCGACACCCAAGAAGCAAAGTACCCAGGGCTCGACTACTGCAACCCCATCCACCGCATTCGCCTGAGCCGCTGGACCTGGCACCGTCGACTGTTTCGAGCTTTTGACAACCTTCACCTGACTCACAACGAGATTGCAGGCTTGACAAAGTGGGAGGGCACAAAATGGGCCAAGGAGCGCTTCGAGAAGGAGCAGGGCATTACCATTCGCGATACCGCTGGTGACGGGTTTCCGGACTGGGTCGAACCAGAGGATCGCCCACCCGTACCCAGCCGCAATGCTAGATCACAGTCAGTAGAGACGGACGATGCGACGGACCCCGGCGATGAGGACATGGATGGCGAAGAAAGCGACGAGGAGCTTCACAGTGTTGGTGAGGCCCTGAATCAAAGACTAAGGGAGAGGGCAGCGCAGCGGGAAGCTGGAGATATGTCTACCGTCCTCGATGAGGAATGGGAGCAATGGCTAAAGAACGTTATCGAGAGCGGCGAATTGCCGTTCATCAGCAGCAGCCAAATTGCACAGCGGGGAGTTGCCGACGCTGCCCCGACGCTTTCGCCCTTTCCTCCTGGAATGCTGACCGCTGCCCGAGCTGGACAGTGGCAAGCCATCCCCGATTTCCTTCACGACATAATCCGCCGTACTCTCGAGTCGCAAAATCCCAGCGGCGAGGATGATGTGTCTCCGCCACCTCATACCAGAGAGCGTAGAGGTACCGACGAACACCATATTGGCGGTATTGCAAGTTGGCGACGAACTCATTCAGGTCTTCGTCTTCCGGTTGGCGATAGTGCACCCGCCCCACCATTGCATCGCGCAGCGCAGGCTCCAGGCGCTTAGGAAGTCCTGGGTCTCACTCCCATTCTTCAACAAAATACCCCAAATTCATCAATGACACCACGGGAGCTCGCACAATACACAGAAAACACCATAGCCGACTTCCCACTCCCACTTACCTATCCGCCTTTGGTCACGCGAAGCGGCTTTGAAGAACGCTTGGAGAGACTTCAATCGGCTTTTCAGCAACTCCAGGACCGCCAAAGGAATCTTTGACGTAGCCCGAACTCGAATCTGGCTACTGAACACCTGAACATCATTCGGGGTTCTCTTTCTGGGACTCTTTCAAAAGGAGCAGACCAGATACTACCTTACACTAGATATGTTTCGAGATTTCTGGTCATAGGGGAGATCACCCACCAACTGCAAAAAGCCCTGCACAAACATCACTCGGTTATTCCCCCTGGCGTTGGAAGGATTGTATTTCATTTCCTTTTCGAGGACTTGCGAGGTCTGCAACAGTGACTACAAGGGAATGCGAGAAAACGAGAAATATGCATTCGAGGGCCTGCTCCCAAAGATGCTCTCTTGTGTTTAGCGAAGTACCCTTGACTACAAAAGCGGTAATTTGATAACAATTCGAACATGATATGATGTGCTTATTCTCTTCTTTTTGAGCAAGCGTGATATTTTGCCTCGAAGCTTCAAGCGTATGTAATGGGCATATCGTACAGTAATAATGCGGACGCCCTATCGCCCGTAAACGCCTTTTTTGCCCCAAACGCGCCTTGAGCTACTTGGATAAACATGAAAACCAAAACTGCAGGCTCCTCAAACAGGACTCCCAAGCAGACCGACTCCAACTCCTATAACCCTTGCCTGAACCGCCCTCCCGTGCTCATTACACTCATGAAGCAACCTGTGCCATGTTAAACCTCTTTCGCGGTGGAACTCCCCCGCCTTTCTACGGTTCGAGGTGAGACCACTCGGGGATAGCCTTGATCTGCTGCCACATGTACTTCTCCAGCTTGTTTGCACTCTTCGCATACGGCGTGGACTCGTTATTGTACTTGCGGCAGTTGTCGAAGATGAGCTTGGCGTCGCGGATGAAGTCCTCGGGAGTGGCGTACTGGTCGGCCTCGAGCTTCGTCTCCATGGTGCTGAGGTCCATGGGCTCCTTGATAACCTCGTAGTAGTCGGCCACGTCGTCCTTGTTGACGGGCACGAGGAAGGGCCAGGCAGACTGGTGGTTCTGCAGGTCGTTGAGGAGGTGGAGGAGCTGGTTGTAGTTGGGCCCGTGGCGGGGCTGGCGGGCGAGCTCGTCCATGTCGGGAGACCAGCCGGAGGCGCGGATGGCGTCGATGCTGAGGGGGTCGATGGGCTTGGCACCGCCCTTCCACTCCTTTGGGGGGGCGTGGACGATGTGGGATTTGGAATAGGCGCGGATCTTGGCCTGCACGCACTCCTTTTGCTTCAAGAGCATCCTACCCATCTCGAGATACCTGATGCGCGGCAGCATTGAGCACTGCATGATTGTGCCTCCTTCATAATCCTTGATGTATCCCATCCATACGCTCTTGTCGAGCGTGATCTCCTTAGTAAACCCTTGCTTTTTGAAGTACCCGATGGCATAGTTGTCGGCGTATGTGAGGAAGTGCATGACGTCGCTCGTGGCCTTGACGTAGTCCTTCAGATGGGACATGAGATGCGCACCGTAACCCTTGACCTGCTGATCGGAGCTGATAGCACAGAAGACGATTTCGGCAAACTGACGGCCTTTGAAGGGGCGGTAGGTGATGCCGCCGACGACTTCGAGGGGCTTCTTGACGATCGCTATGGACAAGTGGGTCCGGTCGTATACGAGACGCGCGATATAGTCCTTGGGCATTTTTGGTAATTGTTTTTGGAAGATGCATTTGAGGCCGGTGAGGATGATGAGGGATTCGCGCGCGTTGTCGTTGTTTACCACGCGGAACTCGATTTCGCCGGTACGCTCTTCGATGACAGCGGGCTGCGCAGGCGGGTGGTCAGCTTTGCGGGTCCGTGGCAGAGGGGGGGGCCGTGGTGAAGGTCTCGACGCGCTGGACAGATCGCGACCACAGACCGATACAGCACATACCTTTTCGGGAAACGGGATAGGCTTCATTGCCGGCTTCTTTTCTGGCTCTGCCGACTCATTGTGCTTCACCCGCTTGGTTGCGGTTGGCGAGGACGGGTCGTCCTCGGCTTTGCGCTTCGCGTCTGGATCGTCGCGTTAGGACACTTTACGCAGCATAAATCTAACAAGCATCATGCGACTTACTTTCTTCCTTCATTTCGACCTAAGTATCGAGCCTTAGCAGGCCTTAATCGACTAAACTTGTCAATGGATGTTGTCGTGATGCCTGAAGGTTAATGACATATCGCGCTAGGCTCTGATGTTTCTCCGTGGCCGGTGTCCGCAGAGTGGGGCCGGGGGATGTGCTCTGCAGGGGCAGACGGGATGGCGCTAAGCCCTTTCTGTTCAGGCCACAGTTCAATGTGGGTCGGCCTGGAGCTTCGAACACGTTTGGGGAAGCTGCGACCTTCGTGAGCTTGCGCACGCCAGCAACACCTACTGAATACCACTGGCAGTGAACAACTTCGCGCAAGCAAAGGACCGACCACTCTCTCGAGATACTCGACACGCCAATTGATCCCCGACCGAACAAACAAATCCCTCTCATCGACCACCTAGCAGATGGACTCCTCCCTGCCCCAGATCTGGCAAGCTGCTGCTAGCACGCCGTTCCATCCCGCCGTTGCCAAGGACTCGCAATTTTTCATTGCCTTCCTGCTCCTCCTCGCGGGTATCTCGATCACCGGTTTCTTCGCTCTGAGTAAGAAGTCTCCCGTTCCTACCAGGAACCTAGAAAATTGTTCTAACTTGCCAAACAGACCGATCCCTCACCAACATCCCGGCCCTGGGCGTTCCTGCTTCTGCTGCCATTGCGTGGGTGTTTCTGCCTATGCCTCGCCGTGATTTTTTTTGCTGACAATGCTTGCACAGATTCGGAACGGTGTACATGTTCTGCGCGGTCGGAGTTTACGTCTAAGATACCCCAAGAGTCATTTCAATCCGGCAGCGGCCTTGTACTTTAGAAACAACCAAGAAAGACCTTCCATACCAACTGCCTCCACAATTCGGGTGATTCCACCTGCAAGTTTTACACACAATGTCGGGCGCGTTATCACAGGCCGGAGCGCAGCCCGAGCCCATCTTTCGGGCTGTAGCGTCCTCGACGAAACCTCTCTACCAACTACTCAAGACTATCAATTTCACCAACAAAGTCCATGTCCAGCTACAGGAGGACGGTATCAGATTTGCGGCCGACCTTTCGAGGGTCTTGCAAGGTATGATAAGCGTCGACGGGGTATTTGAACACCTCGTAGCTGACGCAACCTAGGTACTGCGTTCCTCGACAAGAAGCTCTTCACCACGTACTCCCTCAACCTTGGTGACGGTGCCGATAGCTCGCAACCGAACTTACCCAACTTTCAAATTGCGCTGCCTGCCCTACTCGACACTCTGCAAATCTTTGGTGCCGTCGATATTGCGACCCGCACACAAAGGGCGGAACAAGACTCATATCACAGCAACATCCGCAATTACCGTCCAGATGCGTTTAGTAACCAGGCTCTGGGAATCGGCGGCACTTGCAGCTTGATATACAAAGAAGAGGGCGGTCAATTTGACATCGTGATTGAGGAAGGGGGCGTCAAGACCACGGCAAGCCTCACGACATATCTGCCGGAAATCCCAGAGGAGATTCCCTTCGATCGGGACAACCTTTCTTTCAAGATTATTATGCTGGCGCGCTATCTGCTCGACGCGCTGGCCGAGCTGGCCCCCACCGGACCTAACCGCCTTACCATTGCAGCCTCGAGGGCTTCGCCATACTTAACCCTTTCCGGCGCCGGCGATATGGGCAGCTCCAGCGTGACCTTCGCCAAAGGACGCGAGCTACTGGAGACTTTTTCGATCCACGAGGCATGGTCGCAGTCTTACAAATTCGATCTGATCAAGTATTCCACCGAGGCGATGCGCATCGCAAGCAAGGTCAGCTTCAGGGGCGATGATCAGGGGGTTTTGAGTCTCCAGTTCATGGTCGAGCAGGAGAATGGGATCAGCTTCCTGGACTTCCGGTTTGTGCCGTACATCTCTCACGACGACGACGAGGATGAGGAGGATGAAAGCTTGGACGCCTAATCAGCTTCGCGGGGGCCATAGTCCTACGGGGAAAAGCGCAAGCGAGGCAAGGTTATTCCGATCGGTGGATGTCCCGATGGCCGTAGACGGGCTATTCCATCTGACTATGTCCATGATTAGCTAACACGATATGGCTTTGCCCTTCCGCATCCGTCGAGCCCAACAATGACCCGTGCTCCCCATTCCCGAGTTTAGAGCGAATAACATGTAGCTAACCTTTCCTCGAAGAACTTGGCTTTGGGTCCGCAGGACGCCTCCACGGGAATGACAGCTCTGGCCCGCGGACCAAGTGGCCCAGGCTCCTGTCAGTATACACGCTTGTTTACCCGTCCGATTTATCATCGCCGTAGGAATTTGCCCATCGAGGCCTCAACGCGGGAAAGTGACGTGTCTGGCGTCTAGTGGGAGGCCATTCCAAGAGCAGCATTCCACAGCCCACCACGGCCACCAGCCCAAGCCCCAAATGGGCGGAGACCCAAAGGCTTGGGTCGCCTACTCAGTGGGCGAGCGAATCGGAGGTGATGAGAGGGAAGAGAGAGCGAAGAAGTCTTGTTCGCAAACGGCAAGGGCGTTGGCGAGGCGTTGAACGGACATTGTTGATGTCTCGGTCAGAAGAGTTTTTTGACTGGACACTGCGGGCCATCCGACCGGAATGCTCACGCCGTCTGGCAGTGCCGCAGTGCGTGGCTGTCCTCTTCTCCTCACAGGCGGCAGTTGGGCAGGATATTTGCTGTCGTCTGTTTGCGGAAAGCCGCGGTCACGTCTTCCCTCTTGCGGACGTAGCCATCGTGAAGCCGGCCCTGACTAGACCACTTTTCCTTCCCAATCGTATTGTCGACTTTTGAACATTCCACCTGAGTGGATTAGAGTTTTTTCCCCTCTTTCCTTTGACTGCGTGTCCGTTTGTCGTTCAATCGGCAACCCGCAGTTCGACTCACTCTCGCGTGTCTTGGTATGTCAACCGTCGAGATCTTCTTCGACTCTCTTGTCTTATAAATCCAAGGTCTCACCCGCCCTTCTGCAACCGGACTTTCACTCTCATCATCAGCTTCAACTACAACAATCACCAGCTTTCAACAGCCACTCTTCAGCTTTCAACCAAGCAACCAACAACTTCCCTACTTCCGACAACCCCCGTCGAACACCACCCCCAAAAATCAAGATGTTTTCCCCCAAGAGCAGCACTAGCAAGCGCAGCAGCTGGTTCGGCGGTGCCTTCAAGAAGGGCCATCGCAGCTCCAGCTCTCGCGACTCCGTCTCCTCCTTCGCCAGCTTCACCTCAAAAAGGACCAGCCGCAGCTCCTCCCTCTCCTCGCTCTTCTCCAACGGCGCCCCCGAGGAGCAGGAGCGCCTCATGGTCGACGAGCCCGTCAAGAAGACGCCCTACGTCCCGAGGCACGCCGCCAAGTCTTACATCAAGACGACGACGAACCACGAGATCCGCGTTAACAGCGAGATCTTGTAAGAGAGACACAAAATCACATCCAATCATCGATACCACTTAATACCACACACAACGATACCCGGAAGAGTTCAACTCTGCAGTCCACTCGGACGAAAAAAACATCAAAAAGATAATCAGCAACCAAAAAAACTTCTATTCAAAGAGACCACCAATATTATCGCCGCGGTTATTTTATGCAGTCATCACCAGGTGCTTGCTACCCTTGTCACTTGACGAGGCGCGATCGGTTCTTCATTTTTAGTGGCGTTTAGAGATGGGAAAATATGTCGGAATTACTGGCAAAAGGGGAAGAGGGGCAGATCTCTTGAGGAAGAGAGATATTTCTATTACTACCCGATTAGACATGGCCAGGGGAAATGATCCGTTGGCTTGGGATTTGGAGCGAGGAGGATGAGAATTGCAACTTTAGAGTAGCATTTTGCCCGGCCGTATAGAGATGAGAATACCATAATTGTTAAACGAACTTGCCGATGTTACGGTGTCTTCCCGTGCTTACATCCAAGCGAGCGCTTAAGCCGGCGTGAGGCAGTCGCAGCCATTTTTACTTGAATTTCATATAAGCCTGATGACTTTGCGGCAAGGATAGTATTAAGAGAACAATCAGCACGGGCAAGCGCCGGGATATATCCAGATCTTGTAGTAATATGGTCAAGATGCAGAAGGTCTCTCCACAAGGGGCCGACGGATTCGCTCCCCGGTTCCTATGTGCCAAACTTGTTTCATGAGATTTCTTTCTAATGTGCATATCGGTCTAATCAGTATTTTCTTTCCTGAGTTTACTGTAAACGAATCCGTACGGCACCGATGAAGGAGTCAGTAGCCATCTGCTAGCCACGCACGGCGACCTTGTTCCATCTTCTGCATCTCTCACATTGGGCTGGCCTATCAGGCTTACTGGGTTGACTGGCAAAGATTGGGTGGAAACTAACGGACGTATATAATTCGTATAATTTTCGATACGATTTTTTGTACCTGCAGGCGGACCTTTCTCGGCCAGATCGGGAAACCTCAAAATGTCTCGAAAGTGTCGTGAGGATCGCGTGTTTGCCAAGGTGGAGTCCTTTTCTTACGTCCGTATGGCACCGATAAACAGAACACTATCCGTACGGGGCTTACGAAACCACCGAGACAGGCATTTAACATGAGGGGGCCAACCGGCCGAAAAAGCAAATACTGGGAGATGGGAGAGAGCTGGATCGACGGCACGCATTCAACTGTGCCTGTCTCAGTCCTCAATGCGAACCGTGGGGCACGTGGGACATGGGTGTTGATTACTGCGGTGAGCAAGAGAGCAGCAGCAGGCTGTCTATGTCTAATTGGTTTTTTTGGCTGTACGGATATCACCTCGTTCTTACGGACGGACGGACTTTCAGTTCAGCTTCGACCAAGTTTTTGTCCTCGTCCCCTGCTTGTCATTCCCATGCCTGTCATCCTTATTGGGGTTAAGGTTTCTCTTGGGGAGTTGGGTATATAGATTCTGGTGGTATTATAGGGCAAAAGGCCCAGGTATTTAGATGGAGAGCTGACGGCCCCCCCTGTTGCCCATGTGCGGCGGCGGCGACGGCGGCAGCGGCAGCAACAGCGGCAGGGGTGTTGATGGCGGCAGGGGTTGGCCGCCGATGTTCCATTCGAGAGGTCTGAAATAGAACGGCGTTCTGGGCATATGACGGAGGGCCGACTCAGGCGCCTTGCTGCACTTTGCAAAGATACGGAAACGCGAGCAGCTCGTGAATTATCAGCAATTTTAGCATACCACGCAGAAGAACAGCACAGAGTAAGGTGGTTAGGATGAAGGAAGTTGCGGGCTCGATGGGGTGTTGATCAGGCGTGGTGAGGGACGGCCGTGGCGATCGGGGTTGGAATGGGCAAAATGTGTGGGTTTGAAGAGTTTGCGTTGAAGAAAAAAGCAAAGTGACCGAGATTGTTTCTTTGTCGGTAATTCTAGAATCGCGGTTGGTTGGAACGGGTTGGGTTGGATTGAGTGATTGTTCCTCCTCTCTATCGCCTCTATACCTGATCGAGGCTCATTCATCAGAATCGACGGGCACCTTGTCAGGAACCACCACCCACTGGCCCCCGAACCCCGCGCGCTAGCTCCAGGGCACAAAGACGGTTCCTGCAAGGGCCAGGAACCTTCTCGACTCAGAGGTCAGCTGGAGAGGCAAAGAGGGCGCCGTTGGGGCACAGTGGGGGGGTTATGGCAGGCAGGCAGTCACTCAGTCAGTCAGGTCAACTTATTCGCAACTCGAGGAGAGCAGGTTGACCCAACCTCTGCATGTTTCCTGAGCCACACCACAACCACAACACAGCCAACTGCTGAATGGGGGCGGCGCACTTCACTTTTCAACACGAGTTCCTTTGCTTCTTCACCGGCTCATCCCAGCCAATGGAACCAATAACAGTCCATCGTCAACGTCACCGGACATAGGTCGTCGGTCCAGGGTTCGTGGGTTCGCCGTGTCTTGCTTACGGCCGACGGCCGGGGAAGCAGTCGACCGCCCCGTCTTCCCACGTCTTTCTCAAATCCCAGGTCCCGTCGATATCCTCTTTTCGCTCTAGCCTGTCTGGCCGAGTCTGTTGTCGACACCTTGCCGGACCGACTTGCACCTTGGATTATTCCGCTGGGAAAGCATCTTCTTGGAATTGCTTGGATATGAAACAGGCCCCCGTCCCCTCTGCCACTACCACCCATGGGCTTTTTGTCAAAATCCCAGATCGCGTCACCGGGAAGGCGCATGAGAAATGCGGCCGCCGCGGACTCTTTTTTCTTCCAAGTATCTTTTCTGTTTCTTCTTGCTTCCGACCCGCGCCTGCCCAGTCATCATCGCCCCAGTTCGCGTCCAACCCCTCATTCGGTCCTAGAGGCTCTGCAATGATCTGCTTTGCTCCGTATCGACAAGCAGTCCCGGCAACAAATTGATTGAATGACACTAGCACGTCTGGGTTTGTCTGTCTGCCTGTTGCTGTTAAAGCCCTTCTTGGTAGGGAGCGTGGAAGACCTCAGCAAGGTGGTATCCCAACCCCCCTGTAGCTTGGCTGCCCAGCAGGACTACGTTACGTGCATGTTGATCCGGGAACAATCAATCGCCTTGCTATTGACAGATTGCAGGTAAGCTGCCGCCGCTGCTGTCTCTACCGCAGGCCCAGCAAGTGCTGAACCCTTGGATGATGATAACTCTCGGCAGTTGGACGTGTCAATCTGTCATTTCAGAGATGTCCGTCAGCAGTCTGTCAGTCAGTCGTTTGCATCTGCTGTGTTGGTGCTAGCATGTCCCTTTTCAACATTGTGGCATCGTCAGTCGCTGCATAGACGCAGCAAGGGCGCTGTCTGGTCCCCATGGCTCCCTTGTCCTGTCACCGTTGGGGCCACTCTTGGGTGAATGCTGTACCTTGCTGGGCGCAAGCCGGGTCCATTGTCAGGCTCTACCAGTCGACAGTCTTTCTCTCCCCTGCTTCTACTTTCGCAAGTTGAACTCGTGGGCAAAAGCTAGCGAGTCCTTGCCAGGGAGCCGGACCGGATGGGAATCCCACTGGTCGCCCATCACTGCACGTCGCCGCCTGCGTCGTCGTACAGCGAGGAAGTCCTCGAGTCGCATCTCTCTCAGGCCTGCAGGTGACCGAAGGTCTCTCTTCGCGGTGCGACATACGCCTCCAATTGCGACGGGCGGATGATCCTGAGCTGATCCGTCACTCTACGTCGGCCGCGATGTTCCATATTGCTGGACAGCTACGACGGCGCGTCAAGCAACGCAACCCCTCCTCCTCCATAAGGCTGACTGCACGATGGGCTGGCTAGCTCTGTGAGCCGGGGCGGGGGGCCGCAAGAACCATGGAAACGACGGCAGAGCGGCGGCGAGGTATTCCAAACTTAACAGCAAAGCAGTCTATCTGGAATTCATATCTTTGTAACAATCACATCTCTCACGCCTGGGAGAGCCGGCGATGAACGCATGCAATGTCACCCCCCCTGGGCCGTCGTCGCCCGCCGCCCACCACCACGAGCCAGCCAGCCAGCAAGGAAACCAGGAAAACCACCCCCGACGAGAGTCTCCCGCCCCCCCTCCTCGAGAAAAATGTCCATTGCAGAGGCATACATAATGGGCCAGTAATAGCAACCTGCCGGCAGAGACAGCCAATAAGCGGGACAAAAATAACGAGAGGAGCCGGGAAGAGTCAACCACCTCCACCCCAGGCCGATGGGCAAGACACACGAACCCTACAAGCCTCCGCCCTCTCGCAGTTTGCCTGCACGACCAGACAGGGATCGCATTGGCTTCTTGCACCGCCGCAGCTCGCACCGCACCATTCCCATCGACCACTTCCACTACCACCCTGCATCTTGTCTGCCATGGACCTCCGGATAACGCTCCCAACTTGCCTGCGCTCGCTCGACATACACTGCACCCGTACGGACGACAGCCAGGCAGGCAGGCAGAACCATACATATCAGCTGGCCCAACATGGCCCCCGGCTCGCTTGCTTTTATTTGTGATACTATGTACTTGCAGATCGAGAACAACATACATACAGCCAACCCTCGCGGCCTTTGCCCTTGCCTGCGGATGACCTCCATCCCTCTTTTCTCTTTGTCCTGTTTCTTTCCCTTGGGTTGATGGGTCTTGCTCTCAGTCACGTCACTCGCTAAAGGCCCCCAAAGAGACAGCGCCCCCCTCACCCCTTCGTGTCCTCATATATGCCAATGTACCAGTCGATATAGAACCATACTGTCAGTCCCGACCAGCTGCATGATCCCCTTTGTACGCCCAAACTCCCCATCAGGATGTCTCGGTCGAGCTTCAGCATCCGGAGGTTCATCTCGCCTCGCCGCTCACAGGCGGTCGACGCCGAGGAGGAACGTCGCCACTCGGAGGACTCGGCCGCGAGCGAGGACCTCTTCATCTTCAAGTCCCGACGTAAGCAGCAACAACAACAAAAGTCAAACTCATGGGCGCCGGCCAGACGTCCATCCAACGCCAAGGCCCGCAGGCCATCGAGGGAGGACACCCTCGTACGAAGGACACAAAGCATCAAGAGGACCTCGACCGAAGCTGTTCCCTTGCCTGAGCCTTCACCCAGCTCGTCCTCCAGCTCTTTGTGCAGCTCCCAGAGTCATACAGATACAGCCTCGACGAACAGCAGAGATGCCGTCCTTTGTCCGCCGCGGCCGCCGCCTCGAGCGTCTCGTTCTTCGGCACCAAAACGTCTCGCGGACCGAAGACATCTTTGCATCGCTCCTTTACAAACACAACAGGACACCAGGCCTAGGACCTCGCGAGAACATCCTGCGCTGAGAGGAACCCCTGCCAGCTCAGCGTCACGAACGGACAACAGCCCGGATGACTGGTCACTAAATGTTCAAGACCTCATCCGAGAAACAGACGAGGCATTCAAGGCCGTAGGGACAGCCATCGAAGAAGCCAAGGTCGCCGTCTCGTCTTTCAACACCCCAGAGACGAGGCGTCCATCATCTCCTACCATCACCAACATGGAATCGCCTCTCATGTGGTCAACGAAACCTCATGCCATTGCGAACAGCACTCCTCCCCTTCCCCCTCCAGTCCGCAATGTTTCAGGTTCATCAACATCCAGACCCCGCAGGAAGAAGTCAAAGAAGGTTAAGCGATCAAAGTCACGGTCCAAGAAGAACGCTCGATGGCAGCTCGGAGAGGAAGTCGTCGACATCCTCAGCGGCCAGTTCTTCCGCAAGATGGAGGTCAACGAGCTCCTCTCACCAGACCACCTTCAAGCCTTGAGGGCCGGCCGGGAGACTCAGGCTCGCATCTCGAGCGACACCGCAAGGACAGTCGACACGGACGGCAGTGAGACACCCGTCGAGCCTTTCCATCTCCAAGACCTGCCCCGCCGGATAGGAGCGGCAGGTGTTGGCATGGTGGTTACATCCAGCGACACCGTGTCACATTCTAAGCCCCTCGAACCAGCTGTGCGACGGCGCTTCTCGGTGAAGGAGAAGTCCCCGCGGCGAAAGAAGCCCGTCGCCGCGCCCGCCAGAGATTCCACGACCAGAGACACCGCGGAGATTGACGACATGGCCGCCCCTCCCCCTCCGCCGGCGAAGAACCCGCTGAGGTTCGCGCCCCGGCCGCAGGCACCACAGCTAGCCACGATACCGGAGGTCATCATCACGACACCGGACACGACGACATATTCAGACAGAACGCAGAAACAGGCGACGCGCACGTTCGCCCCCGTCGACGAGGACGACTTCGTCTTCCTCCAGTCGACAAACTACACACTCAACCACCCCAACCTCCGCCACGGACAGATCCGCTTCCCCAAGTCCGACGTCGTCCAGGGCATGAAGATCGACCCGGACGACACCCTGGACTGGACCGCATTCCAGATGGCCATCCTCGGCGGCGCGGGCGACCTCTTCTCGGACCCGTCGGACTTTTCGCAGCGGTCGGAGGCCGAAGAGACGGCGGACCTGGTCGACTGGTTCGAGGAGTTCGGCTTCGACCACCACGGCCTGCTCATCTCCTCCGCCGCCGCCGCAGCGGCACTAGCCAGCCCCGCCAGCGTTAGCGCCAGCACGACGGCGTCCGAGTACTCGCCCATGTCGTCGGTCTCGACGGACATCAACCTGCCGATCCCGGTGGAGTTTGAGCACCCGAGCGGGTTCTGGAACGAGGGCAAGTTCGACGCGTCCAAGTTCCTCACCAAGGGGTGCAACATCCGGCGGTGGACGATGGAGGGCCACCCCAAGCGGTACAACCGCGAGAGCATCGAGAGCCTGCCGCCCAGCCCGATGATGGACCTCGTCATGGTGAGGGGCACGGACGGGGAGGCGGAGGTGGTGCCGATGGGGTACAACCTCGGGCACGACCTGGGCGATTTCCTGCGATGGGAGGCGGAGCACGTCTACGCTACGGGGGTGTACTGAGAACGGGAGGCACACGATATCATACAAATTTACGACGGAACGAGGTTCATGGGCATGAAAGGGAAAGGGACAATCATTTACAGGGTAGAACGAATCTAAATGAAAACAATGCATAATATGAATCCTCTCTGGTTATGTGAATTCTCTCTTGTGTGTCAATGTGATTACCACCGAAACCACATGGGCTAAGTGAAGGAAGAGAAATCCAGCGACCATCGAGACCAAAGTAGTTTCGGTGGTAATCACATTGACACACAAAAGTCTGGTTGAACCCGCCGATCACAAGGCGGTACAATCCGAGGGTAGCAGCCATGATGGATTTCTCTTAGGGCTGAGCTGCCTGCTCGCTGCCTGCTGCTGTTGCTGCTGCTTTCACCCAACATAATGATACAGTACGGCCAACACTGTCCCGCTCCAACAACCCCCAATTGGCCACAGCCGCCGGCAGCCCCCTCGCCCGCGTGAGCGAGCACTTGAGCCCCCCCGGTGCCGACCCCCCACCGCGGATCGCCCCGGCAAGACCCGCACGCTAGTCGCAGGGCACATTGATGGACGGGGCAGGCTGAAATGGACCGGGGGTTGGGTGACCCGTTGTCGCTGAATTTCCAGCGGTGTTTTTCTCGCCGCCGCCGACGCGCCAAAAAAGCGACAACTGAGCAAAAAATCAACAACACGACCAACGACAACCAACTGCATCGTCAGCTCTCCGCGCTCCCCCCCCCGTTGACGCATACACATTTCTTCACCACGACCCCACGCCGCTTCGCCCTATCTCTCGCAGGCTCAGGCATCTTTCTCGCATATTCCCGCGCCGCTTCTTCGCAGAGAGAGAAAAAGAACCCCTTGCAAGGACGACTTTGCGGGTCCACTGGCTAAAGGTGTAAACTCATCCAGCTGCACCTTGAGCAACTGCCTAATCCGACGGAAACCCAAGAGAGCACACTGTTCCTCACATCGCCGCCACTGTATTTTTCATCGCCGAGTTGCATTTCACTAGGCTGCTGCGTCACGAGTATCGGATCACGTTGGAACCAAACCCCCAAACCTCGCCGCGCGCATCACACCATATTGTCTCGTGTTGCTTAGCAAGACACAACCAACACAAACTCACCTCTCAGCCCCCTGCTTCACCTCACCTCACCTCACCTCACTCACCCAACCCAACCCCCAACCTAGACCAAGATGCTCCGCCGCCCCGCAACGACCCTCTCCATCACCGCCGAGGACATCGCAGCCTACGAAGACCGCCGCGCGCGCGAGGCCATGCTCCGCGAGCGCCAGGCCCTGATCCAGGCGCAGCAGCAGCAACAGCAGCAACGCATCCTCCAACAGCAGCAACAACTACCATCATCGTCGCCGCAGCGCCAGCAGCAGCCGTACGACCCGGACATCTCGGCCGAGGAGTACGCAGAGTACGAGGCGCACCAGGCCGAGCTGCTCAGGCGGCAGAGCGAGATGATGAGGGCGCAGCAGCAGCAGGCGCCGGTGCAGCGGCTGGGACAGCCGGGCCGGGGTGCGGCTGTGATGCAGACGACGCCGACGCCGGGAGACGGGGGCCGTGGGGGCCGCACGAGGGAGGATAGGATCGGCGTCGGACGGCGCGGGAGGTGAGGTTGGTTCTAGCCGAGAGTGTCAGATGTTGGATTTTCTCTTCGTGTTGGGTTGGTTTGTTTGCACTGCATCAAGACAGATCACTGGGATAGGCGTCATGCGATAGTATCAGGGATGTCTTTGAGGAAAGAAGTTCGTCTGTATTCCCCTAAAGTCGTCTCATCGTGCTCTTCTCAAAAACCCAAGTCATGCAGAATTCGTCAAGTCGTGCCAACAACTGTCTAGAAGGACCGTTTGGAAACGGGAACAGAAACCAGGGCATGGAACGATATATCAACAGTGAAGAGAAGGAAAGTCTGGACGGACCAAGAAAATGAAGAAACCCCGCTAAATGATAAACCGGCTGGAAAAGAAGAAACCCAGATAAACAAAACCCACATTCTCCCATTGGAGCTTCAAGCTTTTCCGCCTGCCCCCAACACCACAGAAGAAGACTCCTCCAGAGGACCTCCTCCGATGCACCCCATGCCCCATGCCCGCCATGTCGTAACGCGTGTGAAATAAAATCGTCTGTACAAGAAGTGAAAAGAGTGTGTTGCTGCTGATGCCAAGCTCAGTCGCCGATCGCCGAGTGTGAAAACCGGGTTTGTCCCATGAAAATGTGAAAGATGGACACGCTCGGTGAGAGAGATGCTTTAAAACGGAAACGCTCGCAGGCTTTCTAGACCATCCGAAGTGGGCTGAACGCCTTGCCTACGGTCGCGCTCAATTTCCTTGGATGGCGAAGACACATCTTCCATCTGCATCTACCACTTGTTAGCAGGAGTACGCTGTCTGCCTGTGCTGGACAAACTCACATTGAGGAAGACATTGGCTTGCTTGATACCAGCAACGTCAGCGAGGTATTTGAGCCGGCCCCTCAAGAACCGCTTCTGCCTCGGGGTCGCAAAGTCGCTGGTGTAAGCCGTGACCAATGGCCAGAGAATCATGAGCCCAGCGGCTCCCTTCAGCGGATCATCTGGCTTGGTGTTTTGTCCGCAAGGAAACTGTGCCACGACGACTCCGTAGCCGTTCCACTTGCAGAAGAAGGGTGCCGAGGCGATGGTGTCATCGATTCGCAAGATCGCCGAACTCTTCAGCTCTTCATACTCCTCTCCCATGCGGTAGTCGTCAGGTGCGACCAGCCAGGCCATACAACGCAAGATGGTGGTTGTCAACATTAGATGGCAACACCACGTGGCAACGTGCAAGATGGCTAGCGGAAGATTGAAGAAGCCGTAAATCGGTCCATTGAATGATGGTGCCGTATCGAGTTCGTTGTCTTGCCGATCCATGACCCAGTCGACAGTATCAACCTTCCATTGCGGGCTCGGGTCATTGTTAAGCTTGCGGAACTTGGCCTCGAGCGCCTGGGCACGTTTGAGAGCGTCAAGCACCTTTTGAATCGTCTCGGGCTTGCGGTCCCCAGCACCCAGGATTCTGTCGACGTCCTGCCTGATTTGACTGCTCTGAATATCCATGCTGGCGATGGCGTGTTGCATACGTCCGCGACATTCGTGGTGAAGCAGCCAAGTAAACTCGGCTACCTCTGGTGAATTTGGCAGGCAGTGAATTGACAGGCACTGGTTTCTGGTGATGGCGAACATCTCCTCGCCTTCGGGTGTCTCGAGTCCTTTCTGTCCCCTGAGTTTCACAATAATGGCTGCTCCCTTCATGTGGTTGGTGTACTCCGCAATGGAATTCCGAGATGCGGTCAGAATCTATCTATTTGTTAGTCCTCTTAACACCTCAAATATCAATCCGACGCGCTTACCTCGTAAAACGCCAACATGAGAACTGCTCCAAGTGTTTGGTCGTTCTTCACTTCCTCAGGGTCCATGATGGCTTTGTTGACAGCTCTCACAGCTCTCATATAGTGGTTCTGAGCGTGAAATAAGGCAGAGCTTGCGTTGACGGTTCGTCGACTCGCCAGAGCCGCCAAGGACACGGCTTTGTAAGCTTGCGAGAGACATTTGGAGACGTTCGGTTGACTCAAGAACCGAGGAAGGAAACGGTAATAGCCCCTGGCAGTGGGCGTATAGGGTACAATGATGAACTCTGATAGGAAGTAGCAAGAGGCCTGTTCGTCGAGAGAGTCAAATAGGGACACAGGAATGTCTTCGTCGTCTTCGGTCGAGTCATCGTCTGCGCGGAACGGAAACGCAGCCGGGTTCGAGTAGTCGAACGTCTTGTATTTTGGCCCAGCCACCGATGTCAAGCACTGCTTGTTGCAGACTGGTGATGGGCCCTTGCCTTCGTCCTCTGAGCTGTCTTCACCCCTCGACTTCTTGAATCTCTTAATCGTCGCCTCGGTCTCATCGCGGATATTGGCCTCGAAAGGATCGCGGTAGCCAGGACACTGACGCCTGGACTTTTTGCACCGCATGCAGAATGGCTTGCCTTCATCACACTTGATCCTCCTGGCCCTGCAAAGCTTGCAGCCACCAGATGGCTTGCCGGTGTTTACCATTGTTGCAGTAGTGTGTTTGGTATGTTGAGAGCCGTGTCGTTGTTCAACAGATCATAGGAATCAACTCCGGAGGGTATGAGGGGCCGAGCTCTTTTTCACAAGTTTTGGTTCCGACGTCCCAAAAACACAGGTTCCGAGGTCAACCTTTCGGGTTAGACCAAAAGGCGAGGGCCGGTAGATCAAGCGGGAGGGAAAAGAAGAACACCACTATGTCATAGCGACGAACTGCAGGCAAAATTGTGGGAATCCGCGGTACAGGGCTGGTTGATTAGCAGCCCAATGCCTGGTTGGCAACAGAACGACGGAAGGGCTGGATCACCGATGGGACGCCTGCGAAACTCAACAGCGCCTATTCGACGCATTAGCGAATAGGAAAACTTCTAACGATCGAGCGGGATCGCGCCGTTGGCGGAGGACGATCTCTGGTGGTCTGGGATTAGGCGGATGGTGTATACGTTGTTGTCTGGCCTCCCCGAAGGTTTGTTTCATGCGCCGCTAAGCCCTGACGAGGCGCGGACTGCAGTCGACCAAGGGTGCTCCCATCGGTGCTCGAGCGCACAATGTTTGAGACGGCAAACAAAATGTGCGAGGAGAGATCAGCAGCGGCCACGATCCTGGCGTCGATCATCCGGGGGATAACCCGGCTCTTCGGCAAGCCGGTCGATAAATGGCACCTCAGACAGGTGTCAGTCAGCGTATGTGTTTGTGCGCGCCAGCATGTTGGTGGCCTGGAAGGACATCTTCGTTGAATCTTCTCCAGCACGCATGTATGCCCAGCCACTAGGAGTTTGGCATAAGTCTCTTTGGTCCAAACATTCAAACAAAGGTGGTTCATAGCAAAGGGTCGCCGAAGTCTGACCGCAGACCGGCAGGCAGCCGTTGGGTCCTGCGAGGGGAACAGACTTGAATGACAGTATCGGTTCCGGCTCCGGCTCCGGCGAATCGAGAGGAACTCGACAGATAGTGAGTGGAAGAAAGAAAAAGAAAATCCCTAGCAGGGAACATGGCGGAGTGTCTAGATCCCGCGGGGCGGAGCGCGTCATGGTGTTGACGAAGCCTCTCCCATAGACCCGGAACGGGGCTAATTAGGCCAATGGATAAACGGGAAGAGACCCGTTGGCCCATGGGTAGAGACGGCTCTCATTGAGTCGGACGGCAGGACAGGTAAGTCTTGTCTGAGTCGGCGGTTCCAGCGGTATGGTAATCGGATGCTTGCCCACCCACACGCGACACTTGACGGCGTGGAGTTGCTTCGTCATTAAAGGTGATGGGATCGTTTCATCCGGTTCAGCCCGAACCCGAAAGGGTAATCCAGTCGCGGGCAATGCCTGGCAAAACGTCCTGCGGAAGGCGGTTGTTGTCAATTCTAAGCGAACGACGAATGTTGACTGAACATTGACTGAGGACTAGTAATCTTGTTCGCGTTCCGTCGTCAAGAGGTTGTGGTGGATCGTATTCGAGAAAGGTAAGTTGTAACCAAATCGACGAGACGGAAAGCTTCGTGTTTCTATTGAGCTCAAATCTGGTGCCAAACTGTGTTTGTAGATGGCAGGAGGGAGGGACTGTTGCTCGAGGTGTCGAGGAGGAAGGTGGACTGCCTGACAAGGGGTTCTTCCCCTTTGGTCGTCCCGCGCTGGCCGAAAGTGAATCGATCATCTTAGCGTCAAGTGCACTGGGCTGGAGTGGGTCCAAGAAGGATCAGCGGTATCCACTTTTTAATGTAGCGTTGGCGCGACAGCTGCGAGTTTATTTCAAACGTCCATCTTCAACCTCTCAGACGTTCGTCTATCTGATTGACACTGCCCATCAAATTCAAATGACAACTCATAACATTCCCCGGACTGACTGACGCGCATGTCCACTGCATGAATCCAGAATTCAGAATCCAGACTGCCGAGAGAACTGCTCCTCGTCATCATGGCTGCCAAGGTTTGCACGCCTGTTTCTCATCCCCCAGCCAGCGGTGCATGAGGGAAATCTGTGCGTCGTTACGTGCTTGATGAAGCTCACAGGAACGCCGTTCCATCGGCACTCGCCGGGCACTCGCCGGCAAATCCTCAGAAACGACCGATCTCCATCTGTCAGATGTCTGATTGGGCCGTGATGATGGCAACCGCCTGTCAAGACTTCAGGCCCTGAGGAACCAAGAGGACGAAGCGCCGGAAAGCGAATAACAATGCTCCAACGCCGAACCAAGCGGCATCGACAAGTCCATGCAGCGGCAACAGTCTGCAATGTCGCTCCGCTCGGCAAGGGACGTCCACCTGTCAGAGTCAACCAATGCCGCGTGGCATCAACTATCAGGTTGCCGGCACATCTGCACTCGCACGTCCCCTCCAGCTGCAGAGTATCGACACTGCTTTGACATTCATGAGGCCCGAGTTCCTCAAGCCTGCCATCCTTCAGCTCTTCAGGGCGACCAGCTGATCGGGGATAGGTTGTAAGCCGCTAGGGCCACGACTGTAAAGGGTCCCTTGCGGTTGATGTGTGGCATCCCACTCCAACGGTGAACCGGTTTGTCTAGGAGTTTGCCGTTCTACGAGTCATTACAAGAACACGAGGAACTTAGCCAGCAACCCTTCATCATGAAAGCGACTGCGTGTCATTCATCCGCTTAGTCGGCGTCGACGATTCTGCTCAGCAGAGTTGTCTGACGGTTTCAAGAAGGCAGCTTGGTCTGTGACACACCATCAGGCGGTTGTGACTCAAAGGGAGGCAATTACACTGTCAGACTGACTTAAGTCGACACTCTCGGGTCTGGCGGGGGTTCCCCGTTCAAAGGCAAGGTTCTGACAAGTTTGACGTTTGGTTCCCACTGGCCATCGTCTCCACGAATCTCAGTCATTAGCCTTCTCTTGGCAACTCACCTAACTCTCCGGGTCAGACACCACTTTCCCAGGAGCCACTGACGGAGCACAGCAAGTGCATGAGGCGAAAGGAGGAGGGGAAGTGTAATATTGAAGTAAATCTGTCAGTTTCTGCCCATCACAGATTGATTTCTTATGTTTCGCCAACGCCCGCAAGTTGCTCGTTTTCGTGAGGATTAGCTCTTTCCTCCGACAATTGCTGCTGCGGACCAGGAAGGTCGCTGAAGGCTGGGCCGTCTCAGCCATTCGGGTGGCCACCATCGGAGCTCGGAATCAACTCTGGCTTGGTTTTCATAGCCGGAACGATGCGGCTGAGTGGCCACATTGCGGCAGGGAAGGCCGGTCCAAGGGTTTCGGAGAATTTCCTGCTCAAATCCTTTCTGCATAATGAGTCGTGAACGTGCAGGGCTCTTTCGACAGGTTTAGGACTACCCTCGTCTTTTTTCTCCTTACTATCTGTCCTTGGTCATTATCGGAGCAGCTATGGCTAATCATTTTCCTGCGGTCTCTGGAAGGCTCCGATGGAATTTCGGCCGAGCGGCAGCAGGCCGGGCGGGGATAGGCCCGAGAATTCGGTCTATTTGGCCCGCATATGGAGATCCCGACTTTTAATCTCCCGCATATTTCCCTCCCCTCCAAGATATCTCACAGGGAGGTTCCCGAGGTCCACCATACCTACAGCGATGGTCCAGCGGACAAGCGTGTCGCGCGGCTGCTCGAGATTCGAGCGAATTCGGGTGGGGCCGGAGGGGATCAGGCGAGAGTGAGTCCGACTCAAGGCGGATGACCAGCGCCCGGCAAATGGGGATATTGCAAGATGACGCAGACGAATCCTTCATAACTTTTGCTTCTTCGGGCAAGTGCCACAATCGGAAAGAAATCGGAAAGACTTGACCAACACAATTGACCAAGAATCTGAATTGCAAGGGAATATTTGGTCCCCCAATCAGGCTAGCTTGAAATGTTCATTTGGCCTGGTACTTGCATGCAAACCTGCCTGACTACCAGGCCAATTCACCGGCGCTAGCGGTGTCCGCCGCCGGGTTTGGACCCACAAATGTCCGAGCCGTCAACGGTCTAGCCCGGAAGAGCACCCTTCGGCAGAACATTTCGCCCGCCCTGTCCGTCGGAATGGATGCGACTCACGATCGCGGTGTTTGCCGCTCTGGCCTGCACTTCATTGCGCCGGTGTGCCCTCCGTCGGGCGAAACCCACCTCAACTCGACCGACTAGTACATCACGACAGCCCTGCGGACCAAGCTTTTCCCAGGCAACAGGGCATGCTGACGAGTCGATATTTACGGCGGAGTAATTGATTAGCGTCGGAATTACTAGAGGTGGTCCGCTTTTTGGCTGCCCATGAGGCCATTCGCAGCTCCCTTAGCGCGTCGACCATGTGTTGAGCCGCAGACAAGCATATAGTGTATGTATGGCTTACCAACAGGGGTTGGCTGTGGATGCTGTATGAAGACATCTCCTGACGTGGAGCGGAGAGGATGAGAAGTCGTTGACAGCTTTCGAGCGTGGATGCTCAGCTTTGTATTTAAGAGGCATTGACTCTTGAATCACTTATTCACAGCTCGGGTCCATAGTCTCTGAATAACAGCACCCCTTTATCAGCATCAAAAACATCGAGTCTACAATTTGACCATCCATCACCATTACTTTTCTCGAATCATCTCCAAACTACCACAACCTTCAAAATGGCTTCTTCAAAACCACACATACCACCACCACCATCACCACCACCGACAGTGGTCCTAGAGAAACGAACAACACACGTCGATAAAGATGGCAAACTCGTCTTCAAGCCCTCGCGCGAGTTCCTCCTCGCCTTTGGCGCCCTCTGCACCGTCGCCCTAGCCGTCGCCTTCGACGCCACGACCCTCTCCGTCGCCCTCCCGACAATGAGCGCCGAGCTCGGCGGCACCGCCCTCGAGGCCTTCTGGTCCGGCACCAGCTTCCTCCTCGCGAGCACCGTGCTCCAGCCCACCGTCGCCGGGCTGAGCAGCATCTTCGGCCGCAAGCCCCTCGTCTACGTCTCGGCCCTCTTCTTCGCCGCGGGTTCGGTGGTCGGCGCCGTCGCCAAGAGCTTCCGCGTCGTCATCGTCGGCCGCACGATCCAGGGCGTCGGCGGCGGCGGCATCCTCGCGCTGTGCGAGGTCATCGTGACGGACCTCGTGCCGCTCTCCGTGCGTGGGCAGTGGTTCTCGCTGCTTTCGGCCGTCTGGTCCGTCGGAACGGTCACGGGCCCGCTGATCGGGGCCGGCTTCGCGCAGAACGTGACGTGGGCGTGGATCTTCTGGATCAACCTGCCCATCATCGCCGTCGGCGTCGTCATGATCTTCTTCTTCCTGAAGCAGGCCAAGATCCCGGGGGACATCGCGGGCAAGCTCGCCCGGTTCGACTGGCTGGGGAGTTTCCTCTTCACGGCGGGCTCGACGAGTTTCTTGTTTGGGATCTCGACGGGCGGCGTCATGTATGAGTGGAAATCCTTCAGGTCGCTTCTGCCGCTCGTTCTGGGGATCTTCATCCTCGTGGCGTTTGGGATCTGGGAGTTGAGGTTCGCAAAGGAGCCTATGATTGACAAAGGCATCTTCAACAACTGGACCATGGTTGCGAATTACATCATGACGGTATTTCACGGCATGATTCTCTGGTCTCTTCTTTACTTTCTCAGTAAGAAATCTCCTTATGCGCTTTTACCCCTTTCTTGCTTCAATGCTGATAGCTTCGCAGTCCTCTACTACCAAGCCGTAAAGTCGTATTCCCTCGTCGTATCAGCCGTCGCCGCCCTCCCCGAGACCCTCACCGTCGCCCCCGCCGCCATGGCCGTCGGTCTCGTCGCCGGCATCACGGGTAGATACCGCTGGTCCATCTGGTCAGGCTGGGTTATCACGACCCTCGGCGCGGGACTGCTGTGCCTCATGAAGCCGGGGACCACCGTGCCGGCCTGGATCTGGCTCAACATCCCCATCGGGCTGGGCACCGGCATGCTCTTCCCGGCCATGGCCCTATCGATCCAGGCGGCGTGCGAGCCGGCACTCAACGGCCAGGCCGCGGCGTTCTACTCATTCCTGCGCACCTTTGGTCAGTCCCTTGGCGTGGCCGTCTCCGGCGTCATCTTTCAGAACGCGTTCCGGGAGAAGCTGGCGGCCGTACCGGACCTGGCGCACGTGGCGGACGAGTACTCCCGCGACGCGACCATCGTGGTGGAGATCATCAAGCAGATGCCGCGGAACACTGTGCGCGCCGAGCTGGTGGAGGCATACTGCGACGCGCTGAGGGCGATTTGGATCAGTCTGATTGCGTTTTCTGGGTTTTGCATGGTGCTGAGTCTGACGATCAAGAGGTACAGCCTGGACCAGGAGCATGTGACGGAGCAGGGGCTGGTTACCCGCGATGATACCAGTCGAGAGGATTTGCAAGGGCGCAGGGATGTGGAAAGGGGCGCATGATATAGGCAGAGATGTTGACGGGAAAGGTTTAGACATACAGAACGATAGAATTTGGGAGTTGTCCTCGAGGAGAACGCATCGTCACCACTCTTTAGATTACCATCTTTCGACATTTCAAGAGTATCGTTTTGAGTGTGGCCACGTCTGAGGATACATGAGCAATGTCCTATTGATTTAAGAAATAACGCTGAGGCAGATTTGTTTGTAGTTTGTCTCTTCCTTTATCATTCGTCACTACTAGAAGGAGAGATTTCGGACGGAAAATCTTGCTGCAGACAACCCATTTGACTTGAGGGTATTAATGCAGAGTAAATGAATCAACAACCCTCGGCTGGGTGAATACTCTGGAATGAATTGCAGCTTCTCAGGTACATCTTCCCAGGCAACAATCATCACCGTTTCAAGTCCACTTATTCTCTCGGCAGCGTGGACAGGCGAAGCTTTTGCCTTCGCAGGTCTATCTCGCCCCTACCCAAAAAGCCTGCCGCTTCACCAACGGGTCTAGAGTGGAAAAAGTCAACAACTACCCGACGGACTCTGCTTACCACGAGACTCCCTTCCTCACGACAGCCTCAACCTCACTCGCTCCTTCCATCTCATACTCTTTTTTTTTTAAACCCTTCAACCGACGTCAGCCAACTTGCTACTATCGCCCCCTATTGCCACCCAACTCGTCTGAACATACCCTCCACCCGACCACAACACCAAAAAGAACATCGCCAAATTCACCACTACGCACCACCGAAAAACGGTCATCATTAGCATACCAAGCAAAAATACGACAAAACGCATCGTGACACCGAAAAATGTGCCAACGAATCTACGTCCACTTCACAACCTGCAACTGCCAACTCTTCCACCGCCGCAACAAATGCGCCCCCGGCCCAACCTCGCAACGCTGCCTCGCCCGGCCCTTCCACCCGTCCCTCGTCCATAAGGTGGAGCGCCAATGCCCCTACCACCACCGCATCACGCGCCTGCGGAAGGGCTGTCCCGAGGCGAGGAGCCTGCCGCAGGGCTTCGTCAACGCGTACCACCTCCCCATCGCCAAGTCCATGACCGCCGCGGCGAACGAGCGGGGATGCCCGCGGGAGAGAAGCGAGGAAGTCGGCGGTAGCAAGCGCAAGGATACCGGCGGGGACAACGGACCGCGCAAGAGGCGCCAGACGGAGCCGGGGGAGGGGTATGCTGTGGCGGAGGAGATGGACGTCGACGGGAGCTCCGGCTCTGAACCATCTTATGGATTCAGGACATGCAAGCAAGATCTATGCGACGTCTTTGAAGCCATTGCCGACGCCGAAGAATTCGAGTACGACACTCTGGACGAGATCGTGAACAAGGAGCCGGACTCTGAGCTTGACACCACGGACGAAGAGGTAGAATCGCGGAGGCCTCGCTTCAGGTACGAGACCGACTCGGAGCGCGTCGAGTACTCTGCGCACGATCGCATGTCGCTGGCCGGCAGCGATATTCTTACGGGCCGCAGCAAGGACTTTTCTAGGGAGGGCCTCGACGACTTGCTCCAGTGTCTCCAAGTCCGGAGTTCTGGGCCTTCTGAATACGGTGGCACTTCTCAACAACATGGCTTATGCCCTGGCAAAGATGGTCCCATTGACACCATCATGGTTTCTTGCTTCCCAAGCGAGGATCTCATGTCCGACGATGAAGAGGACGAGGAAGGAGACGGCTTCGAGGGAGAATGGTAACATGGCAGGAACGTTGGTTGTATTGGCAGAGCATAGCATCGATTGGCTTCATTTTGAGATAGAAATGCATTAACGAATGAGAGATATTCCAGCAGAATGTTCATGTCTCATTACCCTATGTGCACTCATCTGACTCTCGGTCCGCAAGGTGAGATAAGCATGTTGTACAGAGATTGAAGCGTGAAGATTGATCATCATGATATCCCTTTATATGTCCACCCGAGCCCAAATCCACCAAAATCGCTCAAGATTGCCCGCTCAAATCGATGCCCATGGTCCAAATCAATCCCATGCCTGCTTGGTACTGGGATATTGACGCCCGCCAACGCCAGAAATCGTGGGACTGGCTCCGCGCGGTTCCTTGTACCTCTTTCTATCATCTCTGAACTCACGGTCCCGAGGTTCCCAGGGAGGCTCGCCTCGCTCACGCATGCGATCTATGTCGGCGTGGCTGCTGGTGCGGCGCTGAGCCTCCGGACGCACAGGGTGCAGTCGCTCCCGCCGTCGGCGAGCTTCCCTGTCCTCGTCCCTCTCCCAGTCTACTACCCGCTCTCCTCTGTCGCGCTCTCGATGTTCGTAGTCTCTGTCTCTCTCCCTGTCGCGTCTTCGATCCTTGTCCCTGCCGCGCTCTCTGTCACGGGCTCTTTGCTGCCTTTCCCTTTCTGCTCGCTCTCTCTCCTCCACCTCACGCCGCCGGTGACGCCGGCGCGCCTCTTCCTCAGATTCAGATTCTTCTGACTCATCCGGAGCGATGTCGGGCCAGCTGCGGTTCAGCTTCGACGTGGGAAGATGCTCACGGCTGCGACGGGAGGGTGGATCGCTCCGGCGACCTGAAGTGCTGCGCTGCCGGTCCGGTGAACGGCCGTTGGGGAGGATAGATGCCACTTTCTCGCTGATTTTCTCGACGATCGGGATGCTTCGACGGCGAGGGTCGTCTGCCCGTAGCTCCGAGCGATGCAGGCGAGCCCCTGACGGTACTTGAACCGATGGTGGGGGAGGAGGCATGCGCCGGAAGCCTGGAGGTGGGGGTTCGTTGGAATGGTGCGTGTGAGGCCTGCGCTTGGATCGTGGGCTCCCTGGCTCCTCGGAATCGGAAGTCGAGGAGGACGAGTAGTGACGAGGTTGACTATGCCTTCGAGGTTGCATGGGTGGCCTATTTGGGTGGAGATGCTCCGAAGCATACATGGGATCACCCGAGGGAGATGGGTAGTCGGAGAAGCTTCGGCGGCGGCGATCATCCGGTGAATTCTGATTCTGACCTCGGTACCGTTCTTGCTCGGGAGATCGCGCTGCTGGAATGTTCAGCCGGGACGGGGGATAACGTCCGCCATGACCCGGTACATGACTGTAGGCCACTGGCCGTGTCGGCGGGGGAAAGTACTCCGTCTGGGGGGCGCGCGGAGGTGGTGATGCCTTTGGATAGGGGTTTCGAACGTGCACGTAGGCGGCCTTGACCCTCGGCTCGTCCCTTTCCGGCGGCCAGTTTGAAGGTGGTGCGGCGGCGGCGGGCTTCGGAGCGGTCGAGTCTGGATTGGGGGTCGCAGCTTTCCTCAACTTCTCGGCGCATTTCTTATGCCACTCGGAGATCCCGGGGTCTGGCTGGGCGGGAAAGGCGTCGTCGGGCAGATCTTTAGGAAACGGTTCGTTCGTCACAGGATGCTTGAGATTCCAATTCTTGACTGCGTTTTGGATAAAGGGCACATGCTCTTCCGGGTCAAGTAAGATTTCGATTATTTCCCATCGCACAAAGCCGCGTTTTGTCAAAGCCGGTACGGAAGGGGCATCGAAATCGTTTTCGGAGGGTTGCAGGGAGTGTTGGCACCCAGTGACCTGCCAGATGTAAGATATGGCGGGGTAGGGCATTTCGATGAAAAGGGCTGCGATGACGGCACGTCAGCATGGCAAGGTTGCACATGGTGATCCAAGGATATGCTTACCGTCATAGTTGCCGCCAACCGCCTTGTAGAAGGCGGCAAGTTTTTGAGGAGTCAAGGCCTGAACATTTTTGTCGCCGATTTCTGCGATCTTTTGTTGGCGGGGTATGTCAGTTGTCGTCTGGAATTGCGAAGCGGGGTGGATAGGCAAGGGCGGGCGGAAATGGGGAACATGATCAGACGTACAATGTGGTTCGCGATGGCGCGGAGAAGGGCGTCTAGAATCGGGGTTGGCGCCTTGTCCTGGTTGATCAAATAACCATAAAAGTTTGGAGGCTTTGAATCTGCAGGTTGTGGCTGTGGTTGGGGTGGAGGTTGAGGTTGAGCCTTTGGAGACTCTTTCGAGTCTGGCTCTGGGGTCGCCGTCGCCATCCGGGGCCGAACTCTACATCAACAGTGTGCCTTTGCGGGCAGGAAGGTCCCGGGGAAAAAACTGTGGAGATCGGATGGGCTGGGTTGGGTAGATATAACGGCCGTGGCTTGTGCTGGTCGATCTTGAGTCGGTAATAAGAGCGTTTGACGCGGCGGGCGACTCCAAGCGAGCAGCGTGGCGTTGTAGTATGCGTCTTGTCAAAGCAAGCTGCTGGACATATGGAGGGGAGGGGAGACTAGTGTCGACTGCGAAGGGAGTCGGAGGGTATCAACATGTACTAATAACCGAGAGCTAGACGGACTGTGCCTGGGATGCGGGCCGCCATAACATCGTCATACGAGACGGAGATGTAATGTAGGCAAGGTATGGTATGGTATGGCAGGCAGAAGCAGGCTGAGGCCAAGCAGCTGCAACGGTGAGTCAAGTAGGCTCTGTTGTGGTAGGCGCACGCAGCCGGCAATATGCGCATGCGCGAAGAGAGACGAAAGACGTTGGCGCGCGTGGGAGTGCGTATGTGTGCGTGTGTGTGGATGCGATGGATGGATGATTCCAGTCCGGAGGGTGTGAGAGCGAAGCGACGGCGGACGACTCGAGGGAGGAGGGCTGTTTTGGTTGATTTGAGCTGGGCGGCGCGCGGGTGAGAGCTGATGATGTAACTAAAGTACTCGGACTGCAACTCCAGGTGGACAGGGTACCTGCACCTGCAGCTTTAACTTGGGTTTACCGCAGTAGTGGTGAGGGTGAAGACGGGACGGTTGAGCACGCGTGGATGGAGGTTGGAGGGGTCAAGTCGCAAGCTACCTACTTAGCACCTTGGGTATGGACCTGCACTCGAAGGAACCCTCGGTCAGAGAAGCACATCGTCAGGCAGAGACGGGAGACCAAGAACAGACACAGACAGCGGAGGGGCTGGACATGGGTACCGCAGTACAAGGGACATGGGACATGGGTAAGGCAGCAGCAGGCTATCAGGCTGGACAGGGCAGTGGCAGGTAAGAATAGCGATCAAACAGGGAAAACGTTTGGCTGTTGGGCTGACACGTGCACCCTGGCATGGCACAGCTTCCCTTCCCTTCTCTTCCCTGGTCGTGGACCTCGAGAGAGAGAGGGAAAAAAATAAATGGGGGTCATCAGATATCCGGCCGCTGAGATGCGATGCGATGCGATGCGATGCGATGCGCTGCGCTCTGCCTTCCACTTGGGGCACGGTACCTTTCACTTTTGGGTGTACCTACCTTACTGCTTATTGTCGACCCTCACTCAATGTCTTTAGGCTTCCTCCGCTTTCCCACCTCCAGCTTCCATTCGTCTGACTTCCACCGGTTCATGTGCATTCTCGAATCACACTGCCGTTCGGCCCCCATCTCACACGCTGCAAACGACTCGGGCTCCCCGGCGCCTTCATTCATGTTGGGTTGGAACGGTGGGCATCCACACGGAATTGGTGTTGACGAGTTTCTCATTAAACATGACTTCGACACGAGCGAGATAGGGCAAGGCAAATTCAAGGCAGCTAATGGGCCATGGCCCATACTAAGGTATCTCGCCAAGTGCAACTTTGGCGGACCAGCGATGCCCGTCGAAGACGATAGCCTGGAAGTCTGCCCAGGTGAGCCCTCTTCGCTGGAGTCCGTCTGGAGACGGCCTGCCGCGATGTGCCTTGTTGCGGGGGCTGGCACCCGCTCAGCCGCCGCCGGACTCACAAACCGCCAAAGATGTGCCTCCCACGGCCCACGGCCGCCAACACCACACGCCGCCAGCCACATCCCCAGAGCTGGGCGACCGGTAAACTCTGCCCATCCCGTTGCCAACTATGAACTCAGTCCCCGCCATCCCATCCGCCCTTCACCACGCGGCCGAAAGAACCGGTCCAGCCACTACGGATACCTACCATGAAGGGTGTCCCAACACACTCAACCCAAGACAGCGTCACCATGTCTTTGCACCACCAACCGCTTCAGCACAGATCGCACTGCACTGCATTGCACCTGGCAACCGGATGCTGCTCCGCGGTACGGCGCCTTGACTGTCGTGACATTAAACTTGCCAGTACCACCCCGCGATCCCGTCTCGTCTCAATCGTTGCGTTGCGCCATGCGTGTATGATGTAGTCGCAGCCAAGGTTTTGGGACTCCCGAATCTAGCGGTGAGCAGGTGAGCAGGAACCCGTCACAACCAGACTTACGAACGAGGCTTGCAAGGTCCCGGTGCTGTGCATTGCGCCTGTTGCTATCTATGTATGTACTGACCCTACCAAGATTCAACTCTATGGTACTTTGAAACCGCACCTTTTCCAGAACTATCTATATCTTACATGAATCTGCTCCGTCCCAAAATCTCCAACCCCTGTCGATACACGACGATCGATATTCTGCGAAAATCCCATGCTCTCAACCCTTCCTCAAGGGAAGGCCGTATACCAGAGCCCAACGGCGGCACCGGCAATTGAGAAGAAGCTCCTGACAATGTTGAGCGTCTGCCACCTCACGAGCAGCTCTCTGGTCTCGGACCATCCCAGCGCCACCACGCCCTGCGCACCCGCCAGGAGTCTCTCGTTGGTCGGCCCCATGAAGGCGAACGTGTACGGCACGATTCCAAGACCGAGTGCCCCGGCAACGACGAATGGCTTCCACGCGAGGCCGTGCCGGTAGCGGTCGTAGGCCGAATACGCCAGCGACAGAAAGGTGAGGCCCGCGACTTTTGGGCCTATGGACATGCCGCGGTAGAATAGGTTTTGCCACAGCTTCAGTGCATCGATCGGCTCTGCGCTGGCCTCGAGAGCCGCCGCGACGCTGAAAATGGACAACGACTGCCCCGCGCCTGTGCTAAGAGTTTAGCGACTGCGAACGACACGACGAAACCCCCCGGAGGCGTGAGAAGAGCTTACCTGCCCACCAAGCGCATCCGAGGATGCCTGTCGCAGTGACGATGTTGTTAGTCAAGCCTAGTTGCGACATGTTGATCTAGAGGGCTGTGTGTAGCTACACGTGTGTGTGCGTGTACGCGTGTGTGTCACTGATTGCCGAGTGTCTGAGTCGAGTTGGTCTCACTGCGCTTGTCGTGATGCTGCTACACAATCGACGATATGGTCTTGGCGTACAGAAACCTTTTTTCGATAATTTGCTTCAAAATCTATCTAGGTTTCGGGACGATACCCGTATTCATTATATACCAAGCCGTTGTGTGGACACAACGGCGCCTACAGCCGCCGACTCTCGATCGGGAGAATCACGGACGAGCAAAAATGTCCGAGGTCACAGCGGTGGTGTCCTCCCGTCCCGCTGCCGCCCGACAGCCCGGACGACCCCTGCTTGCCAATGGGGTTCTCGAGGCCTGACCACACGGTGATCTGACTTCCACCATCTCCCGGGATTCCTCGCAGTCGGTTACCGGCCGGTCGTCTGAATCCCGGGGTCGATTGTGCCGATGACGAAAGACACAGGTGCGCGTTAATTCGGACAACTCATTGTCCAAAGGTTGAGATTGCGTCCCAAGTTGAGACGGCGGTCCATCCCCGCCTGCCTCATTCAACGTCATATAATTAGCATAGAAGCATCGCCTCGCCCCGGCTATGGTCTTGGCTACTGCCTGGGCCGCCTGATGCCGTATCCAACGAGGACGACCTCCGTCTGCTTCTCTTCGTCCACCTCCTTCCACACCTTAAACTTTTCAAACCCCAACTTCGTGAGAATCTTCTGGCTGGCAGGGTTATCCGTCGCCGTCACAGCCGTGAGTATCTCCACCTCGCCCCCCTCCACCTCGCCCGCCCGCCCCGAGACGGCCTTCTCGCCTTCCACGGAGGCCCTCTCGACCGCCATCTCGCACTCGGAGCGGGGCAGAGACCACCAGGCGCCGAGGAAGGCCTGCACGAACTCGGTCGCGTACCCGCTGCCCCAGTAGTCCTTCTGCAGCATGTACCCGATCTCGGGCCAGCCCAGCTCGCCGCCGCTGGGCTTCTTGCAGCCGCCGATGCCGATCCACCGGCCCGTCGCGCGCAGGCAGATGGAGACGTCGTAGTTGTCGGCGTCGTGGGGCGGCAGGTTCTGCGCCAGCCGCGCCCGCGTCTCGTCCAGGTCCGCGTCCACGCGCCCGACCGCCGAGAACCTCATCACCTCGGGCTGCGTCCGCAGCGTGTGCAGGGCCTGCAGGTCGTCCGCGGAGACGGGCCTCAGGATGAGCCGCTCGGTGACGACAGGCTGTCGTAAGGCGTGTGGCGGCAGGGGCCGCGTTGGCAGGGTCGTCTTGACCGTTTTGAAGTCTAGCGGTTCTGGGCTGATATCCATCATGACTGGCGTTTTTTATATATATGTATACAGTCTTGGCGTCGATGTGATTTCTCTGATGCCTTGGTAGCGCGTCTATTTCCAAGCGATGTGACCTGACTTCAAAAGCATGCGAATCCAGGCTTGGCTGAACTCTCTTCGAACCTCCCTTTTTTTGTTTAAAGTACAGATCATATTGTAAAATCGAGATTGACTCATACCGTCGGCCAGTTTCCTTTTACAGGAGAAGCAAAGCGACGAGGGCTTCGGCTTTATCGCGCTTTACACTAGCGCATGAAACGGGGGTGTCAAGCTCCGCAGTATGACTAGGACCGCTGGTGCTGACGACCATCTCTCCCCCTCCTGTCATTGACTGATTGACCTTCCCTCTTTCCCCCGTCCCGGAGGCTCAGCTCTCTGCTCACCAACAACCCGGCCGGCATCCTTCCTGGGACACACACTCACACAAACCAACTGCATCCCCGGGGACCAGCAACGCGATAAAATACGGCCCTTGGCAAGACATCCTTGGGCAGGGTTTGGAACCCCCCCGGCCCCCGAGTAAAGAACCTTTAAGCTTTCCCCGACCGGCCCCAAAGTGGGGATCACGGCCGTGCCTTTTTAGTGTAAGGAATTTTGTGAATGCAGATCGAACCCCCATTCTTTCAGGCACAGCAGCCCGTCGTTTCCACGCCCTCCCTCCCCCCTTCTCAGCACCGCCATGCGAAAAGTAAGACAACGACGACAAGACTTTTGTCTTCTCCTTCTTCGTCAGCAAACCCAGGACTGATATATGTCCACAGCAGTTGTTCAACCTCTTCTCGACAGCTCGGCGTGTATCGTATCCAGTCTCGCCATTCTCAATGCCTTGGGCCGACATCAGCTGGGCTCACCTGCACCCATCTCACTCACTCACCACGACCTGAACTTGACCTATCCTGACTAGCGAGCGACACATCACATACGTCAGCACTCGACTTCCCATGTGAGATCACACACACATCTCGCTCGCATTATCACAACAATTCACAACAAATTACACACAATACAACACACTCCCACGAACAATGACACCGCCGGCATCAGGCGCGGCCTCGCGCCAGCACCAGCAGGAACCGAGCGGCAAACAACCCCTAAGCTGCGCAAACTGCCGCCACCGCAAGATCAAGTGCGACAAGGTCCAGCCCCGGTGCACGCAGTGCGAGCGCTCCGACCTGGACTGCGTCTTCCCCTCGCGCAAGCGCAACCGGAAGCCGCGCCAGGGCCGCCAGAGCGAGCTGCTCAACCGCATCACCCGCCTCGAGAGCATCGTCTCCAAGGTCGACTCGGGCAACCTCGACGCCGCCGCCAAGGATGCCGCCGTGGCGGCGGTCGCGGCCGCGGCGCAGGTGCAAGCCGGCCGCGGGCGGAGCAGCAGTTCAGCGGGAGCCGGGGCCGGAGGCGGTGAGTCGGATGAGCCGTCGCCTGCCGCCCCGGGGTGGGACCATCCCGCGCCGCCGGCGAACCTGATGAGCGCCGAGTTCTGGGACAACCTGTGCCAGGAGGTCGAGGGCATGAGGCAGGCGCTGGATCAGCCCTCCGACGGGGACGAGTCGTCTGAGGACGAGGCGCCGATGACGACCCCGGAGAGCTCTGCGAACAAGGGTCTGACGCCGCCGGCGTCGTCGGGGTTGATTCTGAGCAGCACCGTAGCGTCCCCCGGCGGAGAGGAGATGAAGCACCCGCCGCGCGAGCAGATTCTGTACATGTGCAGGATCTTCTTTGAGAACGTGGACCCGGCGTTCAAAGTGCTGCACCGGCCGACGACGTGTGCCGAGATGGAGGCGTTTGCTAACGCACCAAACAAACGGATCGACGACGCCACGGAGGCGTTGTTCTTTTCCTTGTACTTTGGGGCCATTACGAGTTTGTCAAATCAGGCATGCGTGAAGAACCTGGGCGAGGAGAGGAGCGTCCTTGCCCAACGGTACAGGGAGGGCGTGGAGAGGGCGCTAATCAAGGCGGACTATCTCAACAGCACCGAGATCAAGACCCTCCAAGCCCTCACAAATTACGTCGTAAGTTTCAACTCACCTTTCTTGACACAATTCGGGGTTACTAACGCGCAAGCAGTGCTTCCTCCGCACCCATAACGCAAGCAGGGCATCATGGGCCCTGATCCCCCTCGTAGTCCGCCTCGCGCAAGCCCTCCACCTCCACCGGGACGGCGTCTCCCCTCCCATCCCGCCGTTCGAGGCCGAGATGCGCCGCCGGCTGTGGTGGATGATTGTCGTGCTCGACATCCGCGCCGCCGAGGACCGCGGCACGGACGCCGCCATCCCGCGGCAGTCGTACAACACGCGGCTCCCGTACAACCTCAACGACGACGACTTCGGGCCGTCCACGACGACGCCGCTCGAGGACCGGACGGGTCCGACGGAGATGACGTTCTGCCTCTGCACGTCCATGAGCTCAGGCATCTTCGGCAACCTCCGGCCGCGGCACCCGCAGCTCGCGCTCGACAACGACGGGACGCCCGAGCCGACGACCTCGGAGGACGAGATCATGGCGCATGCGCAGCGGTTGGAGGCGCTCTTCGGGACGGCGCCGCAGAAGCCGTCGTCTGCGGAAGACGGGAGCGGCGGCGAGAAGGACGCGACGCACCTGCCGGCGAACCACGCGGCGGTGACGGTGCGCATCATCATCCTCAAGATGTGGCTGTCGGCGCAGTACCCGTTTACGCCGCGGGCGGCGGTGGCGGCGGCGAAACCGCGCGTGGCGCGGGAGACGATGCTGCGGACGGCGGTGAACACGATCGAGCTGGTCGAGTTCAGCACGAGCACGTACCGCGAGCGGTTCGGGTGGTGGATTGATAGTTATGTGCAGTGGCACCCGCTAGCGGTCGCGCTGGCGGAGCTGTGCGTGCAGACACGGGGGGAGCTGGTGGAGCGGGCGTGGAAGGTGGTTGATAGGAACTTCTCGGAGATGGGGGCTCGGATCGCGGACACGAGGCGGGGGACGCTGTGGAAGCCGCTGAAGAAGTTGTTGAGGAAAGCGCGGGCGGCGAGGGCGGAGGCTCTGATGGGTGATTTGAAGATTGGTGGGAGTGGTGGAGGTGGTGCGCGGGCTGCTTCGACGACGAGGACGACTACTCCGGCTGCTGCGCACACGGGGGCTAAGCAAGATGAAGAGGAGGACGAAGACGACGACGGCGACGGCGATGTTGATGTCGATGACGAAGAAGAAGATGGGGATGGCGATGTCGACGTTGACGTTGGGGTTGGGGCTGAACCACGTCAACAAATGCCGCCGCCACCGATGCCACCGCCAGGCGCAGTGCCTCCGGTCCTGGCACCCATTGGTGTTGGTGTTGGTCTTGGTCTTGGAGCCGGCATTCCTCTTGCGCCGATGATAGTCGACCCATCGCCCAACCCAGCCGTGCCGCCACCGCCGCCGCCGGAGGACATGGCCATGTTCGGCAACACGCCGCTCTGGGGCCATCCGCAGGATCTGATCAACCATTTCGGACTGCAGATGGACGCTGGAGACTTTTCGTGGGATTGGAGTACATGGAGCGAGTTCGTGGACGAGGCGAATACGGAAAGGTCGCCTGGGGATTGATAGATTGCGGAGGGAATGTACGAAATGATGTGTTACGCCTATCAGTCTTTAGAAAAGGGAGCAAGATCCCAGGTTCAACTTTCAGTATGTTTGGGTGCGGGTTGTGATTCGACGTGGGATGCCGAGATGACCTGAACGTGACGGGAAGACATCGGTTGGAAATGTTCGCTTTTGATCACCGTTGTCTACGCACCGTTGTCTACGCTGACCGGTTGACGACGATACTGCCAAGTGTCAGCTTTTCGCTGAGGTGCTATAGTACGGCTGGCCAAGCAACTACGTCACAAACAACCTCGACTGATACTGATGACGAACCCTTCACCGGGACGTTACAGTGTCACCGTAGACGGCCTTACATCATGCATTCCATGGTCTTGGCTCTCAAATACGCACTCTTCCACGGTCATTATTGTCCCTACAAGACCTGTCAGAACCTAACCAGCAGGGCGTCGCAGGGTCAGGAACATCTCTCTCGTGACTACCCTCAAGTAGCCAGAAAGAACGCTTAGTCCCGCGAGAAATAGGTCGATGTCTACGTTTCCGACAGGGCAAAGGATACGCTGGAGGAGTGCAATGACACCCGAAGCCATGATAAGTCCCGTTTTCATCCGTGGAATCAATGCGGGCTGCCGCGATGATGCAAACGCTGATAATTACTGGAGTCACACTTGCTTGATACTGAAGGTCTTGGCTCACGAACTTGAATTGACACGGCTCGGCCGAGCAGGCATCTTGCCCGTGCTTCCTAGGAAACACGAAGCCGACCTGCTGACCGAGCCAGACTAGCAGAGGCATTATCTCATAATCAAAAAGGTCATGATTCACAAGCTTCGTACTCAGGTATCGTCATTCGCCGGGTCTATCAGGACTTTTTTGGTCATTTCCCACTTGTTTTGGCCATGCTCGAAAATTGATTCTTGTGATTCTTCATTCCATTTTGTGTGGCCCCCTGCCTTCAGTAAAGCAAATGTGATAGTTCCATGAGACCTAGTGAACACCTGCCAGTAGTAGTAGTAGCCCGCCCCTCCATTTGTCGAAAACCAGAGAAACAACGCCCCGCACAGTGAATTTATGCGAAAGTGGTAGGGCGCTTCGCGGAGAAGATCTTCTGGTTGGGGATCTTGGGGACGCGGTGGGGAAGGGGGAAGGTAAGGCCCTTGGTGAGGAGCTGCTTGATGTAGGGGCGCTTGACATCGTCGGCCTTCTCGAGCTCGACGACCTTGAGGATCTGTTTGGGGCTGCGTTAGTGGGACCGGTCGAATCGCAGAAAGTGAGGGCACGTGACGTACGTGGATGGACCTGAAGCGGGCACGGTGGCGGGCGGCCATGTCGGAGTAGAGAGCCTCGACGGCGTCGGTGCGGGACATCTCACGGTACTCCTTGTACATGTTGTGGGTGCCGGAGCGGGAGTCGTAGCGGATCCAGATACCGAAGTTCTTGACCTTGAGGGGGTGCTTCTCCTGGATCTGTGCGGAGGGGGGAATGCGTTAGTTCGCTGTCGTCTGGGCTGTTGATCCTGATTCTCGAGACGACGTACCTCCTTGACGCTGACGATCTCACCGGTGGCCTTCTTGACCTTCTTCAGGCCGCGCAAGAAGTACCAGTAACGGGACTTCGCAACCGTGGTGTTGGGGGCGAAGATGGTCATGCGGTACAGGGCGGGAGTCGGGTTGGACTCGGTGGGCAAGTGGCGCCCGATGACCTCGTATTCCGTGAGACGACCTGAAGCGGAAATCTGTTAGCTGCGTGCCGTCCCGGTTCAAAAAAAGTTCCTCTGCGCCAAGACCAAGATTCGTTTGCGTTTGCGTTGACCGATGCATGGTGTAGTTGCTCAAGAAGTTGTGTGGAAAAATTGTCGACTGCGACCGCTGCACAGAAATTGCATTTCGAAGACCGTCGGAGCGTAGGTTGTTGATTTGACACCAGTGTTCGTCGAATTGGAAAAGGCCCGTCACGTCGTGGCAAAGTTGTGCCCGAGGTGACGGGTGCCGCCAACCTATTCCAAGGCAAGGCAGCGACTCATCGAAAGACAGTGCACTCCTCCGTCGCCTAGGTGCCATCGTCGCAGAAGTTGAGGTCCATCACGAGCGTCGAAAAGTTTGTCGTCGGTTCGCAAATTTCGTTCAGGTCGCGCATTCGCGTCCAGGTCTCGCGCGGGGAGGGGAGGATTTAGAAATTATTGTGCTTACCCATCTGCTCGACTGTTAGACAAATATTCCTTCCGTACCTTGTGGCGATTGGGGACTTACTTTGAATTGCTGGCCGATGGTCGAATATCCGATATCGTGGTGGTTGCTGCAGGGTCAGTTCCGATTCAAAGGGAAAGGAAAAAAAGAGAATTTGTGCCTTGAGAAATGTTGTGTGCCAACTCGACCTAAGCGCGACCAAGCCTTGTGGGGTAAGGGCTGTGGCTGGTGCGACCCGTCTGTCTCCACTTGCGCTTGCCTCCGCTCTGCTGGGTGTGGCTGCGCCCGAGAAATTTGACGACCGTTGATGCCTGGATCTGGGGGCATGAACTTTCCCGGCCTGACGACAGACGCTGTTCAGGGTCCCGCTGATGGTGTCGCCTCTTGGCCAATCACAGCGCGGCTTGAACTCGTCCACAGAGAACGGGCATATCGCAGAGGAGACGACGCACCCTGGACGGATCACAGAGGGCCACTCACTGCTAAAGACTGAGTACACTCCCGCCTGGGCCCAGTACCTCGCTAGGGACCTTAGTTGATCGGCTCAGACAGCATTGATTCGTCGTCTGCCCTCCCAACGTCCATCTCAACACCCCGGTCTCACCTCTCTGAGAACTCAGCGTCAGAGTGGCTGCAACTACATCCAACACAATGGAGGGCCATTTCGAAGAATTTCGCAACGCCTACAAGGCCAGGTCGGGATACTCACTCGCACAAACACTCCAGCCTTTCAGTCCGGTCAACAAGCCAGACAAGCTACGCTCCATCTGGCTGGGCACAAACAGCCAAGATGTCAAGAACGACGTCAAGTACATGCTGCTCGGGCGATCATCTGGATCTCGGAAATTCAAGCTTGACTACGAGGAGACAAACGGCTGGGTGGAAGTGTATTCGGCATACTGGAAGGCTATTGGCGAGATTCTCAAGGTAGAGGGCGACTCCAGCGCTGGAGGTAGGGTGAGCTCCCATGATACATGTCTTTGCTGCATGGGGAAATGACTAACACCGACCTCAGTCATCATCGTGGACCAAGGTCTATGAGGCATGGAAGGAGCTTACCACCGCACTCATCCGTGGCTACACCAACTATGGATTCGAGGCGTGGACGATACCGTGTCTCTACACCGCCGGCAAGCACTTGCGACTTTTTGCCATTAGCTCAGACGAGGAACGTAACAACACCGATGCGAACGCCAACGCGATGGAGCTTGGCGACGACTTTGACCCTGATTTGGAGAAGCAGAAACAGCTGCGTGATTGTGAACAGCAACTGAAGCGCATTTTCACGTTGTGCCTAAGTGATAGGTTGGTTGTATGAACTCCTTAGAGATGTGTCGACTGACGGTCTTCAGAGCGCCCCTCGAAGACTCAAGGAAATGGGCCATCTACTACATCATCAACCTCCTCTTCAAGACTTATTTCAAGCTCAACTCTGCCAGTCTTAGCAGGACTATTCTGAAAGCTTTGTCAACAAATCGCGGAGACATGCCTCCTCTGGAGGCTTTCCCCAAGTCCCAACGGGTGACGTTCAAGTTCTATGAAGGTGTTTTGTTCTTCTTGGAGGAGAACTACGTCGAAGTAAGGAAGCTATGATGCAGTCCTTAAATCACTGCTGACAACATCCAGGCTGAGAAGCACCTGACCGAGGCCTGGTCCCTGTGTCATAAAGACGCTAAGAGCAACCAAGAGCAAGTCATCACAAACCGTCCTGGCCCAGCACAACCGCTAACTTCAAGCAGGAGGATTCTCACCTATCTCATCCCATGCCACCTCCTCACAACGCACACACTCCCAAACAGCAGACTTCTCGAGCCCTTCCCCCGCCTGCAGAAGCTCTTCCTGCCGCTCTCTAACTGCATTCGCAAAGGCGACCTCCGCAACTTCGATCTAGCCCTGCAAGAAGGAGAAGAGGAATTCGTCCGCCGCCGCATCTACCTGACCCTCGAGCGCGGCCGCGATATTGCCCTACGCAACCTACTTCGCAAAATCTTCATCGCCGGTGGCTTCGAGAAGGCCAAGGAGCCCGGCGCCCCTCAGCTTCGCCGCACCAGAGTCCCTGTCGCTGAGTTCGCGGCCGCCATCAGCCTCGGCAGTCAAGAGACTGTGGACCCAGACGAGGTCGAGTGCCTGCTGGCTAACATGATTTACAAGGTATGTTGCGTCATCATTCTTTCGTATCCTGCACCGCGTGCATCTAGTGATGGCAGCCTGCCTGTACACGTCGCTTTTCGGTGAGCCAGTCGGGCCAAAAGAGTTCTGCAATTTTCTCACGCGTCCATCCCGCGCCGTTTTATACTCACCGTCACCCGTCGTCTGCCTGCTAGGCAGCATCATCACGTTGGTGACGGTGAGTGCCCAAGGCAGCAAACCTTCACAATGTCCTAACTCACACCCAATTTCTATTGGCCATCGGCATGCCGCCTCATTTCCAGGTCCACTAACACCGAATGCAGAATCTTATGAAAGGCTACATTGCGCGAGAGCGCGGTATCGTCGTCCTGTCCAAGAACGGTGCTTTCCCCGGCACAGGGGTATAGTCTGCATATGAGTGGTGGGTGTGTGTGGGTGATGTCGGTGGTGTAGTGGGATGGACAGAGACTACAGACGAGGTGCATCGGGCTCTACCGGCCGAAGGAAAGGGAGACACATACATGACCGTAGGCCTTATCTCTCTTAAAGCAGCGATGCTGTTTCTCCCCACCCTTTTGTGGTGTTTGTACCTCTTCCAATCCAGAAAGGCCGCCTCGGCGTGGTGGAAACAGCCTCAGCGGCACAGTCATGTATATAGGTCATGCATGTTAGATCCCTCGTGGTGGAGGGGGGCAGACCTGTGAATACTCATCAAAAGTCTATCTGGACCCCGTTTTCTCGGTCAGAAACATTGACGCATATCCTGCGGTTCGCCCGACTGTGACTCTGTTCTCTCTCGTGTTTGCATGGTGAGTCGTGATCGTGACACTCGCTTCCATCATATGGGCACTTTTTCCACCGGGCTCCAAGTCCCCTCTTCCCCGGAGCGATATTGCCCCTCCCAAAATTCTACCAGTCACTCAGACACAAACCCCGCCCGCCGTGAACTTTTCAGTCCGTGAACATGGTTCCCAATCACGCACGTTATACTTCAAACCGTCCAGCTAGCCCGAACCAAACCTCCCGACACAAGGGCAACCCAATAGCTCGTTTCTTATCCGACCCAAAGCCCAACGGAATCGTTCTCCCGAGTACTTGTCACAACAGAAATTTCAACCACTCGGCGTAATGCCCATCCTCTCCGCCGTGACTAACGTCTCACCAAATGTCCAACCGAGCCAAGGATGTTTAAAGTGCTTGCATCCGTTAGCGGCCGGTCACCCAAAGTGGGGCCGGTCCCCTTCCGTGACACTGACTATCACATCCCCCTCAAAAAGCGTGGTGTGTATGGTGGTAGTATCAGACATATGACTCACACACGAGTTCAGGTGGATTTCACAAAATACGCCGACTGTGGCAGCCTTCTAGCAGAAACGCGGCGGACGCTAGGAAAGTGGTGCGGGAGGCCAGGAACCGGGAGTGGGTGTGTCTGGTTCCCCGAAGACTGACCAGGGCGAGATAGTCAGGGGGGTATATGTGAGTGTGGGTGGGTTGGCGTTGGTTTGTCGTCGTTTAGAGAAGAGAGGGCCGTTGCCTTGGGCATTCACGATCGTTCACGGGAGGGGTATGGGGACCGGAACCGAGGTTTTGGGTCGACCTGCTTCGAAGTTTGCAATTGCCGAGAAAAGGGGGCTGAAACCAAGACCACGGCGTATATTGAGATTCTTCTGACTTGGATGGCTTTTGGGAATAGCTTCCAATTCAAAATTAAATCGTGAATACGCAGGGCACTTCAATATAGCAAATACAGTCACATCAACTCCTGTTTGATTACGACGTAAAGCGAGTGTGAAGAATGATAATTTTACAAGTAATCCGTTCTCGCAGAAAACGCAATCTGACTTTCTCTCTTTCGTCTTTCTTTTCGCTCTAATGATGACGGAAAACCTCGTGCCCGGCTCTTTCAAAATTCAGCCGTGTATGAGGGCTGTCTGCCGGGATCTCAACATAACCACCAACGCTACCCCAATAATGTGTGTTCCCAGAGTCTCTTCTTCTATGAGAGGGTCCTCGACCTCTGGAGAGACGGATGATAATTGTACAGGGGTTTCTCGTGAGAATGTAAATCAAAATAAAAGGCATGGCGACAAATGAGAAGGATGGGAAAAAATACATGTCCGTCCAGCAACGCCGTAGCCGATCCCTTCCTTTCGGGATCTCAAACGCCACTTTTGTTTATGTTGTTTTGCTGTTTGTTCAAATCAAAAAGCTTCATCGACCCATGCGAAACAGAAAGAAAAAAAGATATGAAGACAAGATTGCGTGAGAACGTGAAGTCATTAGGTATGAGGCGGGTATTGGTAAATCTTGGATGAGGTGGGGATGAGATAAAAGTTGGGAATATGAGATGAGATGATTAGAATGTGATTTAGCGGCCGCTGCGGGGAGTGCGAGGTGTGTTTCTGGTTAGAATATTAGCGAGAGCAAGGTTGAAATATCGATCAGGACAACTCACGCAGTCGAGATGTCATCAACATGGTTGCACAGCGCCACGAAGAGGTCGAAGAACAGCTGAGTGCCTCCGTTGTACATCTCCAGCTGCATCGTGCCGCTCCGCTTGAAAGTGCTGCGGCTGCGGATGATCAGGGCGAGGTAGTGGGCTCGCAGCTTGGAGTCGCTGTCGGGTGTGTGGGCGTAGGCGTATCTGGCCGATGAGAGAATGGTGCTGCATTGGATGCCGGATTCTGCCGGGGTGGTTAGTATAGACATCTCCAAGACCACGTTGGAAAGTACTCACGAAGACCTTGCTTTCTCAGAGAAACACGCTTCAGCTCCTCAAGCCCGTACTTCTCAGCAGCACAGTAAATAACGGTATCTTTGAGCAAGTCACCGTCGACACCGTGATGGTAGACAGTCGACTCGATGCCCTTGCCGTCCTCAGACAGCTGCTCAATCTCCCACGAGTTGCGTCTCTTGTTATGCACCAGTCGCGGGTAGTAGTCGCCCTTGTAGAGGTATTCCAGAACCGACGAGAAGATCTCGGGTTCTTCGTCGGGCAGAGCGATGCGTCTGGCGGGGGCTGAGGAGGACGAGGGCGAGCCGTCGATGAAGTTGCCTCCTCGGAGGGCGGCCTGGAAGAAGGGGGATGCGCAGAGGACGTCTTCGTGGGCGGCGAAGAGACGCTGTTCGGTGCCGACGACGAGTGTCACGATCGCGGAGGTAAGGTTGCTATTGGTGCGTTGTGTTAGCAGGCTGTAGAGAGCGCATGAATCACTGCCGAAACTTACTTGCTCATTTCGGTGTCATGGGTACTTGATGAAGTGGCCGTGTTGGGCCGTCTGGTCGCACGAGAGTCGCGGCGTTTTGAAACGCCGCTGGTCTTGCTGAATGATGAAGTCGACTTGTTCGACTTGTGGCCCTTGGAGAAACTGCTCCTGTGGCTTTGCGAGGGGGCCTGTTCATAGCGTCTGGCGAACATTGTGCTGGTGAATGATCGACCGGTCGGGGTTGCGGTGCGATAATGGTAGGTGTTAAATTAAATGTAGGGGAAATCAACCAAAATCAAAAGCGATCGTTGGAAAGAGAGAATGATTCAAAAGATGGGTGAAGAATGGTTGTCGTGATCGACTGACTTGAGAGAGATTGCTGACCTACCTAAGGCGTCCGTGAGAGAGAGGAGAGAGAGGCGAGAATTTTTGGGTAGAAACGGGGCTCACGAATATATATATACAGCCTGATAACATCCCAGCACGGTCCCCTACATCTCTCCCCCGAGGCCTTGCTGCTTTTTGCGAGGACTGAGGCGACTGGTGATGGGGGAGGTCATTGGACGCGTTTCCCACCCCTGCACCGCGACTGTGGCTCCTGCACTCCTCACGTAGGAAATGCGAGATCACATGACCGACTCAGGGGGGTTTTGCGTGCGCCGGGCTGGCTGCCTCCAGTTTTCACACCGGATATGGGCACTGGCGGGCAGTGCGAACCGGGCGGATGCTAGCAGCAAGCCATTCCGCAGGGATGAGATGGTGCAACTGCACACCAAGCGAGTCAGAGAGCCCGGGTTGGCACAGCGTGCCAATCTTAGGGGGTTGGGGTCCTGAACTCCGACGACGAGGTAGCCTCCCAGCGCCTTGCGTGCGCAGGAGTACCTCTGGACGCGAGCACAGGACTGCCGACGCCGTGAAGATGCTCGACGAAGCTGCCTGGAAAGATCCACGTTAAGGCAGCGAGAGAGTGTCAGTGCTCTGCCATCCTATCACCAAGCTGGAAGAAGAAACGTATGCTTTGCCCCTGCCTGAATTGTGTTACACGGAAGGCAAATTCGTCGTCCATCAGATGCCGAGGCGATTCTCCCCTTTTACGGGTCAATTCGACTTCAAAGTTTTTCTTCCAGGAGACACAAAACGGGCCATTTCTCCTTCGTCACTGGGAGTCGAGGTTGAGAAAGTTTTGGGGACGGAACCGTGCGCGGCACATGGGTCTGAACCTTGAAGCTGTGACGAACCTTTGCACGCCATAGGCCGGGCTCGATCTTTGCCAGCGGATGCGACCCGGCATTCCGAAAGGTGTCGACGCAAACTGATATGCCCCTGACTATCCGTATCACGAATTCACGACAATTCTCTTCAAAATTCCACATCGGGAGCGGGAGATTCGGGAACATTCCTAGCTTCGAGACACCCCGGAGGAATCAAGAGACAGGCGAAATCCGAAATCATGGTAAGATATCGAGGGTCTTGCCCACTTTCAACGACACATGGTCCCGTTGTGATCATCAATACCGCGATGTTGTCACAACGTCTGTTGTGCCTAGTACTTCACTTGATGTCATGCTCGCAATCAGATTTTAGCCGCGACCTGATCAATGGCGTCGGCGACTGCTTGACGACCCTCCAGTCTGATGACGGCATCGTTGTGGAAAGCACCACGAACCGTCTTCTTCTCGACCGGTAGCCCGAACTCCTCGCAGCGCCGGACCAGCCTCGCGCCGTGGTCCGCCGGCACTAGCTCATCCCTTCCAGCTTCCACTATGGTGACATGAGGCTTGTCCTGGCCCGAACTGACCCGATGATTCTTGGCAATCCCCGCGATGTTGGTCAAGCTATCCAGATGGTTGCGCAAGAACGGCCACAGGTGACGATACGGCACCCATTTCTGGGGGTACAGCTCACCCAACATGTCCCGTACGGACGTGAACGGCGTCTCCAGGATCAACGACCTTAGCCGCAACGTGGGCGGGAACCCTTCCCACGCTGCGAGGTTCGTGGCCACCCCAGAGCCGATGCTCTGACCCCAGATCACCAGCTCTAGTGGCTGCTGCCTGTGCCCGACGTTATCCTCGTGCATCTGCCCAATCCAGCGCAGAGCCGCTTGCGCATCCAGGTTGATGCCCTTCTCAGAGGGGCGGCCTCTCGACCTCCAGTAACCGCGGTAGCTCAGGCACACCATTGTATATCGCGCGGGCCGCTTGCTGCGCTGCAGCGTCCGCAGGACCCATGATAGGTCCGGCAGTCGTGGGGGAATGGACGATGCGTTTCCTAATCGCAATCGTGGTGAGCCTTTGATGCTTAATGCTAACTGCCCGCAGAGGACAGCAGGGGATGGGGCGGACCCTGAAAGTAGAGGACGTAGATGGACGGCACGGCGAGGGGCTCCGTGGGCGACGTGGTCTTCTCGTCGCCAGTGGATGTCACCGAGGCCACACATAGTGCCAGATCCGTCCCATCGGCGGCCTGGACCCTTTTCTCCTCCCAGCGCACGTCCCAGCACTGTTTCTCGTAGTCCTCGATCCGCTCGCGGCGCGCGGTGGGCGGCAGTCCTGGCATGTAAATGATCTTATTCTGGAAGACAACCATCATAAAACACTTCCACGTCCATAAGGCGAGCAGAAGACCGGTGAAGTACAGAGGGGGCAAGAGGAACGCATCATGCAATTGCCTCTTCTGGGTGGTGACGCCGAGGCGCGACAGCGGCGGCAGCGGCAGACTACCCGTCAGAGACGTGGCTCGCCACGGCGAGGTGACGAGAGGTGCGTGCGGACGACGAGTACGGCGCAGGAGATGCCCAATCGAGGAGGGGCGGATGGCATGCATCACAACCGTTTGCGAGACATGGAGGCGTGTCGCGGGCCGTGGTGTGGTGGTGGTTGTGTCGCCGGACCCTGAGAATGGAAGGATGGAAGATCGTTCTGAGTGCAGCGCGGCGGCAGAAAGTTGCGGCAGCAGTTCAATTGGGGCCGGGTAATTCGCAAATCAGGGTCCGTCGTGGACTGAGGGTCATGACATGGCGCGCATGTGTTCAAAGACGACTGGACTCTTCCAATGTGGTCGGCATGCAGCCCGTTCCGTCCAGAGACAATGGGCGAGACAATGCGGGCAGCAACGAAGGCGGCTCGAGGTATGAGGTCCGCAGGATTCCAGCCCGAAATGAGGCAGGTAGACAAGATGCTTTCGTCGACTGTACCGTCCTTTTTCTTCTTTTTTTCTTCTTTTTTTTCAAGATTTACAGGGGAACAGGAACACTTTATCCTGCCTGGTCAAGGGGATGGGAAACTGCCAAAGCCCGACATGATGACGAGTTGAGACAGCGCTGAACCACTGTGACGGCACCCACCGTCTTTCGTGACAGGGACCATTCGAGCGACAATGAGCTTCCATTGATTGCTCCCAGCAGCATGGAAGGTGGCTGCATCTCCATGTCCCTCTCTGATGGCCGGGTGACCTGCCCGACCCCGCAGTGCCCGCCGTCGCCTGAAGACGCTTCCATTCAAATGACAAACCGCTGATGATACCTACCTGCCTGCGAATAGGTAATAGGTAGTAAGGTACTGCTGGGCTCCCATTTCGCGGCGTGATTCTCGCAGGACGAGACCCATTGGGACGTCATACTCTAGCGCCAAACGTCCCTCGTGGATCTGGAACCATTCCGCCAACCAGCGATCCCCAAACCTTCCAGGTTGCCAGTGTTCTGGGCTGTCTCTTCGGAAGGTCCCTGGTGCTGGTGGCCTGTGACGCTGCGCCAGTCCCACCAGCCATCCCATCTCCGTCCAGTCACTTATCACCTCATAATCTGCGGGCAGTTTACAGTGCGTTCACTCAGTCACTCGCAGTTGTACCACCACATGCATGTGCTGTTCCCCTCTCTACGCCCGCGGGCATAATAAATAAATCAGACAGACCCAGGACCCGGCTGACAGTCAAACCGACGCCAGATCAAGATTTCCCATCCTTATCCCAGCATGCGACACGGAATCCTGATTCTGCACGTCCTGTCAACAACATAACCCCTCCATCTCGAACGACTTCCCGACCTCCATATTTCTTCAAACCCCCTTCTACCAACCGAACTCCCGTCTCCAACCCCCGCTTAAACCGCCGCGAACCCGCCGCGAACCCGCCGCTCACGCTGAGAAATCATCATCACCGCTAATCCTTCCTTACTTTTCCCCGCCATTTTCGAAAACCGATCAACTTCGAGACCCGCACAGGAGCGACGCTGAAAACCACACAACCACCAATTCTACAACCCATCCGCGACGAGACGAGCGCAATCTACACCATGCCCGGCTCCGTCGACCCCAAAACCCCCACCGAGCACTCGCCGAGGCATTCGCCGCGCATCGAGCTCCCGGAGGAGGAGGAGGGCTCCCCGCGTCACGATGGCCAGGCCAGCCCTGGTATGAGGAATAGCAAAGGATGGGATGGCAAGCTCAGGGTACAGCGGACCGCCGTCCTCGCGAACCCCGAGGTGCTCTCAGACCCGGAGTCTGACGACGAGAACGTGGTGCCGGGCGAGGAACTCCCCGCGGATGAAGGCAAGTTTGCTGATGCCCTCACTCCTCCATGTGGAGCCGCAAAAAAAGTCGTGCAGAATCGTTTGGAAGACTGACTCTTGGAACCCCCTTCAACAGACCTCCTTGACGGCGAAGATCTAGACACTGACGAGCTCATCGTCTCCCACGCCCGCGTCGCCTCCATCCCCGCCCTCCGCCTCGAGCGCTTCACAAAAGTAGTCCGCCTGTGCCTCCGCCAGAACAGCATCCAGGACATCGACGGCCTCTCCGCCCTCGCCCCGACGCTCGAGGACCTCGACTTCTACGACAACCTCATATCCCACATCCGCGGCCTCGAGGACCTCACCAGCCTCACCAGCCTCGACCTCAGCTTCAACAAGATCAAGCACATCAAGCGCGTCAACCACCTCACCAAGCTCAAGGAGCTCTTCCTCGTTGCCAACAAGGTCGGCACCATCGAGAACCTCGACGGCCTCGTCAACCTCACCAGCCTCGAGCTCGGCTCCAACCGCATCCGCGTCCTCCAGAACCTCGACTCCCTCAAGAACCTCGAGGAGCTCTGGGTCGCAAAGAACAAAATCACAGAGCTCACCGGCCTCGGCGGTCTGCCCAACCTCAGGCTCCTCAGCATCCAGTCCAACCGCATCCGCGACCTCTCGCCCCTCAAGGACGTGCCCAGCCTCGAGGAGCTGTACATCTCCCACAACGCCCTCACCTCCCTCGAGGGCATCGAGCAGAATGAGAAGCTGCGCGTGCTCGACATCTCCAACAACGCCGTCGCGAGCGTCAAGGGCCTCAAGCCGCTCAAGAACCTTGAGGAGTTCTGGGCCAGCTACAACCAGATTTCCGACTTTAACGAGGTCGAGAAGGAGCTGAAGGACAAGGAGCACCTGACGACCGTCTACTTCGAGGGCAACCCGTTGCAACTCAGGGGGCCGGCCGTGTACCGCAACAAAGTCCGTCTGGCGCTGCCCCAATTATCCCAGATCGACGCAAGTAAGTTTACAATCACAGGTTGAGCGGTTGAGACCAAGATTGCTAACCAATATTTGCAGCCTTTGTCCGATCATAGCGGCTTGGTTCACTCTGTAGCATGAATTTACGAGGCCGGCATGGCGTTACAACGGCGTTTGATGAGACCCTTGGGGCGGTCGGGCAGATGAACATATCGGGATCTTTCTTCTTCACTCGAGATACCTCTTTACCGAGCGCTCTCTCTTGACCATTATGGTTGCTGAGCATGGAAGGGAGCATTTTCAAGGACGGGCGGGCGGCTATTCTGACATTGGCGAAAACACGCTGCAGCATGCTGTACAAGCGGGAGCAACAGACTGTCTTGGTCACGGCTTTGGTTGTATTGTAACGGCAGATCACAGTCATGCCGAAGGGAGACGGCTATCTAGATACAATCGACGCACAGTGCGTGGTTCGACAAACACCCGATATGGTTCCCTTGCACACCGCCAGTTGTGGACTACTAACATGCCACTTTGATAGGCAGGTGCTGATGATATTGCAGGTACGTATTATTGTTTCGGATCGACAATGCATCATACGCAGACCACTTAACCGAAGATCCAGAGCTTCTCAGTGGGGAAGTACTACTAAGTGTTAGATTTTGCCTTGAACTGAAGAAACACTCGGGGAAGCTTACGTTTGCGGGCTGGTTGAAGCGAGTCTTGCGGTCCAGGCTGCTGATCTTGTCAATCTCGGACTGCTCGAGGTCGAAGCTGGTGCAGTCGAGGTTCTGGGCGAGGATCTCCTTGCGGCTGGTCTTGGGAATGACAGCAAGGCCACGCTGGGTGGCCCAGCGGAGGAGGACCTGAGAGTTGGTCTTGCCGTGCTTCTTGGCAATCTCAGAGACGGTGGGCTCCTCGAACAGAGGCACGAAGTCGGTGGCGTGCTCCATGTTGAACTCCTTGAAGGAGGCAGGGCCAAAGGAAGAGTAGGCGGTAACGGCGATACCTTCGTTGGCAGCCAGCTTAATGAGGTCGGGCTGGACGAGGTAGGGGTGGTGCTCGATCTGGAGGGTGGCAGGGGGGATCTTGGCGTAGCGGAGGAGGTCGTAGAGGAGCTGTCCCTGGAAGTTGGAGACACCGATGCTCTTGGAGAGGCCGCTGGCAACGAGGCTCTCCATGGCAGTCCAGGTCTCCTGGATGGAGGCCTTGGAGGGGCGGATCTCGGACTTGCCGTCGTAGTGCCAGCCGGGAGGGTATCTGACGGAGGGGTCGACGTACTCGAGGGCGACGGGGAAGTGGATGAGGTAGAGGTCGAAGTAGTCGATGCCCCAGTCGGCAAGCTGCTTGCGGACGATGGGCTCTACCCGGTCGCCATCGTGGAAGGTGTTCCAGAGCTTGGAGACGAGGAAGAGCTCCTCGCGCTTGACGATGCCCTCCTTGATGGCGCGGGCAACACCCTGGCCGCACTCGACTTCGTTGCCATAGTCTAGAGAAGAAGCGCCGTTAGGATCAAGATTGTGTACACACTTGGATTCGGATACGTGTGATGTAGGCCCGAAATTTGGTTCATGTGATTGATGTCGGGGAAGACGGGGGCGAGCCCCGAGTGTAAGTGAGTGATTACAGGGGAGGGGTATGAATTAGGCTGGGGTGCAGGGATGTTGCGGAGAGCTTTCCGGCGGAATTGCACTGGAATTGCACTGATGGGAAAATCGGCCTCTGCAGAAATGCGCACCGATCATTTTTGGTGGGGTGAAGGAGGGGTAACTCAGGCTTCCAGAAATCATAGAGGGGATCAAGCAGACCACCACCACCACCACGGGCCATTGACTGCGGGCGACGTGTTTTTTGACACGCTTTCTTGCCCTTAGGCCTTCTCCCGCGGCCGTACCATTTCTGGCTGCGTCGTCGTGGCGGAGATTGAACGACTGCTCCCCTCCCTGTGTCCTGGATCGCAACGAAGAGACTGGTGCTGTTTACTTACCACAGGCGCCGTCGAAGAGACGGTAACCGGCCTTGATAGCCTCGTAGACGGTGTCGGCGGCGATGGCGTTGTCGACCTTCCACAGACCGAAGCCCACCTGGGGCATCTCAAAGCCACTGTTAAGCTTGATGTTGGGGACAGCCATTGTGACGTTTGGTTGTCGTTCTGATTGGGAGAAAGGAAGATGGTGCCAGAAGGAGAATGGGGGTATCAAGAGGCACACGAAAAGACTTGGGAGAGAGGAGGGGAGAGAGATGGGCAGCACTTGGGATGGAGAGGAGGCAAAGCAAGTAGTATTTATAACAGGTACACACACATACGTCAGGTGCCTTGGGTCTGTGGTTGCCAGGCAGATTGACCAGACGGACACGAGGCAAGACTGGTCTGGCTCGGATTGTAGGTACGGCAGAGCATGGTAGCTATAGATACACCTCCCTCTGCTATCCCCTGCATCGACAACTCGTACCTTTCCCCAACCAGTCTCCAGATTCAAACAGCCTATGGTCCCGTCACCGTACAGCACTGGCGGCTCATTAAACGCATGAGAGGCTGGCGGCGGGGGTGGCCGCTGGAGAGAGGGCTCAGGCGGCTGCCAGACCCGGTCCGCGACGCGGCGATACTTTGGGGAAGCGATTGGCATGGATAAATATCAACAGGCAAAGATAATGCACCGGACCTTTAGCAGAGGCGGCCAGCTCGAAGTGGAGAGAGGCGGGAGATGACTGAGATGGGGTGGCCGCTGCACAACGCAACGCGCCCATTTGTGCGTTTAAATCAGCCTGAGCCCTTGAGGGGACCGTGAAGAAGACCCGAATTTGGGGTAAATTTGGAGTTCAAGCTTCCCGTCGCCTCGTCCTCGCTGGAACCCTGTGAAGTTTCGCGGGAAGCCAAGAGGAAGCAACGGTAACCCAAACTCGCATGGTTGTCATTCAACTCTGATGCTGGCGGCTTTGGTGGGCTGCCACTGGCTGTCCAACACCACCGTACTCTTGCCGCGAAGGGTCTTGTGCACCCCCTCCAAGCGCGATGCAGACCTGTCAGTTCAAAGTTGGCTTGTCAATCAAGGCCGTGGGAAACACCGCGTGGGGTAGCTAGCTGCTTTTGCACAGGGCTTTCCATGAGCCATTGGTGCTTGTATCATCTGTCGCGGAGTGTCCTTGATCGAAGTTGCCTCGCATTTTCCAACGGTATCCGCTCTGCTGGTCTGGCCTTCCAGAGGTGCTCTCTCTGTCAATCGCTGTTTCTCTCCAGGCCCCGCTGGAAAGGTGCTTTTGTGGAGAATGATTTCGCCGAGACCCGATTAAATGGCATTTAGCCTAAATACCACCCGGCGCGGCTAATTGGCTTCTAGAATTTCTCCATCACCAACGCTTCTCTGCAGAATTGTGCCCATTGAGACTCAACTGTCAATGTGCTTCCCAACTGTTGCTCGACTAACACGCGGCGCTAGTTTACGTCGTAGACCGTTGCAGACGATGAGACCCTTCTGTTCTGACCAACAGCCATGGATGCCAGATTTTGGGATCAAAATCACACGCTGAAGTCGGCCGGACTAGCGAAGCGCAGCGCCAACGCGGAATGTCGCACTTCCCATCGCCTCTACTCATGCATCGCGGCGCATTTGCCGGAGCGATTGGTATCCACGTGCGCGGGCGCGTGGGGTATCGACGGAGCTGGCCCCATTGGCATTTCATCTGGGTGGGCCTGGCTTCGTCGCGCCCTGACTACACACCCTACTTGTTTTCTTCAGTCTACTTGTTCTAACCAAAGAGACGCCAAGCGGCGATGACTGCAGTTCGACAAGTCAACAACTTTCAGTCAAATCTATCTTTGAAACTAAATCGCGATTTCTTTCGTATCGAACAAGAACGCTCCCCTTATGCAACTCGGACTTGAGTTGAGGTGTCATTGTCCAGCCTCCGCATTTGGAAAACAACTGGCCGGCAGCAAAGGATTCGAGGCAACTTGGAAGGAATGAAGACCACAATGGATGGTTCAAAGGCTTGCAATAACTGATCATTCCAAGTGGACAATGATATTGGGGTTTTGTGTCCTCGATCCATAAAGAATGTCTTCGACAAGAACAATAGCCTTTGTATACTCACTCTCAGAATGTCTCCTTTGTACGGCTTCCTTCGAGTTGAGTTGGCAGCTATACAACGTCGTATATATGTCATATTGTCCAGTCTCACATCAGAATGAATATCAAAATCCAACATCCACTCAATAGTACAATCAGCTCACACACCTTTTCTGTCTTACATTGACTCCATCGATAAATTTCATCGCACTCTCAGACAACCAACATGGCCAACTACCAAGGAAACCCAATGGCGGGCAACAATATGGCTGGCCCAGCACTCCAAGCCCCAGCACCGAATCCGAAAGAGATGAATAGGCAGATGATAATGCGAAGAACCCGGCTGGAAGCTGCACGAATCAGGGGAGACCTCATTGTAAAGGCGCAAGATGGCAGCACCATCGTAGCGCAGCCTTTGGGTCAGTTTAATCCAATGCACACAGTCAGGAGCCCGTACGCTGGAAGACAATACATGGACGACATCCACCAGGAGATAGCGCAACAACAGTACGGTCCCGACGGAAACCGAATGGCCAAGGGCTACGGCATCACCCTCAAGAGGATCTTGGCCGCTGGCGGCTTTGGCATCGCTGCTCTTGTCGAACACAGGGGCAACCGCAACGTGAGGACGGATTGTGTGATGAAGATTGAAAAGACCCGCCCTGCCGCCTCGTATGACTCGATCAAGCTGGAGCAGAAGGCTCTCAACGTAAGTCTACCCCAAACGACATCAGATATCCTTTGCTAACTCGTTGCTCTAGAAATTCAAGGGGGCCAAGCACATTGTCCAAATCCTTGACTTTACGAAAGAAATCAACGACAAGAGAGACGCCGAAAACGAGGGTAAGAGACCATACGTGCCCAGATCGAGTACAGAGGCTCGGGACAAAAATTGGGACATCAAAGTCCAGCGGGAACGCAGCTTCATCTTGATGGAGTATGCCAACGGAAAGAGTCTTCACACATGGCTGAACAAGTCTAGTCGATCTGGCAGACCTTGGCCTAATAAGGCTCTCTGGCTTTTGTTCAAGTGCCGTAAGTTGAGCCCCGGACTTTGACACATATTTCTGATATACTGACATGAACCACGCAGTCATCAAGGGGCTTATTGGAATTGGATATCCCCCAAAGGAGAACTATGGACGGGATCACCCTGACTGGGATCCCAACAATTCCGTTGAAGAGTCCATCCCCGACACCAAGAAGCCCCAGCAAACTGTTCATTTTGATCTGGACCCCAAGAACAGTAAGCGTGTCGTGGATTACTTTGTGAATAGTAATGCTAACTTTGTGTACAGTCCTAGTGAGCTTAGAGCCACACGGTCCTATGCCGCTCTTCAAGGTAATGTCACAACATGTCACAAACTGATTACAAGCTAACGCCAAATCCAGATCTCGGACTTTGGCTGTGCCAAGTTCTTTGACGAAGCTAATCAAAAGCCGAATGAATTCACGTAAGTTTTGCCTTCATTCAAAGTGCCAACCTTTGCTGACACGAGTTTTCTTTTCTCAGGGAGGAAATATTCTGGAGAGCTCGCTCGCTAGGAAAGCCGGGCTACCACACACCAGTGAGTAAACATATACAAACAACATTCGTGGCCATACTGACCTTTTTAGGAACAATTTCATAGGTCTTGGGACTCACTCCGGCCCTTCAACGACGGCGGATCCAACATGTTCCTCGAAGCCAATAAGCCATCAATTGCCGGCAACTACGGTATGCCCTCCAACATCTACCAGGTTGGAGTCATCGTGAGTATGAACCCCTGAGCATCTCCTTTTCGACTACGGCTAACTTGGTGATAAAGATGTGGTGTGCCATTACAGGGGCAAAATTCCAGGATCCCGTCGTCGGGTGGAAAGTCGGCGGAGAAGTGACGTACGGAAGCGCCCTCGGAGATCCAAGATTCAGTCACATCGACGGCAACCTCAGAAAGACCGTCTCGATGTGTCTGGTGGAAGACCCCGCGGCCCGGCCGACTCTGATCCACCTCGATGGCATTATTGATTTTCGACTCCAAAGTCAGAATGGCCTGGAGCCGGACGACCACGTCGCGAGATGGGCCACCCAGTTCTTCAGCAGCCCGCGCGTCCCCGGTGACGGCCCACCGCCGCAGCCGCAGCCGCCCCAGACGAAGAACGGGGAAGAGTATGACACCGACGACGACGACGAGGAGCCCGTTCGCACTGGCGACAAGAGAAAGCGGACGGGAAAGGATGGCAACCCCCAGCAGCGGGGTACCGTCTTGCGCCTGAAGACCGTCCACAACCCGGCCCCGGGAACGATCCAGCAAGGCGGTCAGCAGCAGCGGCAGCAGCAGCAGCAGCAGCAACCGCAACACCAGCAGATGACTATGAACCAGATTCATCCAGGCACGATGTATCCCATGCCTCAGAGACAAGAAGGATTCGACTTCACCCGCGATAGACAGCGGCCGCCGCCCCAGCAGATGATCATCGACGCCTTCCGCGACGTCGAGCTGTATGACGCAACACCCATCGAGAAGAAGGATCCTCCCCAGACCTTCAGCCGCATGCGCTATCCTCGGACTCGTGGGCTGGAGCCAGCACCACTGCTGCCAGTACTACAGCAAGAAGTGCCACTGCAGCAGCCGGAAGGTCAACAGCAGCTGGGAGGTCAACAGCAGCCGGCAGGTCAACAACCAGGAGGACAAGGACATCAGCGGGGCCCGAGTCTCAACCCGGCCGCAGCAGCTTTCCAGCCGAACGGGCAATTCGCGAACCCCCGCAACGGTTTGCCTATTCAGGGCCAGCCTCAGCAGCAATGGCAACCTCCTAACCCGAATCCTCCTCCGGTTTTCGTCCCCCCTCCCGGACTGCCTCTTCCCATCCCTGGGCTTCCTGTCCCCCCTCCAGGGCTGCCTCTTCCTCCACAGTGGCAGCCCTACGTGAACCCCTTCCCGGCTCCAATGCCGCAGCAGCAGCAGCCACAACGACCATGGCAGCCCATGAACCCGAACCAGAACTACAATCAGAATCAGAACCAGTTCCAGCCCCAACAACCTCAGCAACCTCAGCAACCTCAGCAACCCCAGTCACCGCATTGGAGACCCAACAACAGCAACACAGACGCCTTTGCTCCTCTGCCTTACCAGCAGCAGCAACGCGGCCGATACCTATCTCCCTGCCCTCCCGTACAAGCACCGCCGCAGCACTGGATGCCCGGCCAGAGAAAAGGGTTAGTACCGCCGATCCCCAAGACTGACAACGAACCAGGGCAGCAACAGCAGCCTCCCCAGGATGAGAAGAGCTATCGTCAGAAAATGACTGAGAAGTACAACTACGACCCGTACCCCGATGTTGCATCTGATGATTTGGAGATGCATCTTGGTCCGTTTGAAGACTTGGTAGTACCCTCCTCTGGTGCAGGGCGATAGGAGCTCCGGCAGGCCCGAGCTGTGTTTAATGAGTGGAAGATGTTGAACAGCTGATTCATAGGTTTCCAAGATACCATGAAGGAGTTTCTGGCTTAGATCTGGATGGTAGAGGGGTTTTGGGATAGAACGGACTACAAAACTACTAGGCCATGTGATAGAATTGTTACTCTACATTCAAACCAATTTTTGGACTTGAAGATATGTTCAAACGAAGGGTATCTTGAGATCTCGTGCTATGCTAATGCTATATCCGTCCCTACCGGCCCAGTCCTTGTCCAACTCCATATACACACAGTTAAGAAAGATCACACAACTTTTGTTCAAGCCCCCAATCCAAGGTTGGCGTACCGGCACTCGCACTGCCCCTCTCCGGCCGCCACACTGACCGCATTCCCATCAGAATCCTTGCACTCCGGGCCCCCGCCGCTCTTGATCTGCGTAATCTCAATCTGCCCGGGCCAGTTAGCCCATTTGCTCCCGTCCGACACGGCCGTCACGTTCCCGTCCGCCGCAGCCGACCCGGCCCCGACGCTGCTATTCTTCCGCGTCCACAGCGTCGCGCTGAACGCCGTGTCGGCGTACACGCACGTCGCGGCCTTGTGATCCGCCGCGATGGCCTCAGAGGGGACGACGCTCTTGGGCAGCGTAAAGTTGAAGACGAGGCGCTCGTTGTACGAGTTGCCGTCGAAGAGGGCCATGCTGAGGTTGGCGAACTGCGGGGAGAAGGGGTTCGCGGACGAGGAGATCTGGTAGGTGTACGAGTTCCTGGGGGTGATGGTCCAGTAGTACGTGGCGAGGGAGCCGTTCGCGGAGCCCGAGGTGAGGGACTGGTTGTACGTCTCGTAGGGGAAGCAGCGCCACGTCGCCGGGTTGGCGGTGCAGTTTGTGGCCACGTCTGCGAGGGCCGTGTTGAAGGCGAAGGAGCCTGCTGGGAAGATGTTTGGGACGGTTGTGTTTGTTGGCGTGGTTGTACTGAGGGGTGGGGAAAATGGGTTGTTAGCTTTTCTGGTGTAAGTCAGGGCAAGCAAGGGGGGAGGATTTACGTTTGTTTGCGCGAGGAGATGGTAAGCCCTGCGGCCAGGCCGACCACGAGGCCGATGATCATGATGAACAGGACGACCATGTACCATCTCCGCCTCCTCAGTTCCTTTGCCTTCAACACCTTTTCATCCCTGTTTTCTATCGGGCCCATGGGAGTGGTGATGGGGAGGAGCTGCGAGCGGCCCTTGTACGTGCTCCGGGGCGTCGAGGCGCCCGAGTTGGGCCCGCTGCCGCCCGCGATGCTGCTGCCGGCCGAGGAGCCGCCGGAGAGGAGGCTCCTCGTGCTGACGGTGCTCCGGGAGCTTTCGCGAGAGGAGCTGCGGGAGTAGGCGGGCGGCGGGACGGTCGGGTACGGGTAGGGGTGGAACGGGTGTGCGATCTTCTGAGGGCGGCCGTAAAGTTTCGGTTTTGTGCTGCGGGAGGGAGGCGGAGACGGGAGGGCTGCCTGGGATGGGTGCGTGACGGCCGGGAGGGAGTCGTCTTCTGCTATCACAGGCATGCGGCCTGCCAGCATCATTGCTGTGCGGACCGAGGGGGAGGGAGACTTGGGCATGGTTGTGCCTGGTGTTTCCGCCTTTGAGTGTCCGTTGTAATCAAGTGAGGTTGTACAACCGGGGTGTGATATCGGGGCTCTTTTTTGTTATATTGTGCCAAGTGGTGGTCGGGCAGGTGAGATTGCAATGTCGTCAGTCCTTATTATGCATGTATGTGGCTGTTGGAGTCGGTTAGGCCTGAAAGAGCCCGTGGCTCGATGAAGGCGCCGGAGAGATTTGAGCCGCAATAGATGGGGGATAGGATGTGGAATCCCAATCTCTCGAAGTGTAACGATCTGACTGTGTAAGAGAACGTTTGCGGCTCACTGGACCGTGGTTCTGGGATTTGCAAGGGGGGAGAGCGGGTTCTACGATGATCAAAGACACTGATCGACGATTGAAGGACCTGATATATCAAGGCAAGGGACAAAAGGGAATCGGGTTCTACGGGGTAAGTCTGGACGCCGCGCGTGTGTAGAGGCAGCAACGGATGATTTTCTGACTTTCCATTCAAGCAAGCGCTCGCGACTCAGCTTGGAGCCCCCGAGGGAAAGTAGGACAAAGGAAGAATGGCGTGTTGGATTTTGGGGCGAAGATCGACAACTTGAGTCCCGGGCCTGGTAAGAACAAAGAAACGAACGGGTGGGGAGGAGGAGGAGCAAAGAAAAGGCTTCGTTTCAGAGATCTCTTGGGGACTGATACTGGCAAGACTGGGGAGCCAGCTGCTGTCCGAACCATGTTGGCCGGCCGCAGTGAGAGCCGCATTAGGAATGCCGCCGAGGATCAAGCTATCTCTTCTAGAACTTTGAGGTATGGTGGGAAGCGGTTGGTGTGCTGTGCCGTGCCTGGAGGCTGAGCTCAAGGTGCAGGCAGGGCAGGGTAGGGACTCGGCGTCGTCGACGTTCGGCTGAGCCTGGCGCTTGCCAATTCTAGAATTCAAGACTTCCTCTTTGGCCAGGACATACGTGGGAGGTGCGTTGCCGCCACGGGAAGAGCTTCCTTCCGAGCAGGGGTCCAGCTGGCACTCTGCAGCGGGGAGGTCGAAGACAATTCCCCATTTGGCGGCTCCCAAGATATGTCGCTGTCATCTTGGACAGGGTTATCTGGAACCTGCCATCGCAGCACCCGGCACTACCACGAGGCTTGCAGGGAGTAATCGAGTCCTGCAGAGATATGCGAGGCCGGTTCTCTGTCAAGGTAACGGGCCAGCGGGCAAACCGTCAGAAACCTGGACGGCGAAGTGAACAAGGGAAAAGAGGCTCGACGTCGGAATGGTGCCCCACAAGTTGGCCCAGAAAATAGTCTGAGCGATAGTAACAGTCTAGTCAAAGCCCTCATTGGTTGATGGAGTTGATAGTCAGACATGGCTAACTACTTCCGGGAATGGATGACAGGGACGGACTAAGGAACGGCTGGATGGCGCGACGGCTTCGTGGATGGGACGGGACAGTGGGGGGCAATGAACCTCCGAAAGTCGTCCTCGGGAGTTGCATTGTGGTTCTGCGTCTGAAAACTGAGGGAAGACCGGCACGGGGGTCTCCGAAGTTGGAAAAGACTCAGGGGTGAGGGGCGGACGCAGTGGAAGTGATGATGTCGTGGGGGGAGGCCTTGGCGGTAATAGAAAGCCGGGCACCCGGTATAATGATCTGCTTGCCGGGCGAGGAAAGTGCGGCGGAGAGGATATTTATGTTCAAATGTGTATTGGTGCTTAAGCCACTGACATCGCGGGATCTATCAACAGATTTCTGGAGTGATTGCTCTCTTCTACAATGTGATGATGCTGATCATCCCTCCCATTCACACGCCAATTGTATCCTGTAGTTTTACAGCAGCAAAAATTTAACCAAAATTTCCACTTCACGCGTCACCTTCCTGGGCCACGTCCTTACCCTTACTCTTCATGCTGTCGCTCTCGCTCTCGGCATATGATGGGGGATCCAAGGCATCGCCGCCAGCAACCCAGACGCGCGACAGCTCCTCCTCAATCTCTTGACGCCTTGCTTTCCACGTCTCCACCTGCTCGAGGCGCTCGCGGAGATCTTGAAGCTCCTTCTCGACTTGCATCTTCTCCCTCTCCGTTCCGATCCTCTCAAATTCCCACTCATCACCACGCTCACCCATGCCGAGGATGAGGTTGTAAGTGTGGTACTTCTTGAGGGAGGCACGCGTAGAAATGGTAATGAGTGCTGTCTGTCGTTAACAACCACGGTCTTCGCGCTGGAAAGCTGTGACTTACTGATGCCCTTCTCCTTGCACATCTCGTAGAGGTATCCTTCAACATCCTGCGACACGGCGCTGGTGCCCTCATCAACGATGGCGTACTGAGGTTCATGGTAAAGCATGCGAGCAAAACCCATTCTCTGCTTCTCGCCACCACTTAGCACATCCTTCCACTCCTTGCGAGTATCCCAGCCGCCCTCGCGGTCAGGGAGGTATCCCAGGCGAGCTTCCTCCAGGATGCGCTTCAAGTCGTCCTCAGACTTTCGCTTCTCACGCATATCATGGTGGCCGTCAGGGTAGATGACTTGGTCACGGAGGGTACCGATGCTAAGATATGGCCTTTGTGGCAAGAACATGATGCCGTCTTGGCCAATATCCTTGGGCCGACTGACCAATCCGCGGTAGACGGGCCAAAGTCCGGCGAGAACACGGGCAATGGCCGTCTTGCCAACACCGTTGGAGCCGGAGATCTAATTGTGTTAGGGTTGAGCTGACCTTTGGCGGGGCTGTACTTACCAAAAGATGCTCTCCTCTTCTCACCACCATGGACAGCGACTCCATTAATTCCTCGCCGCCGTTGGGCCACAAGGCTGGGGCAACAACAGGGACACCCTCCAAACGAACACCGTCGAATCCCTTCTGAATCGTACCTTGAACGTCAGAAAGGGAGTACAGCTCGTTCTGTTGCCCGCGTAGGTAGTACGCATTGGCATGGACTCGGTGGAGGGTGGAGATGAGAGTGTATACTCTGCTGGTGTAGCCAGCAAGTTCTGAAAGGTCCTTGATGGAGTACATCATTCTTCCACCGGCATCGGCCAGTGAAAGCATAAGACGCTTGTTGGTGATGAACTCCTTCATACGGCCACGCTCTCTGCTGCCCTTGGCAGCTGTTTCAGCCAACTCTGCGGCACCACCAAGACCACCCCAGGCGGGCAAGAAAACTGGAAGTGATGACAGCAGGTAGCCATACGCACTCCAACTGTACTTGAGAATAAAGTCTTCGAGCATGTTGTAGCGGATCTTGAGCATGTAAATGCCCTCCATCCAGGTCTTGAGAGACTTGAACTCCTTGTTCAGGAACGTCTTCTCCATGTCAGCACCACCGTAGAAGGCAACCTCCTCGGCGTTGGCAATAAGGCGCGCATGGAGACTCCTGAAGTCTCCTTCTTTGCGACCCTCAACGGCTTTGAGCTTGCCAAAGGGAGGCGATAGACGACGCAGAATGCTTGCCGTCAAGAAATAGTTGCTCAGCAGACCCGTCAGGGCTAATGGTCCTAGGGACCGGAAGAGTTGATAGTTGAACACCATCAAATCGACAAACGGTTTGCCGAGCGACGAGTACAGGTTCGCCGCAGCGGCGCAGAAGAGCGTCAGATCTTGTGTGATGAACTGGTCCGCGCCCTGGCCAACACCACCATCCAAGTTGGACAGTTTGTAGTAGTTGAGACTGTCGTTCAAGTACAAATCGTGGATATACCGAGTAAGCCTGGTTCGGAAGGCGATGGACACCTTGGATTCGAGGAACTTGATCATCGCATTCGTGTAAGAGGCAAAACCGCCGAGACCGCACCACTGTAATTCCGATTAGCTACGAAGAAAAATGGTACTTTCGAAGCGCTTACCTTGGCCAGTCCCCAAAGGAACTTCTTGCCGTGTCCCGCGACAAGATCTCTAACGATCTCACCATCAAGGCGGGCGACAACAAGCGACAAGTATGTCCGGAGCATCAGGAACACACCATGACTCACGAGTAAACCGGCCTCTTTACTTGACCATCTCGGAATCATGATACTCATTAGACTCAGGAATTGGTGGAGGAAGGCCAGGTTCAAACCAGGCTTGGTCTGCGCCGACGGGACAGTACCATCGCCCAGGCCAGAGACACGCGGCGGGTTCAGGAACAACCTGCGATGCGCCTCAAAGGTCAAGGGCTTGGTGGTCTGGATGACAACTTTGGAGGTGCCGTCCTTGTAAGGAACGTATATCGTCCGAGAGCCGTCCTTGTTGTGCAGCCACGAATTCGTGCGGACGAGTTTACGGCCCTGCTCGCGCTCCTCACGCCGCCGCCTCCACCATCTCCTCCCGCCAGCGGCGCTGAGGACAATAGAGGCGGCAAGAGCAAGAACACCGAGCTGCCGGGTTGTGCGAGATGTGTTTTGAAGACGGGTGCGGATGAGAGTCGAGTACTTTTCGATAAAGGCGGCGATTGCCTCCTCTGCGGCCGACTGGCGAAGGGTCGATTGCTCGGCCATGGCGGCAGTGGATAGCGGCGGTACGGGATGGTTCGGTTGTTGTGAAGGGGATCGAGTCGCGCAGGCTCGCCGCGAATGGGAATTACGTTACGAATGCGCTGCCATCACAGGACAAAATCGACGGGACGGAGTGCGGGTCGAGTTGGTTTGCGGCCGTCGAGGTTGAAGCACGGCACGGGAGGAGGACACGATGCGACGCGATGCGATTGAGAGTGGTTTGTTGTTGTGTCCGTTTCGCCGGCGGAAATCTGCCAGCCTTGCAAAAAGAAGTGCGCCTTGCAAAGAGTCCGGCTAAGCACGTGGTCGCATTAGCAGCCTGAGTCGTTAAGGTGTTTGGAGATGGACACGGCGGACGTTGGTTTGGGGGGCTTTGCTGGCTCGTGATCCATTACGACATGTGAATGCCGGGGACAGTGGAGTTCCGAGGCAGTGGCAGAGCGTGGAGGTACCTCTTCAACACCCGAACCGGTGGATAACTTGGGGAAAGCTGGTGCTGGTGCTGGTGCTGGGCTGGGGGACCAGGCGGTCGCAGACGGTGCTGCCCGCTGCTGCGTTGCTGGGCGCTCTCCACTGCATCGTATGTGAGTGGCTGGTTTCGAGCGGGAATGACGCTAATCCGCCAGGATCCGGGGAGGCCTGAACGAATGACATCCGGCAAACGACGGATGGGCTTTCCAGATGACAACCCCAGAATCGGATGTGGGGAAGCCAGTCACAGACAGCTACGGACAATCACTCACGGGACGGTCACATGACGGAGCATGAGGCCAGGCATCTGAAGTGCTCTTCGACCTCTCGCGGGCCGGAAACGCTGCCGCTCATTGCGGATTGGATGTCGTAATAGTTGACGGCTGCGATTCCGTGTATTGTAGCTAAATCGCGGCATTTGGCGTTGTCGGAACTTTCACACCATCTGTGACGAGATATCCAGGCTTCCGCGGTGATGCTGGGTAGCAGTTTTCATGATCGCTGGATTTTGTTGGTTTCCCAGAGAAAATACAGGCCGACTGTGGCATTCGGGGTTATCCGTGACGCCTGAGAAGTTGGACATGGCGTTGATAGACGGGAGGGAAGGTTAAATGCTTGTCACTTTGACAGTGCAGGAGATGTCGGAATCATCTCAAGGTAACAACAATAACCAACAGTAAGGAAGTCTGAGAATCTCATCGATTTATCCTGCGGGCTTAGTCGGGGGAAGTGCAAGCCATCTTCTTCTTTCTAGGTTATAGCCCCTTGGCGAGACGGGACCAACAGTACCTTGAACCATTCTCGCCATTTGCAAAACCGTCCCTGTTCAAGATTCTGCGCCAGCAAGGTGCAGATGACGATGTCGACATCAGGCTGCTCGGGGAAAAGAATACTCGGAAGAGATGGCTGGGCGAGCTGGCTGGGCGAGCACCATTTCCCGGGATCTTTAGAACAATCCGGAAGACCGGCCTACACACTTGTGAACGAGGTTGTATGCAATGCTCCCGCAAATGAAACTGATAGTTAGATAGATGGCGGATGTCTGATCTCATGTCACAGCCAGTACGCGTTAAGCTAGGCACCGGGCACGATATCGAAGATGCCGCAGTCCACAGGTCAGGACATTCTTGACATTGGACAGCATGGCACGTGTCGATGCCAGACTTCGAATCTGGCTAGGCCTGGTTTTCACGAGGTTGGTTTTGAGCCGTGTCTGGCGAGAGGAACTTTTGAAACAGACGGAGAGCGGTGAAGCAGGTAGGTTGGACTAGCCGCCGCAAAACGTAGACGGCGCAGCGGTACTGTGATATCGCGGCAGGGCTACCATTTTGACTCGTTCATAGATCAAGAGCAGCATGGCATGCCAGAAATGGCTTGTTAGACTTGACATCACTCGTGCAATTCACCGCACCGATCTCTACGAACGAAGCACCAGGAAGTTGACAGATGGTGCCCCCGGAAGCTGCGGGGATTGCGGGAGGCTCATTTGACGGCCCCTCCGCCCGGCCCCGGGGACGAGGTCGGATAGGTATCGATGGACGGACGATGGGGGGTCTCGGGCCATCAGATGTGATACAGCGGCACGCAGGAACCACGACGTGCATTTGCATTGCTGAAAATGCTTACACAGCGTCTTTGGGAGGGCGTTCGGATACGTCCGCTCGTGAATTGTAGGGCAGACAATGATGGCAAGTCTGGACACAAATAGAACATGCAGGATTCTGGCTCCTCTCCACAAGGGGTGGGCTGCTCTCGACAGCCACCTACCATGTGTTCGTCGTCATTGATTTCTGTTGGCGTACTCACTCGGCGTGCGTGTGGCAGGAGAGAGACGCCGTTGAAAGAAGAAAGTGCTGTCCACGCGGGTACGTATTCTAGAAGGAGTTTCCGGGCGCCCAGTCATGTCTGGTCCCGGTCGTCGTTTTGTTTCCATCCGAGATGGAAGCTGGCCGGAAGAAACCCAAGCAAGCAACCAAGCAGCAAGGAAAAAGGATGGGATCCCCGCAAAAAAGCATTGCTCGCACGCACCGCGCCGGCACGGCAAGCATCCCCACCCACACACACACCACACCACCGAGAACCACTGACCTTGCAGAGCAGCACACGCAGGAACCTCCGCCACCATGAGCCTCTTTTTCCTGTTTCCTTCTGGAGGACTACGGATGCTCTCACCGCAGCCCTGGAAAAGCCCGACATTTAACCTCGAACCTCTGACGCAGCGCTGGGGATTGGTCTGTCATCCAATGTCTCTGTATGCGGTACGCGCGGCGCGGGATACGCAGCCGGGAACGCCCTCAGTCGAGGTGCGTACGGATATCTTTCGAGTACGTACGTCAAAGCAGGCGCCCTGTGTGCCTGCGATCTAGACCGCTGGCGATGGACGACGGGGGTGCAGAGCTTGTGAGCACGGAGAAGTTAAGGAGCAAGAGAGAGCCTCGAGCTTCGAGACCTTCGCTTCGAGCTTGATTTGGAGCCATCTCTCACACAGTGGACCCAGCCCCGAGCACAGCAACGAAGGCGGCGCACAGGCAGGCGAGCAATGGTCGTGATCTCTGGCAGGTCGCAGCGGGAGCGGAAATCGGAATCGGGTGAAGCTCCCCCTGGACCGTGGACGGCGGTATTGCCGCTTTTGCGGCTCATCCACTCCTGTTGCCCCCGTCGTCCCCCAGTCACAGTGATGACTTGAACCCCTTGGCGCACCAAAGTGCGGTGCCTGAGTGGGCGGCAGACAGTGGGCACCCCTTGCCTTCTGTTTCCTTTCTCTCGCTCTGGGAAACCCCCCTTCGTGATGCAGTGGAAGGGGGACAAGATTCTGGATTGAGTGTTGCATCAGGTGCTGCCCAACCAGTGCGTGTGAGATCAGTCACTCAATCCGGCGGTAACATGGCCAATCAGGAAGGAGGGCCCAAGGGGTCTGGATCCCCACCGGCTGCGAGAGCTTCCCGTTCGTCTGTGGTTGGCTGCGGTCTCTTCTTCTCTTTCCCCCTCGGATTTGGAGAATTGCGAAGCAGCATGGGCATCACATCTTTCTTGCTCTGCTGGGGGGGCTTTTGCTACTACTCGAGCTGCAGATGGCTTACTCGTGAACGATGCATTTTCCTGATGGCCCTGCCAGCTCCTCCCCCTTGCGCGTGCTCGTGTTATCTGCACCTGTGTTTCTGGTGTAATTGAGCTACCTGCAAGTCCACGAGAGTGAAGTGTCGTACCCGCGTGGATGGTGGTGGTTCCTCCAGGCTCCTTGGCCCTGGCTCACCCCTCCCCTAGCTAGCACGTTTTTAGTGGCGACGACTCGGGCGGGTAATAGACGAGTGGATGGAATCACTGGCCCAGAATCAGGGCGAGTAGTCTGAGAGGTTGAGAGGGTACTCGGAGATGTGCAGCTAGCTGCATGTACTCCTGGGCGGATGCCCGCTGCCAGAGCTTAGTGCATGAGGATATTGCCAGTTGGAGTTTGCCTCATCCATGTCCGCTGCCTTGGTTTGTCTCGTACCAGATCGTGGTGAGATACCTGTGGTTATGGTGCGCGCGTAAGAGCAGCCGGAGGTATCCTGGGCTGCCTCACCCTATGTTCTGTCTGGTTCTGGTTCCTTGGGTTGATTAGTCAAAACAGCTAGCTTTACCTCGCGCGCCAGCAAAAACCATTGAAGCTTCAACTTGAGTGCTCATGCAACCCCAATCACACCTCTGTTGCGCCTGCTACTGGCCCGTCGTCGTCACAACGGGGAGTAGAAGACAAATAGCGAGACGGTGGAAAAGTACAGCGACTTCGAGGTCCCTGGGGCAGAAAGACACACAGAGAGAGAGGCTAGGCTAGCGGATGGTGTCGCGGCGGCCGGGACGAGAGTTGGGACTGGACGGGGGACCCGGCGCGCATTGAGAGAAGGCGCCCGGCTGACCTTACCCTGTCTGGCCCGGCGTTAGACCAGACGCTCGCAAGCAGAGACGGCGGCGGCAGCATCCACTCGCACTTGCGAGCCTTACTATCCAGGGCTAATTACGGGCGGCCCTTGGCGGCGCAAAGTCGCAGCGCGTGCCGGGCTTGTTGCTTACACGGTACACCACCTCGGGCACTCTGGGGTGGGATCATGGCCCTCTCGTCGTCGTTGTCGTCGTTAGACAGGTCTCGTCAGAATGTCTCTGGCTACGACGGGTGGACCGTGTCGAGGAGGTACGGTTGAAGGTCTGAGAGTGTGGGTTTGTTGTTTTCTCTTGTTTGGAAATGCTCAGAAGGGCGTAATTTTATGGGGCGCCGATTTCTTTCTGGATGAAGAATCAGGACAATGTGAGTGCATGGCGCACCTTACTCGTCGTGGTCGAGGTTGAAATAACACGGAACTGGGATGCCGAGTTGGCTCTTTGACAAAGGGTCCGCATTCCCATTTCTGACAGAGCCGCCTGGGCATCTGTGCCATATGTACAGATACTGTACCAAAGGTAAATGGATGCCAAACTGATTCCAAGGCTCAGGCTCTCAGCGGATGGAAATCACCGACGTTTGTGATGCTATGCAGTAGAGGGCAAAAGATGATCGGTGCCAGTCAGTGCCAGTGCAAGGCATGTCCCCGTCAATGGCCAATTTCAGGCTCTAGCTCCTGAGCCGCGAGCGAGCGAGGAGCGAGTGGTGTGTGATGGGCCGGGATGGAACCTCTCTTGTGTTCCCACCATGGAGATTTCTGTAAGATGAGCTTGGCGGCGAGCCATGAGAAATGGGAGATGAGACACGGCGTCTGATGCGGCCAGATAGTCGTCTGGTCTCTGGCACAGTGTGCAGCTGTCAGGTGGTCAGTGCATCCGTGGGTGGGTCCCCACGGCCATGGCGACGGCGCACTGGTGCAGACGTCACTGTTTCCGCTGTCTTGGGTGTGGAAATTGCATTAACTGCATAGGCCGTGCACAAGGCAGGCCGTGTGTTTTGGAGAGAAACACAGTGATCCCGCCTGCTCCCCTATCGTGCCCCATCTGCCAGCCCGGCTTCTGCTTAACCAGGACGGGACGGGCTAATCTCACCGGGAAATCCACCCACACCCTCCAGCGTCGCTCCCAGTCCCAGTCCATCTCGTCGTCGTCCAGCACGACCTCTGGGGACCCAGATGGGAAGTGACAAGGGGCCTGCACCCCCAGCTTTTTTTTTTTTTTTTTTTTTTTTTTTTTTCCTCTCTCTCTCTCTGGTGTTTTTTGCGCCTGTTGCATTTGTAGATTTCGTAGACACGGTCCCGTTCCTGGTCAAAGTACCCCATCCAGCGTTGCTTTCAAAGGCAAATCATCTCGCTTGTGCTCTGGTTTTCAGCCTCTGGTCTCTGATACGCCCACCAGACCGTCTGTCTGTCTGTCTCTGTCTCTCTCTGCACTTTCTCTCTCCTCGCTCGCTCGCGCGCTCTTTCTCCCACTCTCACTTCTTTTGCCCTTCCAATCCCTGGACCTTGGACCTGTCTTCCTCCTGCACCTGCAGCGCTTGCCGTGCCTCTGCTTCTGCTTCTGCTTCTGCTTTCCCGTCTCGCCTCACACCCCCCTTCCTACCTCACCCTCACCCCCCGGGGAAACCCATTGTCTTGCCCTCCATTTTGCCTTGGTCTTAATGCTGCTGCAGCTTCTACTTTAGCACCTGCACCAGAAAGCGTGGCCTGGACTACCTGAAATTGGAACTGGGACTGGAACTGGACTCGATCTGACTGACGACTTCTTCCTCCGTTGCGCGCTGCTTTGCTCAGCTTGCCTACCTACTTTCCTGCCTGCCTTATTACCTTGCCTTGCCTTGTCTTGCTTCACGTCCATTGGACCACACCACCACCCACACCCCCCAAAAGCCCATCATCCATTCTAATCTCTTTTGGCACCGCTGCCGCCCATTCTTCCTCCACTCCCCGTCTTTCACTCTCAAAGCTCACGCTTCAACCCTTTCTCACCAAGTTCCCCTTCGGCTGGGTCTCGTTTCTTCTCTTCCCAATCCTCCATTCCTCGTTTTGCGAACACTGCGCTGTTCGTTCTCCCCGAGTCGCCCAACTCCAACGCCTCGCCTCGCCATCATTCCCCCCTTCAAGCTCGAGCGATATTCGATACCAACCCTTTTGTTACCCAAAGAATCACCACCTTCACTTTGTTACAGCGAACCTTAATTCTAGCCGCCTGCGTGCTGTTCCCTGCAACCACTCACTACTTTCGCCCACTTTTCCCCCCCGTCTGATTCCAACTAGCATCAGCACCAAGTACCACCGCCATCCACCGCGAACCACACACAGCACCACCACCACTACTACCACCGCCGCCGCCGCTTCTTCTCAGCGCACCGCAGCACACCTCCTTCAACCTCCAGAGTCTCCCCTCCAGGTCCTCCGTCCCCCGAACGAGCCTGGCTTGACTTGACTCCAACCTGCGGAACGGTACATCACTGAGCACAGGTTACCTGCTGGCTCCCCCAGCCACTTTGCCTCGCCCACTCAGTCATTCCATTGGCGCCGCTTCCTGCGCGACCGAGCCCAAACCATCTTCCATTCTCCGCGTTCGACCGACTACCTCCAAGGACGTCGCTTCGCCCTTCCTCCTCTTCCCCCATTCCATCCATCGTCCACCGCGTCGATCGTTTCTATTCGAGACAGCTTCGCCTTCAATCTGGACCGCGCGACGAGCACTGCGAATTGGCCTTTTACGGCCGACATCAGCTGAGTTTAGGGGTTGAGGATTCTGGGAAAGCTTGCCGGACCCGACAAGAAAGGAGGTGAGTGACGACACTCTTTCTTTGCCTACGTTTTCCAACCGTTACCCGCCGCCAACTCGACCACCTCACGACGCCCATCAACAACCCCGTACTTGCGCGATCGTGTCGTGTTTGACTTGGGCCATCATTGCTCCGTGATTTGTTCCACTCCACACGCGCACCATGTGCGTGTGCTTCGTGTCGGAGGCGCCTGCGCTATGCCAACAGCACCTCGGTCATGTCTTAGACCTTGGAATGAGAGGATGAGGCGGAACTGTGTCATGGATGATCTAGAATGCACACCGGGATGATTACCAGCCCCTCCTGAGTCCTCACCGCTCGGTCTCTCTCGTGTTATCGCCTCGCTTGACCGGTTTTCGCGGCGTTTCGCTAATCATCCCCAATCTAGTTCGACAGCACCATGTCCGAGAAGCCACAATCATCCAACCCAGTCGACGAAATCACTCCGCAAAACCAACAGAACGGCCAGTCAAGTCAAGAAATGTCCAAGGAAAAGGTGCTTCTGGCACCAGAGGAGGGTGGAAATTCAAAGAAGGGTAGGAGCTTGCTGCATGTGCCATCGCGGTCTTCCTCGCAGCGCAATCAATCCTCTCCGACTTCGACAGGGCTGAGCGGAATCACAGTCAGCGATTCGAGAAACAGCATCGGCGGCCGATCAAAGGAATCCAAGGGTAGCATTCTGGGGCGGCATCGAAATGGCAGCGTCGGCAGCCACCGATCTGGCATCGAAACCGAACCGACAAACACCCCCGGCAACACCCAACCGAACTCCCCCGTGAATCCCCCGCAGAAGAAGAAGAAGGGCGGCATCTTCGCATTGTTCGGCTGCTGTGGAGTCCCCGACAACGCGAACGCTATTGAGAACGGTGACGACGCCGTCCACAAGCTCGACAAGCTGCCTGCGCGGCCGACAACTGCCAAGTCCCGTCAGCCGACTCCACAAGAGCAGCCGATCCCACCGAACAAGCCGCAAATCCACGAGAAGCAACCGCAGCCCGAGCAGCCAATGACCGCCGGCAACGAGTATAAGGGTAAGCGCGTCTCTAACACCACTACGGCCGACGACTCTACCGTCGGCGGCCAGGAGGGCTCCGATCCAAAGCACGCGACCGCCCTCGGTACCGGAGCTAGCGCTAGCACAGCTGCGCCCGTCATCACCGTCGAGTCCACCACCGGCGAAAAGGTTCAGGATGCGCAATTAGAAGAGCCGGAGAAGAAGGATGTTGAGGGGGATGAGGCGATGCCCGATGCGACGCCCGAGCCCGAGGAGTCCAAGCAGCAAATACCGCCGCCGGTCGAAGACGCACCGACAAGTCAACAACTGCCGGGCCCTCCGCCGCTCCCGACCGCCGAGACCGGATCCATTGATTTGGCAGGCCCCGTTGCCACCGAGCAGAAGTTCCTGCTGGGCCCAATTGCCCCCGAACACAAGGGCCGAAAATGTCTTGTGCTCGACTTGGATGAAACGCTCGTTCACAGTTCATTCAAGGTATGAGAGATGCTCCATCGTCCCCAATTTCGGTACTAATGTGTCGCAGATTCTCCACCAAGCCGATTTCACCATACCCGTAGAAATCGAAGGCAACTATCATAATGTGTATGTGATCAAGAGACCGGGCGTGGATCAGTTCATGAAGCGCGTCGGCGAACTTTATGAAGTGGTGGTCTTCACCGCGTCTGTTTCTAAGGTACGATATGTCGTCTCCCAACGCCACGGCCCAAAGCTGACATTTTGCAGTATGGCGACCCTCTTCTGGACCAGCTTGATATCCACAAGGTCGTTCACCACAGACTTTTCCGCGAGAGCTGCTACAACCACCAAGGAAACTACGTCAAGGATCTTTCCCAGGTGGGAAGAGACCTCAAAGACACAATCATCATTGACAACTCCCCCACGTCGTACATCTTCCACCCGCAGCACGCCGTTCCCATCAGCAGTTGGTTTTCGGACGCACACGACAATGAGCTGCTGGATTTGATTCCCGTTCTAGAAGACCTTGCAAAGTCGGATGTCCAGGACGTCAGCCTGGTTCTCGACGTTACACTTTGAAGCTGAAGATACCAATTTCTTTTCTTCGTTCATCACCTCCGAGGAAATTTGCAGGACCGCGGTCCCATCATAGCGGAAGGCGTTTGGGTTGCGATGGTTCGTTTCCAGCAGGTGTAGATGTATCACTGTCTAATCTTACCTTATAATGAGCAATGGCGGAGGTACCAGACCGAGCCAGCTCACGGCGGCTTGTACGCAAAGAGCTCAGGGGCCGCTTCAAATGACCTCGAGGATGACACTTCATCGAAAAACCTCGGATTCGGAAAGGGACACAAAAAAGGGGGCACTTGGGAGCTTGGGACGGCCGGACGCTGAGCTGCTGACGCTCTTCTGGCACCTCGGTGTGTTTTTTCTTTTTCCGGCGCCCATGTTTTGGAAGTGCACACGAGAGGAACCTCACGAAAGACACCCATCTGTTGTTGAAGACCAGTCACCACGAAAAAAAGGCGGGGAAGGATACCATGGGATGTCGTGTTGGTTTTCATTTGGGCAGGGGACGCCCTTTTCTGTGGCAGGATATTGTTTTCCCTTTGTTCATTCTCTCTAACTTTTGTTTGAATCGTACACACAACACACTCTCACACCATCACCTCCTTCACCCCAGAATCATATTCCTCACTCTCTTCGAGTCTGCCAGCAGACTCATCTCTATTGTTCTGCCAGTGTAGCAAACCAAGTGTTCAGCGGAAGCAGAGGACAGACGAGGGAAAGCCTTATTTTATTGTATCTCAACTAGTGCTGCATAAGCTGGCGCCGATCAGATGGAAAGGTTTTGGCTGCAGAAAGCGGCTGCTTCCTAGATATACAGTACCCCCTCAAATTCAATGAAAGCGTTCAAAACTTGTCCGAACTACTGTTGTCTTGATGATGAAGTATGTGCCAAAGCGGGAATTGGCGTTGGAGCGTGGACATGCAGAAGACGGGATTACCATGTCTGCCACGCGGTGATTTTGATCAGTTGATGGAACCAGGATGGGGCTTTCATTGTGGACCTGGAGAGGTCGGGTTAGGCGCTGTCGCTTGCTGCGCTGAGGTGACCTTCCGGCCAGGGACCCGTTGAGGTAGGTTCGCCGCCCCAGCCCAGGGGGGGCACCTCAGTGGTTCTGGAACATCGGGTCGGAAAATCCCACCACCCCCGGCCAGCTGGCTGGTCCCCTTTCCAAAACTGTGGCCTCAACTCTGCACATTTGAGTCGCACCGTAGCCGACGCCCCCAGCAAGGAGCTCGATCGTCCATCACATCCATCCACCCAGACCACAGTCCGTCCTACGTGTTTCCCTTCTTCGACCAATTCCGAAATCCTGCAGCGATCTTGGGATCTGCTTACCGTCACACTCCTTCACAATGGTTAGTATTTCCCCGTCAATGCACGTCGGCGAAGCATAGGAGGCTCTTTGGGGGCTTAATTGTCCATCTCGCGATTCGGGAGCTTGCACGCGACCTCGTCTTCGTTTCTGGCCACACCATTCAGGCCGAGGATGAAGACGGCGCGTGTGGGCTGGATGTTTGGAGCTCCTATCGTCGCGCGATATGGACTGTTGCGAACAGCGCAATGGCAGGCAGGAGAGACAGAATTGTTATGCTGACCCGAGGATTGTACAGTCTTCCCCCCGTCCCGCCTCTCCCGTTAACTCGCCCGCCGCGGCCTCTGGCGCGAGCGTCGCCCGCCCTTCGTCGCCCACTCCCCCTGGTGGACCTCGCACCGCCATCCGCCGCCGCGCGGCCGCCGACCAGAAGGAGAAGATCGCCAATGCGCGCCCCAACAGCACGAGGGCGGCCGGTGCTGGCGGCAGCAGCAGCACGATGCTGAGTACGTTCCCCTTCGAGCCTGTGTCTTTTGCAACTCGCCCTGCGTTCGCGACGCGGAGGGGGCTGGAAAGAGAGGCGACTGGAATATGGTGTAGAATTGAATGCTAACGCGCGGTGATTGCAGGGCTGTACACCGACGAGTCTCCCGGTCTCAAGGTCGACCCCGTCGTCGTCCTCGTCCTTTCTCTTGTTTTCATCTTCAGCGTCGTTGCCCTTCACAGTGAGTCTTTGCCGCTCCCTTGTCTCAATGGCTCTACCAAAGGGAATTTGTCCTTTGCTAACAAACGGATTTCAGTCATTGCCAAGATCACCCGCAAATTCTCCAGCTAAATTTCCTGAACGAACGTTGAGGGAAGGACGTATGACGCGATACGAGCCTATTTCGAAAGCAAGATGAGGAGAACATGGGGCTTTGGGCTGTGGTCCCAAGTGAGCTATCTATCAACAGCGAAGCCGTTTTCGTGATGACCCGTCTCTACAGCAGACTTGGTACCCGACAGACGGCCTTGAGACGTTGGAAGCATTCATATATCAAACTACACAAAAAGCAGCAGCCTTTTTGACGATAATGGAGGGTGGGATCTTGTGGCCTTGATTCAGAGGAAGACTGAAGGGGGCGGCGGAAAGACAGAAAGGGAAAAGCATGATGGTATGCCCGCCGCTGTATTATACCTCCTTTTTATGCACTTTTTATACCGACATGCGGTTTTTTGGAACGGGATCTTGACGAAGTTGTCCGATGGGTGTGAGACCTTCGTTCCCCAGTGGTGATACTGGCCCCCTCTCCCCTTCGTAAGAAGTTCGACTTTCTGGTGACTTCTCCTTTGACCTGATGACCATGAGCTTCCTAATCAAGGCCGATCCACTAGGTCCACCGAGGCGAACGGGCCTTGTTGTTTACATTGTGGAGTTGAGAGGGGACTGTCACGGGCGTGGGAGGATGGGCTGTTTGGTACGAGAAGCAAGTCATTCGAACGAGCAAAGCGTTGCTGCCTATTTCCTCTTCTTCGTATTCGAACGCGACCCGCGGCCTCCAAGATGATGCTAACAGACTTTGGTTGTTGCGAGTATACCTCATCGTCGAGGGGGGGGAGGGTACCTCCGTCTTTGGAGCTGTTGGCTTCGGAAGACATCGCCACGGAAGTCGAACAGTGATGTCTGATGTTGTCACGGGCGCCGCGTCAGATACCGACATAGTGGTATGAATTATTACTCGATGACCGAACGAACCCTATTGAATGGTCTTCTGGCGAGGACCGTATCAGCCAGCCTGTGCTTTTGGACGATTCCTGCCAACTACCATGGAAGTATACCTCGCGGAATGGCGGGCGTATGGATTCATCATGTTCATGGCGAAATTCGATTCCAAGACTACCTCAACTCTGGATTTGTAAAGAAATGTTCTTGATTTCATTTGAACTATTGCTGGCTTGGGATTAGCGGCTATGTTGCATTTATTATTCGTAATTCTGATGTTGGCATGGTGTTCATCAGAGCAGTCTATAGTCAAAGTAGTTGAAGCCACATGATGATATGGTCCAGGTAGTTTGTTTCCGTGTCGAGTGATGGACATGCACTATGGCCGTCTGATGGAGTACATGGCGAGACTTCAGACGGAACGGTTCGAGTGAAATTTTACTGCCTGTATGATTGCAGTTTGCGACCCGTCTTGATACTCCGCCTGCGTCCGTGTTCTCTTATCACGGGCTTTACCAAATCCTTCCGTGTGTCAGTCTGAAGGTCACAACAACGTTCCGTGGCTTTGCAAGATCACTATTCATTTCCCCCGACTGTTGAAGCCGCGACAGCAGTTGTGTGCTCCACCATTTCTGCCCACGACCCCATAGGTCACATCTCGACCGTGTCGTTTCGTATCTGCCTTCAGCGTTCATCTCCGTTGGCTCTCATTCAAACTTTCCGCTTCCGATCCGGCACCGGGGAATAAGGCGCGGGCCATGCCGACCAGGGGATTCGTTTACCTCGTATCAGCCCACGCGTCCCTCACCTTGGTTTGATTAGGACCTCGATCCCACGAGGCCGTCACTGAATTAGTCACGACATTCCTGCTGCCTACGCCTAGTAGTTCTCTCGACCCCGGCAAAGAAATCGTTGCCAAGAATGAGACGCGCACGAAGACAGCAAAGACAGAAAAAAAGACGAAGACCCTGTTCGCCGTCTGTGGCTGTGCGGGGAGGTTGGAGATCAACGGCCCCCAATCGTCCCAACGAAGACCGTTCATTGGACTTAGACGCCGCCGCCGCCCCTTCTGGGAGGATTCAGCCTGCGGCCCGCAATCCATTGGACGACCCGTTTAGGGTTGGACGTCATAGCTGCCTGCTCCTTTTTTGTGTAGTGGTGACAGGGGTGTGTAGTGTAGCATAGTATGCGTACCGCTCCGTGCGAGTCCGAGTGTGCGATTCGCCCAGCTGTGGTGATGTTTAGCTTCGAAAAGCCAGTCATGGCATTGATACGCACCGTAGTTCAAGCTGGCATGGTATGGCATGGCGGCAGACGGGTGCGAGTGCGGGATGGCGGTGCTGTTGATGCATGCATCTTGTGGTGAACTGGACTGGGCCAAGGTCCGTTCGGTAGGGAACCTACGGGACACTCTTAGGCGAGAGAACTTCAGCGCGCCCATGCCATAGGTAGTTACCCCACCTGCAATCTGCAATCATGTTCCTCCTCTTGGGTTGCCTCCATCCACTCTAGCTCTGGCGTAGGTAGGTAGCACCAGGGTCTAGCCCATGAGCTTGATTGAACTTTGGCTCTGATGATGAAACGGGGCTGAATGTGTGTTGGTCTGCACATAAGGCAAGGCACATGCGTCTTTGAATCCTGCATCTGCTCTTCGAAGCTTCACTCATCGGATTATCAGTGCCACTCGTCGACAACACTGGACACACGCGAAGTAGCTTTTGCTCATCTGTGTTTGCCCCTCTCGTGCCACTTAGCTTGCGCTCGTGCATTGCAACGGCTCCCTTGGCAGTATCCAGCGCAAAGCTCCGTCGCCCATCGTTCTTCAATCACTTGAGCTTCTGGCACCGTCTTCACATCTCGTCAACATCGTACCGTGATGATCTAACATTCGACTCACTGCCGTCAACCATTTCCATCGTCTCTGGTCGCTTTCCCCGTACCAGCCGGCGAGCCGCAACCGCAACCCCGCACCATGACGGCTATCAAAGGCCAAAAGGGCGAAAGCTCGAGCTCTGCCCCTCCCCCGCGCCGACCCAGCGACTTCGACCTCGACAGAACCGACAGCGCAGAGGTTCCCGACGCCCTGGTTTCTGATGGCTTCAGTCTGCCGTCTTTGGGAGCCGACGATGAGCCTCTGCCCACGTACGGCGACCTCCCCGACCAGCTTCACTTCTCCCAGTCGGGCGTAGAGGCAGGCGCCAATGTCACCAGTGCGTTCCCTCCATGGACTTTCCCTGGCGGCCTCCCAAACCAATAGCTAACTTTCAAACCCAGTCGACGGTCGAGTCAACATCAACATCAACCAGAGCGGCAACCGCCTCGCCGAAATCCTCGCACCGACCATCGCGCGAAGCCAGCTCCTCGCCGACAAGCAGCCCCAAGGGCCCCTCCCGCCCGCTTATATTCCACCGTCCCTCGGCGGTCAACCAGGCCAGGTTCCTCCCCCGCAGCTCAACGTTGTCGTCCAGATCGTCGGCTCGCGCGGTGACGTGCAGCCCTTTGTCGCGCTGGGCAAGGTCCTGAAGGAGACGTACGGCCACCGGGTGCGCATCGCCACGCACAAGACGTTCCAAAAGTTCGTTGAGGAGAATGGGCTCGAGTTCTTCAACATCGGCGGCGACCCCGCCGAGCTCATGGCCTTCATGGTCAAGAATCCCGGCCTGATGCCCGGCTTCGACACCCTCAAGAGCGGCGAGGTGAGCAAGCGCAGACGGGGCATCGAGGAAATTCTACTCGGTTGTTGGCGCTCGTGCATCGAGGCCGGGGACGGACTGGGCCCGCCGCCGAAACCACATGGCCGGGACGCGCCGATGGACGACCCAATGGGCCTGATGCCAGGCGATGAGTCGCGGAAGCCGTTTGTGGCGGATGCCATCATTGCCAACCCTCCCAGCTTTGCGCACATTCATATTGCCGAGAAGATGGGGATTCCGCTGCATCTCATGTTCACCATGCCGTGGACGCCCACACGCGCGTTTCCCCACCCGCTGGCCAATATCCAGTCCACCAACACGGACCCGGTCATGACCAACTACGTCTCGTACGCGCTGGTCGAGATGATGACCTGGCAGGGCTTGGGAGACGTCATCAACCGCTTCCGAGAGAAGGCGCTGGATCTGGACCCCATGTCGCTCATCTGGGCACCGGGCGTGTTGAACAGACTGAGAATCCCGTACACGTACTGCTGGTCGCCGGCTCTCATTCCGAAGCCGAACGACTGGGGCCACGAGATTGACATTTCTGGATTTTACTTCTTGAACCTAGCGTCGGCATTTACCCCGGACCCTGATCTGGCTGCGTTCTTGGCAGCCGGTCCGCCTCCGGTTTACATCGGGTTTGGGTCTATTGTCGTGGACGACCCGAACGCGCTGACGAGGATGATTTTCGACGCCGTCCATCTCACGGGGGTGCGGGCGCTTGTCTCAAAGGGCTGGGGCGGTCTCGGAGCTGAGGACGTTGGGCTGCCCGAGGGCGTCTTCATGTTGGGCAACGTGCCGCATGATTGGCTGTTCCAGCATGTTTCTGCGGTTTGTCACCACGGTGGCGCGGGCACCACTGCAGCAGGAATCCAGGCCGGGAAACCAACGATCGTGGTGCCGTTCTTCGGAGACCAGCCCTTCTGGGGTGCCATGATTTCCAGGGCTGGGGCCGGTCCAGACCCCATCCCGTTTAAGCAGCTCAGTGGAGAGAAGCTTGCGGAGGCAATCCGGCATTGTCTAAAACCCGAGACCCAGGCTAGAGCGCAGGACCTGGGTAACAAGATTCGCGAGGAAAAGGGAACTGACGTTGGCGGTAAGAGTTTCCACGATCACCTAGACACCGATGCACTCCGGTGCTCGATCGAGCCCAGCAGGGCAGCGGCCTGGCGTGTAAGACGCACCAAAGTTCGCTTGAGCCCTATGGTTGCAGCGGTCCTGGTTGACAGGGGTTTGATCAAGTACTCAGACCTCAAGCTGTAAGTTGCTCACCGCCCAACCCGCCCCTGCGTCTAAGTGGAACCACACCACCCTTGCTCACACACACGCACACAACTCACAGATACCGACCAAAAGAATACATCACTGACGGCCAGCCATGGGATCCCGTTTCGGCAGTGGCCTCGTCCCTGGCTACCGATCTTGGGAACATTGGCATGGCCGTTGCGGATTTCCCTCGCGAGATCTTCAAGAGCCGGAGCAAGGGAGACAAGACCCCAGAGCCCCCAGAAATCCCCTTCAAGGAGGGCTCGACATCCCGTACGAGTCTGGTCCAGGGGAGTGACAAGTCATCAACTGCGGCTCCAAGCTTGCATGCATCCGAGTCTTCCACGCAACTAGGCCTGGTCGAAACAGGGGCCTCTACACCGACCTTGCACTTGACCCCGCGTGAGACCACATCGTCTGCGCCCCCCTCCCATGCGCCTTCCGCCACTCCTTCCATGGTCTTCAGTGGACCAGATTCTTCTTCCATTGCTCCTACAGAAACAACAACAATTTCTGATCAGTCCCGTACCAGTCGACCGCCAGGAAGCCCAGGAAAACGATCTGCCATCAGGGACTCCTCCCCAGTGACCGTTGGAGTTGATACGGCTGTAGCAGCCGGAACGAGTGTTAGTCGAATCGTTACCACCGGTGTGAAGACACCAATGAACGTTTGTCTCGGTCTGGCTCGGGGTTTCCGGAACGCCCCGCGGCTGTACAACGACGACACGGTGCGCCCGCAAGAGAAAGTCACTGATTTCTCGAGCGGTCTCAGGGTTGCTGGGAAGGAGTTCGCATTTGGCATGTTTGACGGCATCGGTGGACTTGTCACGCAACCACTTAAGGGTGCTGAGAAGGAAGGCGGAAAGGGCCTCATTAAAGGTTTCGGAAAGGGTATTGGTGGTCTGATTTTTAAGCCTGCATCTGGTGAGTTACTGTTTCTACTTTTCATAGAGAGGACCATCAACTGTCGTTCACTGCTAACCCATACAGCCGTCTGGTCAATCCCAGCCTACACGATGCAAGGTGTACACGCTACTCTCCGCAACGCGTTCGCGACCAGCGTCCTGAACTACATCATAGCGTCGCGCATGAAGCAGGGGCAGCAGGACATGTACTGTGCCAGCATCGCCGAGCGGGAGGACGTCATTGTGCGGTGGAATAACAAAAAGTACGACTTGAAGAACTTCCAGGCTATGAAATTGAAGGAACAGCGAGAGAAGAGCGACCGACCTCTGTCGCCACCAGGGAAGAACGACAGCGGGCTGTCGCCTCCCGTGACGGGTTGGGCACACACGAGACACATGTCTTTTGACGAGCGAAAGAGATTGCACGCCCGCAAGGAGGCATGGAAGAAGGGGCACGTTGAGGCCCTGGTCCCCGAGATGGAAGGAGACCTCCCGCCATCACCGCGAACCAGCACTACTACCGACAGCGTGGCCGAAGATGAAGAGTTTGAGCGCGCCATCAGGGCCTCCATCAGGGAAACGTCTCGCGGAAACCCAGAGGATGACGCCAAGATTGAGCAGATTCTCAGGGCCAGCATTAACCACCTACGCAGCAGCGGCCATCCGCTCCCGGACGCCCGCCCACGCCCGAAATCGCCCCGCCAACTCGACGAAAAGAACCCCGACATCTTCAAGAACTCGGAGCTGGAGATTACGGACGAAGAGTACCAGGACCTCATCGAGCAGGCGATCCAGCAGAGCATGGCCGCGCACTCTCAGGAAGGAGCCCAGCAGTCCCCGCAGCGCACACCGCAAGGAATCGACGACGAAAGAGAGTTCCAGCGGGCCCTCGAGGAGTCCAAGAATGCCGCGCCGCCGCCTGATTACGAAGACGACGAGGAGTTGAGGCGCGCGCTGGAAGCGTCCAAGATGCACCACGACGACGGCGCGGCGGATGAGGACGAGGAGCTGCGAAGGGCGATTGCGGCTTCCGAGGCGGCGCACAAGGACCAGATGAGCCGACACCAGGCCGCGCGGACGGAGGAGGACATTGTGATGGAGTACGTCAAGAAGCAGAGCCTCGCGGAGGAGGAGTTCCGGCGGAACACCGCGGCCAAGGGCAAGGCGCTGGACGAGTCTGACGAGGACGACGAGGAGTTGAAGAGGGCCATGGAGGAGAGTCTGCGGGGTAGCGGGGGTCGGGCGGGGCAATCCAGTTTCTGAGAGTGACTCTTTTTCTTTTCGCTTCTTTTTGCTTTTTGTTGGGTTCAGAGATAGAAACGTATACTACGAGACCAACGAGATAACGAAATAACGAGGACAATCTATTCATATGGTTGCTTTTCCGTCATGAGTGTTCTGGGCTACCGATTCATATGACCATGATTGAGCTGGAAAAGACTAGAGAGACTATTGAGCATGGAAACCCTCCGCACGTTGGTTAGCCCTTCCGCGGATAGATCGACGGCAAGTCAGGCGGACTGAACACGGCCCAGTTCCCATTCTCCTACGTCGGGACGGCCTTGTGGAAGCTGATCCTCCACGGGTTCTTCCCCTGCTCCTCGAGCTCCCTTACACGCATCAGTTCGAATTCGTAGTATCCCTGGATCCTGCGTCAGTTTCCTAAAAACCTTTGCCAGAAAGGAATGGGGGAAGCGACATAAACACAAGTAAAGAAAGAAAGACTTACACCGTTCTGCATCAACGCACCACCCCGCGCGCCCTCTCTAACCAAGCTGGCCATGACATTCGCCGTAGCCCTGCACGTCTCGGGCCTCTCCGACGAGGACGAAGTCGAAGGCTGCGGCAGCTCCGCAACGATGCCCGCGAGAAGGTGCTGTGTCGCCGTCATCCCGTCCAGCGCGCCGACCGCGGAGCGGACCCAGTCGGCAGCATCAGCGGCGGCGGGCGCGTCGGCGCCGAAGAAGGCGGCGTAGTCGAGCCGGATGCGCGGGGTGTAAACGTCGCTTGTCAGTTGGGCCGGGGAGTTTGTGTCGTAGGCGAGGCACTGTGTGTGTAGTATGTAAGTCGCGGTTGCGAGGTTGCATGGTCAGAGAAAAGAAGAGTGGGTTTTACAAGTTTGGTTATGGTGTCATGTATGTTTGCGCGGTCGAGGAGGTATTCTTGGATATCGTACGTCATCTTCGGGTTTGATGGGAGTTGCTTTCTTGTCTTGTTCCATGAATCTTGGAGTAAGAGTTCAAGTAGAAAAGTTTCAAAGCTTATATAGGAGTCCATCGACCTTCATGCCAAATGCTCAGTCTTCTCGTGGATCGCCGAGTTCATGGCGTTGCCATGCTTAACTCCCGCCAAGTCGCGAAAGGAATCGCATCCATGGCCACACCTTCATTGTAAGGCGCTAAACTCCGGTCTCTAAAATCCGCTCACTTGATGCTTTCCGGACTTTACATAGCCTGCGGTCTTGTTCGTGCGAAAAGAATCACAAGATGGACCACCAGAAGTAAGTAGCTAATAGTATTGTTTTCTAGTCAGACTTGGTTCCAAGGACTGGAATATCTGCGGCCTAGTATACACTTCTCGTACAGACCAACTCGTTGGTTTGATTTTCATTCTCCTTAGCTATCCTCCATTACAAAATCCCGTTCGTAGTATTTTTGTGTGCCAACTTAGTGAATGTGAGCATCGTCCGTAAGCCAATGCATGGTATTATGCCAACACCAGGCAGGTGTGAAATCAATGCAACTTCTCCTTGAGGTAGATAACGGCTGCATATCCTGCGCAGCACTTCGTAGTCATTCCGTGAGAACACCAAGGACACTTCACCGTGGTCGAGATGATGCCACTGACGCCCAGATTGCGGTCCTCGACCATGCCATCGGGCTTTGCCATGCACTCATAGACCTTGCTCGGAAGGTCGTGCAAGAACTTGCAACTGCAGCATTCCACCAGCATCTTTGCAACAGGCTCCACGTTGCCATCAGGAGGCACGATAGACGACCGAGACGCGCGACTTGATCGCGGGGGAACCGGCATGGACTTGCGAGCCTGTTCCAAGTAATTTGACGGATTCGAGGGCGCCTTAAGAGAGACGATGGACTTTCTCGCATCAGCTGACAGGGGTGACGACTGTGCCACCGTCTTGTTCGCCGGGCTAGACGCCCGCTTGGCCGAGCGTGGCGGAGGAGGCGGCACCAGGGGCCGGGGAACTAGAGGCTGATGCTTCAGCTTCGGGAGGAAACTCGTGTCGAGAGCCAAATCAGGGCTCGAGCGGCTCTTAGACAAGCTCGGGCGACGCTGAATGGAACTCCTCACTTGCTCCTCAGCCGTCTGGGGCGCATCCTCGAACTCCTTATGAGGAGACCTCCGGTCAAGCTCCTGAGAGTTAGACAGAGAGACAGAGGTCGTTGGCGATCCCGCTGCGGAAGCGTATTTGGAACCGTCCGTGAATCCAGGCGTTAGGCAGACATCACTGTCAGATTCGCAATCGGCAACGCTCGCTTTTCTGCCAAACTTCTCAGAGACAAGTGCTTCCAGCTCAGAAAGATGAGCCTCGTGGTTCTGCACCGGGATCTGCGGAGGAAGGCTGATTCTCGGGTTCGAGGCGATGGGTGAGGTCGTGGCCATGGCTGCCTTGTGGGAAAGTCTGTATGATCTCTCATCGTTGTCGACGACCACGGCCTCGTTGTCTACTCTGCGCACCTCCCCGTCGACAGGGGGTAATCCCTTCTCGGACTGCGGCCTCGACGAGTCAGGTGTTGTAGTTGGCGATGGTGAAGACATGGGCTCCTCGAACGAAGACATTGAAGACCTGTCTGTTGGACGTGCGGAAGAATCTCTTGACGGCATGCTAGACTCGGCAGACTCGACGAAAGGAGGGCGAACGGGAGGAGCCGAGAGCGGCAGGTGATCCAGACTTGGGCTCGAATAGCGGGAGCTTGACGTTGAATCCGGTGTCAAGGTGGTATCACGTACGGCCCGAGCGAAGTAATTTGAGACTGGGGGCTTGGAGGCGCTGGGAGAGACCCTGTGGAAAGCCGCTTTAGCGGCATCCTTGAAGCTTCTGATGGCCGCTCCAGGAGTTGGAGGAAGCTTCTCCCGGGAGGCAGATCTCTCAGGGGGCAAGGGAATCTCTGTGGAAGCAAGCCTTGACATGGGTGGCTGCTCTGACAGTGACCGTTCGAATGAGCCCTGACTCGGGCTGCCGTTGGCTGGAGGTGTATATGGGAGCCTGAAAGTGATGAGAAAGTCTTCTCCCTGGCCATGAGGTCCATTGGAAGCATCGAGATTGGTCAGAGATCCGTTGCGGGGAGGGAAGTTTGATCCCATCGGGCTGGTCTCCGACGAAGACGAGTAGGAGCGCCCCTGATGATGTGGCCGGTTGGACTGCGGCGGATAGTGTGATCTGGCGGAAGATACTCTGACCTCGTCCCTGTAGCCGGTGATTGAGCGGTCTCTGCTTTGTTGACGATGCTGGTGTACGTAGCTCTCTCTTCTTCGGCCTCGCTCTTGCTCGAAATCAACGCTCGGCTCGACCAGGGTGACCTCAGTTTCCTCGCTGTCCGTAGGTACAGGTACCTTATGTTGCGTCGATCTGTTCTTCCACTGCTGAAGCTTGCTGACATCCGGGACAGGTGGTGCCGTGGGAGACACCAATGGCTGATTCCATGATGGAACCTTCATCGAGTTTTGCTGTGGCTTGGGTCTGAGGCTGCGATCATAGTCCAGTCCCTCAGACATGGGTCCATCCGAGGCAGATCTCGGGAGTGTTGGAGGGTGGAACCCGCCAGCAACTTGCACTCTCACCTCAGGGCCGAACGATTGAGCTCTCTGATTCATCAAGGAGACTGGCGGATTCGGCTTTCTGAGAGGCATCCCAGAGGCGGCCTGTCTTTCTTGATCCAATTTCAACCCACCAATGAAGCTTGGCTCGTCGTTGGCCTGTGACTGCGGCTTCTGGCCGGTCAAAGCCGCCTTCAACTGCATAGCTACTGAATCTGATCTCTGCCTGGCGTGTTGCGGGCGCCGCGGCGGTGGTGCTGAGTAGAAAGCTTGAGTGCTGGCTGGTCTGATTTGCTCGTCGGCAAGCATGATGGGGCTTGACATCGTCCGGGAGGCACTCGGAGGTCTCTGTGAAGGAGGGGTCTTGTGCAGCTTGGCTCCCAGCCTCTTCGCAATAGACTTGGCCTCTTTCTCGGCCAACCTGTCGGCTTGCTCCTTCTCTTTCCTGCGCATCTTGTCTTCGTTCTTCTTTTCCTTCTTCTTCTTCTGACCGAAAGCTTCCCAGCTGGGCGAGTGGCAGATTGAGGAAGCGTCGTCTTCGGCTGGCTTATCTTCGTTATCGACGCCCAAGAAGGTTACGGTTTTCTGCTTGTGTTCGTTGGATTCCCTTCCCTCTGAGCCGCGGTCAATCTCAGGGATGTTGTTGGCCGGCGGTGGCACAGATATAGAAAGGGAAGGGACGGCAGTGGTTCTGCGCACAGCTTTCATGGCGGAAGGAAGAGGCTCAGGTGCTTTGGCGGGGAGCGTGTCCCTGCGGCGTGACTGCAAAGGAACAAGAGGCTTCACTGGCGGGGGAGGGTGTAGAGTTGGAAACGGCGACAGCTTTGGAGGAGACTGGGGAGAACGACCATTAAGTTGTTGATTCAGAACCTGCTGAAACGCCATGTGGGATAGGTGAGCGGGCGTGGGCATGGAACGGTGCCCCTGAAGACGCTCGAGCTACGAGGTGAAGCGTGTTAGTGGAGGGGAGGCTATACTAGTCAAATTGGTGTGGATGCCATCGAGGCTGAAGCTGGCGGGCTAGGTCGGGCTTGGCTCACCTTTTGGATATGCTCGAGTTCGAGCATCTTCTGAAGGCTGTCAGACCTGTCGCGTCGGGGCTTGCCCGGCTTGCGTTGAGCGGCCGCGGAAGTCATTTTCGGAAGCAAATCGTTTCGAGGCGGATTTGGAGACGGGGATATTGAGGGTGGAGTCGTGGCGTCAAAGACGGGAAGGATACGCGGCTAGCGGTCGCAGAGTGAGAAAAGAGGTTAAGGCGATGCTAGCTGTGGCGTCTCGATGTTGTCATAATCCTCGTTGACGTTCGTTCTTGTTTGTTGCAAGGATTGGCGAGATCGACGAGCGAATAAAGGAAAAAAACGGTAAAACGGCTCGACGGAATGGTCGGAGGTTGCAGCAAGAGCTGGCGCGCGACGGTGAATGCGTGTTGAAGGTGACAGCAAAGGCGAGGTGTGTGCCCGGAAAAGACGGTGAATGAGCGAGGCGATGAGACGAACGAGAGTCGGCAAGAGCTAATACGTAGGAGGATCGGTGGAGGGCAGGTCGAGGAGTGCAACGAAGTAACGTTGTCGTGAAACAGAAAAGCAGATGTCCAACGAGGGTGAGTTACAAGAAGGAAAGGCCAGCGGCAAGGTGATATTTGGGTCAGTTCAGGTCAGGACCAGGAGGAAGCAGCAGCAGCAGCAGCAAAGAGCAGAGCAGGAGCTGGGGTCCAGGTTTGGATAAGGCAAGACCGGAAAAAAAGAGAACGGCAAGACGGGAGTCTAAAAGTGGTTCTCGAATGCGGGATGCAGGCAGTCAAAAGAAGGAACCACAGATCGGGAGAGCAGCCCTGGTCGACGGAGAATCTAGAGCTTGTTTACCGGGAGAGACCCAACACCACAGACGGGACATGCATTGGCGGAGGCAGGAAACGATGGACAGCACTCTCTGCACCGGGCCAACCTGGGGAGAGACAGGTCAAAGTCAAGCAGCCTTCTTCACCACGACTGCAGTCATGCCATGGTCAGATTTCGTCAGGTCTCGTCTGCACGACAACCGGGAGGGCCATGGCCATCGAGCGGGACACGGACTGGGGGCATCGGCAACGGTCACGGGCGCCGTGGGGGAGACCTTGGATGGATGTAGGTATGGATGAATAGATGGATGCCTACTCAACATCTCCAGCAGGAGACCAGGCGGAGGGCATCAGCATGTGTTGGTGGTTAGCATCAGCATCAGCAGCAGCTAGTAGCATAAGCACCGCGCAGTCGTCCAATGGAAGGACCCGTCCGGCATTCGGCCCAAGAGTGAGGGTGCTCAGAGGTCAGCGCATTGCAACTTGGGATGACGATCAGCCCTCATTGCCGTCTGAGATGAGGACCGGGTACAGGAAAAGCTGCAGCAGGTGCGGAAAGCGCAGTAGGCGAAGCAAGCACAGGTGCAGACGCAGGTCCAGTTGCGAGTGCAGGTTCAGCCGGACTGGCAGGAAGCGGGAGGCTAGGGCAGCCAAGCAATGTTGAGAAGAAGATCAATGTACCTTTCCGTGCCATGTCATCGTGGATGTATTGCCTGATACAAAGGAGACCCAACGGCGGCGTGCATGCAACTCATCTGTTGGTGGGTTGAGTTACACACGCGCGTCCTGTCATGGACGAAGGCGGCAGCCACGGCGACAACGAGACACGCTCCGCCAGGGTTGGTTGAGAAAGAGTGAAAGAGGGGGATATGTCGCTGTCGCAAGCCCAGACCACCCAACGGCTGATGTTGGCCTGCCATGTGGACTCTGAAGGCGGGATTCAGGATGTTTTCCACGGGCACACATCACATTTTCCAAAGGTGTAATGCTTGATACGAGACTTTGGCGCGTTGGCTCGCTCCAGCTGGACTGGGGATCGCTGCAGGCGCCACTGAGGATGCCCCGCTGTTAGCGAGGGCCCGCCAGTTCTCCTGGCTGATCAGCACCGGGACGGGGACTGGGTCAACACGGACGCTATTTTGAGCTGGGAGGAAGGCGGAGACGGCAGCAAGGATTACCTAACCAGTGTGCCAATCCACGGGTGTTTTGCACCTGTTTGCTGCAAAAAGGAAGCGACCATGGCCACGCTCGCCCGCTGTTTCCCCCACATGGCTCAGCGACAAAACAGGGCCTCCTCGCCTCCCGGCCGTTGCAGGGACCGGCTTCCACCGTGGCTTCTCACCTTATTTCCTCGCTTCACCTGAACTTGAAGCTGTGGACTGACAGAATGGCTGCGAAGCCGAAGCCCTCCACGCCGTCAGACTTCATCCCACCCATCCATCCACAATAGGCTTTCGTCACGGACATCTCCTCTGTTCTCCCGCATCCTCCATTCCTCCTCCGTCCGACCTTCTTCCACGCTGACCTGCTCACAGCTACCCTTTCAGCTACCATTAAAGTTAGGGTTTGCCCGTCTCCCAAGAGCTCACACAATGCCCATCCTGCAGCTGGACGCAAACCAATAGTCCCTGACAGCACACTTCGTATTGCGTCGTCCCATCAACTGACACTTGCATCCCAACCACTCACGGCGCCTCCCACACCTCCAACATCACCACCATCCTGCATGGAATCGTGGGTAGGCTTCCCTGCCCTGCTTGGCCCAAGCTCGCCTTACTGCGCAGACCAGAGAGCTACTACTCGCCAGCTACCCAGCTACTGCCTGCCAATTGCCTACCACAAACCCTTCATCCGAAAGACGTGTGGCGGCGAAGATGCTGCAAGCCAACCGAAGAGCCAGAAATAGCCCAACCAATTGCCCTCCGTCCCAACCACTCGGCATGCAAAACGGACAAAAGACACCGCCTCTGGCCTTCGCGTCCCCCAAAGACTCATTCATCGGCGACCACCAGTTCTCCCCACAAAATCACCTGCCGGGCCACCCCTGGTTCGATCCGATCGAAATTTGCTGTAGGCGACGTCCCTGGAGCTAGTCCTCTTCGGCTACCCGTCCGAGCATCGCTTCATACCTCAAACCGAAGCTACCATACTCTGACGACAAAGCGCTGCCCGCACGAGCATCTCGTTTGCAGAACCCATCGAAACAACCTCGCGGAAACTCCAGTTAGTCTCCTCTGGCGCCGTGGGCGATCCGCTGTGTGCTTTGGCAAACCCGTCCGACCACGCAGATGGCTTGTAGAGCCGTTAGCCAGGACGACCGAATTTGAAATCACGTTGCAGGCGTGCAGGCAGGCTAACATTACTGACGGCTCGCCATTTTTCCACGATCTCCCGATTGACTGCATGGAAATGGAGCGATTGGGGGATTGCATTGAGTCTATCTCTTGGGCTTCTCAGGTTGATCAAGCCGTCAAAACACTGCTTGCTGCATTGCTGTTGTTTCTTCTACTCACTACTGCAGACATCGTACCGAAGCCTTGGACACGGCGCACCCGGCGCTGGACGCCGAACTCATAAGCCGATTCACTAATCATCTCCTAGAACCCCGAAACATGCTCCATTTAGTTCCCGCCCAAGGGACCGACACAGAAGGAGCCTGACACCAGGAGGAGACGTATCGAGGCACTCACGAGTGCTCTGAAAACAGCTTTACTGTGATCGTAACGAACAGCAGGGTAGAGATGCTGCTACATTATGCATTAAGTGGTGAACGTCGAGGTAGACGAGGGGGGCGCTAATAGTCTCAGAGCTCGGGGAGATACATAGGATTAAGAAGACCGATGCCAACTCCTAGATCTACGAATCGGGACATCAACTCGCCAAACAGGCTAATGAGGATTGGCGCCATCCGTCATCCGCTCTTTCTCACGCATGTACTTTTCCACAGACTCAGGTCCCGGACTGAGGTGCATGAAGAGCTCGTTACCCTCGTCCCAGTTGATCAGCCCCGACGGCATACCGGTTCCTTTGTCCTTGCGGAAGAGCGAGTGCTTGTTGTGGCGTACCCAGTGCTTAACTCGCAGCCTCGCCTCGTTGTCGACCTTGAGCTTTACTGCGATCCACTTGTCCTTGGGGCGATGATCGCACGTCATCATGGCGTCTGGAGACGACGGTGCCTCCGCGGTCTTGAGGACTCCCATGTCCACCCACATGTTGTACTTTGTCTGCTGGCAAGGCAAGGTAATTTTCAGAAACTCGAGGGCCGGCGAAACGGTGAGGTAGATGCCTCTCCGTGGATTGACCAGCGTCTTCATGAGAATGTCCATCCACGTCGCGTACAGAACGGCAAAGTCGGTCTGGGAGAGATGGGTCGAACCTTTGATCGTCATCATCCAGGTGAGTGCCTCCTGTTCCCTCGCCTCGTTGCAGATTTCGACAAGCCTGTCAAAATTATCCTGCCAATGCATAAAGGCCTCCGATCCGATCGACAGAAGCGGCTTCTTTACGCGGTGTCTAGCGTTCTCTCCCGCTCGGGGCGTGGCGGGACCCCAAGCGTCGAGGATGATGCCTTGACCTACCCAGCTGAGCGACTCCGTCCGCAGCATCTCAACTATCGTTGCCCCGCCAAATGAATGGCCCATCACTGTCACGTTCTCGAGGAACATCCTCTCCTTCCAATCCGCCCAGTCGATCCCAGTGAGACCCTTGGAGCTGGACGCCACATTTCCCTCTCTTCTTAGATTCATGGCCTCGACTTCGTGACCGCGACCTTCGTTAATCTGTTCGAGTATCCAGTAGGCTTCCTCTATTTCCGACATTCGCATTTCGATCTGCGCACTGCGCAGCACCACATCGACTCCCTTGGCACTGT